TTTGTATATTACTGTGAGTGCTCTGAGCATCGGCAATTTATTTAGAACAGATCTAGCATTTATGAGGATTAGGTAAAGATGAGAGTTGAAGTAGCATTTGAAGTATTTAAGTTCGTTAGTCAGCCCCGAATATGGTTCAGCACCCAGTAGTTCTGCTGGACATGACGATCCTATGTTAAGAGGAGTTCAGCATCATGCTCACCTATGTCTATCGAGTTGGTGTGTGCTGTTTTCGGTGAAGAATTAGGAGTTGGAGTACTGGATTTGCTATAGACTAAGGAATTTTTATTTTTAGTTAGGTTACAGAAGTGGGTAGGGTTCTTTATTTGACCTATACTTGTGCAAGTGTCAAGTGTGCCTAATGGATACGGGTGCACTAGACCGTTCCTGTTTTCATGCAAGGAGGGAGCCAGCTCTAGTGGTTTAGGAGTGTTAACATCCCTACCAGCTGTTTTTTCAACGCTGACAGGGACGCGGGGGATAAAAAATGATTGGATCCTTGTGATGACCATGGCTTATTATTCCACCTATTGTTTGATGCTAGTTGTGTCCTTGTGTGGGTTTCGTGTGTACTGCATTGTGGGTTAGTTCCCAGCAGACTTGTACCATATATCCGGTCAAAATTTGTTTGTGTGCCATACTCTGAAGACCCTGAGTTGTTGGTAGCCGAGTTCTGACTATTACCACTTGTACTATTGAGGGTGACATTGTTGTGACATTGGATATTAGTGTGTGCCACGGTGCGATTTAGCACGTTGTGAGTGCTAATACTATTAACCGTGGGGAGTGTGGGCTTATTTAAGCTGCCACTGTTTTTGTTGGTATGATTTAGGGGCATATTTTCCTTATCTTTACCAATGGAGTTATGGCTAGGAGAGGACAAAGTCGAATTTCGGGGGGTTTTGACTTTTTTTCTGGGGTTATTTAGTGGCATTTTAGATTCTGCGGTGATGGGTGGTATGGTTTTATTATTTATTTGGTTACAGTCTAGTGGCCTTTCGGCTGGTGTTGCACTCTGATGGGATAATTCTGTGTGTTTTGAGAGGGGTGATGCGGTGGGGTCTACTGTATCTTTCACAGGGTTGGGAATAATGGCTGCTTGCAATGTCCTATTACCTATTTCACAATTAGTCTTAGCGAGATAGTTGTATGCGCGCCTTTCTATGACTGTTTTGTCCACCCCGACCTTTATATGTTTGTAGTTTCTGGCTTGCGATAGGGTGTGTTGGGAGTGATGAATTTTCTGGTCTCTGCCGGTGTTTCGAACTGAAAACGAATAGGACAACACTTTTCATGTTGACTCTTCTTCAGCCTATAGCACTTAGTCTTGGAGTTAGGCATTTTCGCTTCACTAAGTAAGATGCGCTGTACCTTTTTTAGTGCCTCATTGTCCGGAACGTTGTAGACAATAGCACTCAGTTTTGCGTCGAGTCGTTTTGTTACTTCTGTGGTAACAAAGTTAATGAGGTTATCTACCTTAGTTACCGATTCTGTGTCAAGCTTGTTAAGGTTTACAGTTTTCATGAGGATAGTTAGAGGTGTCAGTTCACAGACCTGCGATCTGATATCGCTGATCTGATCTGATAATTTGGATATCTCGGTATTGGTTTCGATGTTTCCAGCATTTACTGACTTATTGTTTTTTATTTCCCTTAACTCAGCCTTAAGTTCTCCTATAGACAACTTTAGAAGTTCTATTTCTGAAGATAGTACTGAAAAAGAGCTTGATGGCTGGAGTTTTTCGATAAGCACATAAGGTGAAGGGAGGGTTCTGTATGAGCAGAGGGTACTGAATTTTTAGGAGTAGTGCTAATACTAGCTGTCAGTACAGTTTTATCCTCAGTTCCAGCTCGACGCTTACGGCATACAAGTGAGTTATGTGACTCACTATAGCCGTTTGTAGGGGGTGTGTTGCTTGATGTAGCAATCAAGGACGTTAAATTAGACACCAGTTTTACAGGGGATTGGGTTCGTTGCTTTTTACTTTGATTAACCATAACTATTAGAAATGAGAGTTAGTGGTTACAAGTATGGAAGTAGTATAGCACTTGTGCAAGTATTACAAGATAAATTTTATGTAACGAATCACGTAAAAATGTAACGCAAACGTTGGACGTACCGCGATACGGAAAGTGCTCTGTCACACACTTTTTGAGTAGCTGATGCATATGTCTAGTTAAATGCGCTAGATTTCTCAATGATGTCTTCAAGTTGGTACTCGTAAGAGAGTTTCGAGTTCGATAATTTTACCTGTGAAAAAATCAGTCTGTATTTTAATGACAATTGTTAACAAACTCCATATAAGAATTGAAACGTAAATGATGCCACATCATGCTTCATTCTTTCCTGTTAGCAGGGATAAAAAAGTAAGTTACGATGCTCTCTGAAGCGTTTTGTAACTAGTATATAGCATCGGTGTAACACGATCTTGAAACCTTGGAACCTAGAAGTAATGTTTGGCAGCTTAACGATGGTTGTGACAAGAGAGTTCAGGTTTCCATCGGACAGTGTTTGACGAGCTCACATTGCACACGCTATGGACACAATCTCCGTGGAATCCTATGTGTTAGTCTCGTGGAGTTGGTTTACTTCAACGATCGTGTATTTAGTGATTATGTGTTCTTCGGGTTGTAAAGAAACAACGGTTTATTTATTAACCTTTTAGAATTATTTAATTCAGTGGACAAAAAGTAAATAGTACAAAAACCTACAGAAGGTGGTTACTTGAATACTGCCAATTTGTATTCATTCGCCTAACAAAAATGGTAAGTTTAAAACTGAAATTGCAGAAAAAAATGATTATCAGGTATTAAGCTGTCAACATATTTGGATTCAGTGACATCTATCGAGGCAAGCAATTATAACTAAGTGATTTTCGGAGACTCAGAGATTATAAATATCGTTTTTTATCTTTCAAGTGAAATCAAAGGCTACATTAGAAATGTAGCGAATTATTAAACGCATGCTACCCCATTATTATACTTTGCAACATTTCCCTCATTCTATAGGATAAACGAGTATGAGTGTCGGTTTCGTGAATGCTGAACAAATCAGCAGTTCAAGGTAAATAAAAAAAAATGAAAATTATTGGTGTGCATTATTCTCCACTCAGCGCTGTGAGTCGACCTTCACTGTTCAAGTCTGCTGGTGAGGCTGAAGACACGCGATTTGGCATCCACGTCATTTGGCACGTACTTGTATTACGTCCAGTCGTTAGTACATGAAACCTAACTAGCTAAACCACAATCACAGCGCCACACGTCGATCCCATAAAATGTCTCACATTTTTAAGCGATCAATTTGACTTTCTTATTTGCCTCTAGGCTCAACAGAACAAGTACTTTGGTTGCTGGGGATCAACACATGAGTAAACATCAACATACTTTATTTTCTTAAACCACATATTAGGGAATGACGCTTATTTATTTAGGCATTTATTTGTTAGATGGTTACTTGAATCCTGGTCTCCTTTATTATTTTCTTCACTTCATGATACGTTTGAGATCCCATCAACAGTAGGCTCTCAAACAGTTATAGTGTGAAAGATGGGTGGTGTTTAGTTTCTTACATAGGGTGGTACGTAGCTGAAACTCAACAACTGAACTATTTTCCCGAAAATAACTGAACCCCCAGAGAGATATACACAGAGAGGAATAAAGCAAGCTACGAAAAGCCAGCTATCTCATGTTCGTGATATCTGTATCATATGTCAGGAGTGGAGGCATATTTAATATGTAGCGTTACTTGAGGAATAGTATCAGTGTGGAATATGGGGTATTTACCTGTTTTTGTGGTATAAATAGTTACACACATGTTCTTTTTATAATAAAGTATCTATTATTTTTTGTGTGGATTTAAGCTTTTTTCTTCAGTGGACACGTTTTCAGCAACTCATTTTGTAGCCCTTTGTTTTTGGATAACTATGAATCATAGCCACCCTAACGAACCATATACCAAATGCTCATCTGATAGGATTCCTCTTCAGAGGCTTCGTCTGTTTTCCCACTTTATCATATTGAAGATACAGTGCATTTAGGGTTTACTTCAGGCTGTTAGTCTGCTCCGAATCGTGCATCATATCAGTGACTAGTTATAAGAAACCGAGAACTGCACTAACCTTGGAACATCGAATGACGCATACATATGTAAACGACTTTCGTCATTTCTCAGTTATTGATGACTTGTGTCTGTCGTATGAGGTCCCATTACTGTTGTAGGTATGTAAAGGATCAGTTAATCCGTGTTTTATCTGCAAGTCTGTTAAATTACTATTCGGCAATAAACTTCGCTTTCCGAAAATCTCTCCCACTTTGAATTCGGTAGCGTATACCGTATGTTTTGTTTACTGAGTACTTACACAGTGATTTTTGCACGTAAGCATTCGTCAGCTATATTCGTTAAGTCTCCAGAGGAAAGTTTCACTGCTCTAGTTGCTAACTGGATTAAGTATTTGAAACTGAATTTCTGACAATGAATTATCTCAGTACAGTTGAAACTCACTAGATTGTAGAAACTTTCATGGTTGTTGGGGTATTGCAAAACTTATATTTTCGTGGGCAAAATCAATTATCTTGGTAACTCATTACTCTGTAGTGATTTTTTTTTACTAAGTACTTGCTTCTGAATGAGAAAAAGACAGTGAAAATCGTGCACAAACAACAGCATGTCACATAGAGAAGATGCTCAATAGTGTTTTGTAGCTAACATCTAGTTAAGGCTTTTATTCAAACTCATACAGTATCGATTAATGCTGTAACACTGTGTTTCGTATTTTGTTGCCCCAGAATGTAAGCGCTAGTGAAGATGTGGTATTAGTTGCTGCATCCTTGGGTAGCCAACCTTTATTTCATCTTTTTTGATGATTGGTTTCTCTTGTGATGAAATTTAAGTCTGTTAAATGGTTGACTGCATGCATAACTTTTAATTTCAGCTGTTATACTAGTGTTACAAAAACTACCCAGTGGGACTTGAGACTGCTTATGATTTAAGAAAATACGAAGATGACGGAAAAACATTCTACATCAGCCACTCAAAATCCGCTGATTTCAGCTGACGATCTAAAGGATGTACTCTTGAAGAAGTTCGCAATATTCACAGGTAAGGCCACTTCGATCCAGTGCCTAGTTTTATTTCAGGGGGTCACGACAAAGAGTTTCGTTCTCTCATAATTTTCCAAGATCTTGGTTTGGATAATCTGTGTGACGATTCATATGATCTTCTTATGCAGTACTTTTCTTCATTATCATCGTGGGTTTTGTATTCAAAGTATTCATCTTTTAAAAATAGTATGCTTACCTGTGTTCAAGAGTTTACTGTCATAATCGATAGACGCACTGGAAACTGGACGGTTGTTAAGTCGGTTATCACCAAACTGAATGTTAGTAAATATATGGATTTTCTTAACTGATATATTTAGGAGAAGTTTCCCGGGAACCTGCATCAAATTTTTGTTATCAAACCTCAAGGTTTCATGCAGAATTTGTTCTTAGAGAAAACAATTTGCTCAATACGAAATAGCTGCAAAATACCAATATTGTTTGTTGACAGAACTGATGAACTACTGCCTTTCATTGATCAGCAGCATCTGACAACTGATTTAGGAGGTGAACTTTGCTTTGACATTGAAGACTGGCTTACCAATAGGATAGTAAGCATATTTCACATATCAGTATTTTTTAGAAAGGTCTCACATACACTTGTGAAATGTTTATTTTTTATGCCCTGAACAGAGCTTATATGCTTAACTGATAACTGTAAATTCACTTCATTTTCACTTCATTTGTAAAAGTATTTATAAGATAGTGTAGTGATCAGAAATTTATGTTTATGTTTTCTATGACTCTGTAACCATGTTTTACAAACAGGGTATTTTGAAGAGACTTATTCACATATTGCTTACTTGTTACGGAAATGATATCACACTTTAAATGACAAATGTATTACCAGTATCAGACGTAAATGACGGAAAACAAGACTTTCTAAAGAAAGATGTCATCCTAAATAGTTCTGTAACCCTAATGAGGTGATATACATGATTGTAATCATTTAAAATGTTTACCTCAGGCTAGAAATTTATTCTACTTTTTTCAGCAGTACCTGTATACAGATACCCACGAAAAACTTTTGGTACACAAGTTTAACAGCTTACTCTGTTGTTTTATCTCATAGGAACTTTATGTGGTGAATGTCTGAAGAAGTGCAATTTTCATGTGTTACGATTATCACGATTTTCAGTGGCTTCCCGTTTTCTCATAAGTGCATCGATCAACACGCATAGAATGAGCTGTACTTGTGATATAGCAGTATAACTAAGAGGACAGACAGATTTCAAATGAAGGCATGTTTGAATATTTGATCCGAAATGCCCTTGTTAGGCTAGACAATTCTGTTAGTTGCAAGTTTTTCGAGAATTAAGTTTACATCCAAAAATTAAGGCGAAGATAAGTTTACTGTCAGAGTATCTCATGAGGCCATGTGTTGATGGTAGTTCGTTCTTCGTAGATTACAATCGCCGCGATTTCTCCATGTTTGGGAAGTTTTCGTTAAGTCAAAGTGATAAAAGTACGCTGATATAAAAACAAATAAAATTCATATGAACGTTAATATGAAAAAAACAGTTAAATGTGATGCATTAAATCACTGTACAGACTTGGTATAATTACATTTTATCGGTGATTTCCTTAAAACGAATATTTCGGAGTTTTTATGAAGTATGTACCATGATATAATTAAAATTTTCTGTTATATATTACTGGTAATACCACTTATTGTGGGGCAAAAATAGGACTCCCAGGTGAATTGCCTTGAATATTTGTAAGAAGGATCAAAAGCTAACCTTTGGTGACAGTTGTGATAAATACCAAAACAATCGTAGATGAGGATTTCATAGTGTTTTAATTTTATTTAATCTTTCTACTCATCCAACAAGCAAAAGTTTGATATGTATTCTCCATTAATCTGAGTTATCGCCCGCTTGTAATATCTGCAGATACTTAGTTGCTCCAAGCGATTCTGGTCTTACACACATATATTTGTATTTCATAAGGATATATCACAAAACGATCGCCTTTATACACAAATCGGTTGCAGACAATAAGAAATGCTGGCGTTTATTCTCGAGTGTTGATCGAATTCTGACAGTCAAGTGTACAATGCAGTCACTAAACCAAGTGACTTGAGATATCAGCTTGAATTATATGGGTGTTTTGTGAATTTCTTTTTAGCAGCGTCCATACTATCCACTGTTTTCCAGCCTTCAAATGCCTGGGAGTGTCAGAAGTCCGTGCATGATGTGAAGTCGAGAGATAAAAAGTAATAGTGTTGAATTGGCATCTGTAGGTGCGTGATGATTTCGATTCTGAAATTTAATGAATCAGGATATTATAAGGTATCATTCAGGATCTAAAACTTTGAGGGTAATGGTGCTGCTTTTTTCACTTTTATCAACAGTAATGCTAGGTAACTGATTCTCTTGTAAATGGTAATCAGTTAGTTTTAATTGATGGGAAATCTGTTATCCGGAACAAATGTTACATTTTGTGTGGGCTGATTATACTGACCAATTGCTCAAGATGGAGTAGGTGAAACTGGATTGTAGCCATTGACTTATTGACTGGAAGTCAAGTGAACCACATCACCATTTTCTGAATATACTTAGTATGTATACTTATCGAGTACTTCTGTTATTTAAATTTTCTTATCTTCTTCCTTTTTATTATATTTGCCTAGTTTAGTTCTTGACTCACCTGTTCTACTTATGTTCAAGTAATCATAGTTGTATTAATAATAATTCGCACTTAGCACCTTCAACCCCCCGAATGTGGTTGAGTTTTGTTTACAGAAAATTATGAAATTATGGCGTTAAGTAGTGGAAGAATAAAATTATTTTTTGTCATTAGTATAGAATGCACTGATTACTTTAGCAGAAAATATTTCCATCCCAATGTTTCATATCTATAAAATGGGCTGAGATTTTACGGAATTGCATTCAGTAGTTTTGGGTTAACTGGGTAGAAATGTCACGCAACAGTTTTTCATGGAGGAAAGTGTAATCAGCCGAATCCCTACAAACCAACACTTAAATATTGATGAGATGCTCACTAGCGACTTGCCCTATTCAGGTAGGTAGTTACCTGGGGTTCTAGTAAGAAGTCGTGACCAGTAGGGTGCAGTAGGTCGGGTGTGAGGACATATACTTGCCGTAGACATTGGCTAGTGGTCGCGCTATGTCATGAACTGGCCATCGGATCGGGTCCCAGTGGCTGAATGGTCTATGAGCTCGCCTTGTAACCAGAATGTCCTGGGTTCGAACCCTGGCAGTGGGTGCGTACTGATGAAGAGTCCCAAACTGGGCTGACGAAACAGCTGTCAAGTACTCCCAGGTTTTCCAATGGTTCTCTAGCCAATGTCAGCTCATGATGAAATCCTGTAGCCAATCAACCAAATCCCTAAAAACCAACACTTAAATAGGAAAGTGTTCCGTTGTTCCACTACACACTGCATGATCAACTGATCTTCATACGGTCAAACTTATTGAAGTAAACACTAAAGTTAAATGCGTTGGGCTGTTTGCAAAGTTCTTGGAGAAACTTTATGCAGGTTAGTATTGAATTACTTGGGACTATGAGATAAACCAAACAGGTAGTTTGACAATTATAAATCACAATTTTGACACCTCAAGTGTTTTGATCTGTATGATTGACGTAAATTCATTAAATTTTAGCGACTATTTACTAACTTGTTAAATATCATTTTAACATTGTCGTAGCGTGGTGGGCTCATTCACCGATATCAGACTGAGAAGCTTAAGTTGTTGTGTTTTGAGCGTTTTAGTTAGTTTTCTTGGATAAAGGTATTCGAAAACTTCTAAATAAATAATCTCCGATTTAAACAAAATATTATATATATATTGAACATACAGTTTTAAAGTTAAAATTCATGAATATCCTATTCATTATCATACTTGTATATTTTTCATCAGGTCCGACAAAATATCTTGTATTATATTACTCGAAAAGACTCCTGTGTTACGTCTACTCAAGTATGTAATGTGTATATCCCTCCATCCATCTGAGTGTCTTAATATTTTGAGCGTGAATGGCTAATCTATCATATTTCTTGCTGCATGGTGCTTTTATAATTAAAATAACACCTAATTATCTATAATTATCCATCTAGATAATAATAATACTGCTAATAATCCAATGGTATTTTTTGAATAATTAAGAAAAATCGCTTACTTTTGATTGGCTCAGTCTAACCATAAGTTGATTCTGTTTGCTTTAGTGTGTACACTTAACTAAAAAAGACAATGAGACTAAAAGAGAGAAATACTGCCCTCATTTTATATGCAGATTAATCACTTGTTGTTTGCTATTCGTTTTTATTTTTTGCTTTGTGTTCTTTTTGTTGTTTATCGCTAAAATTATCATATTTTGTGTGTGCGCGTGTGTGTGTGTGTGTGTGTGTGTGCCTGAGTGTAACTATCATTTTGACTGGTATTAGATAAACTGTCAGCCATGAGGCCTACACATATAACCAATCTTCTAACCTTATGCTGAATAATACATGATGAAGTCTGAAGAAATTGAATGCCTAGTTTTTCACGTCTCATATTGTTTTCACTTTTCATGTTTTATTGTGTAATCTGGTGTGAACACATTATTTGAAATCTTTTCTTTTTATCAAATACCAGTAATGGTGTCTATGTTCTTTCATCAGAGTTGAGCATTCTGTGGAAACTTAAAGAAAATGCTTAACAATTGCACATTATCTTCTTTCTCTTGTCTTACAATCAAGCGTATTGAGGAATATTTTGAAGATGTGGAAAATTTATGCACTGAGTTGAAGAATATTTTGAATCAGTATTATGATAAAGACTGCCAACAGGAAGAAAGTCATCAGCGGCAACTACAACAACAACATGATTATTCTTACGATTCATCGTCAGATGTATCTTCACTATTAAAAACCTGTGAAATGAATAATTTCTACAGTTATGAAAAAATGCTGGAATTTCGTAAACAACGTCATCATTGGTTACATCGTGTTAGTGATTGTGAGACACGAGGTTTGAAAATACGTGAATGTTTATTGTTGAGACAGTCTAATAATGGTAATGATAATAACAATAATACACAAGAAGAGAACGATACAGAAGATGGTACAGTTACATGTAATACATCATCAGCATGGGCTAATACAAGTGATGCTTATGATTTACCAGTTGATTATGTTTTTCATATGATCTCATTTGATCGGATATTCATTCGACTAACAGAAGCTCGTGCTGAGTTACGACGTTATTGGAGTGAATATATTAAACGAGTTCGTATTACATCATTTGTTAGTGATATTGAAAAACAGTATTATGAGGTAGGTATTGTTGATGCTTGATTTGATTTTAATCTTCTAGGCCAGTTATTGTTTGTACTATATAAATGTTTTAAAGTATCGAAAAATATTTTGTTTTTTCTAGGACTACTGTAATTTCTTTTATGTAATTTAAGGGCATGAGAAGTTAGGTCAGTTCATCACAATAAAGCTTATTCCCTCCGATAATTATGTCTTCTGACGTAACATGTGAAATCCCAGATATTCGAGTCAGATATTCACACTAAATCTTTAGGTGATGTATTCAGGTAACGTAACTGTACTCATTTTTCTTGCGTATCCCTTTTGTACATTAACTCCTCAGAACTAATATTCTTACAAAGCCTACTTTTTTGACTACCAGTCAGACAGTTACTGATGGCTTACACACCTACCTGTAAAATTTCATACGGTGTACATTAAAAAAAGCATATTTACGACGAATTATGCTGCCCACCATACGGCGTAAGGTTGAATACAAGTGATACACCTGAGTTATGTCCCTGGGCTCTCTTTTTGCAACCAATGAATCATGATTTTAAACGTTTCGATGAAGCTGTCCGATTTAAGCAGTTAGCTTTTACTGCTACGTCGTCAGTTGAAAACGTAATCCGTCTATCGAAATTCGCACATCCACGTACTAGTGTTTATTTCCTACACAATACATGTTCACAAAATTGCAAGTAGCTAGTAAGTTACACGTCTTCGAAGCTGTCAAGCTAGAGAATTATTTTGACTTATCATGTATCAAAGTTCGTAGACAGTTACACCTGTGTAGATCTCAGAAGCAACGTACGCTAGAAAACAGACATTCCAAACGTAAATTTAACTGCCAGATCATATCTGTATTCTGCCAGTTGCGAGTAGGCAAACTTCATCGTGATATTTAGTATTAATAATTATATTTACTTCCCAATTTTCATGAATTGGTCTTCTCCGGGAAGAATGCTTCAAGACTAGTCTCTAGCAACACTTAATTTGACAAACAGAAGTAAAGGGACTGAGTATTTCAACCGCTAGTTATGTGAAGCGTCTCACTAGAACTACCATAAAGGAGTTGCTAGTGAAATCACACCATATGCAAAAGCTTATACTAACATAATTTTTAGCATTTATGAAATATCCACATGTTTGTCAGTTGGAAATGTTCCTCAGCAATCCTCTCGCTGTTATTTAGTTTGCTGTAGCTTTCGAATACAGGGAAGTTATAGTAGTTGGGTATTCTCGTAGCCTCCATCTTTTGTATTAGAATGAGGTAGGTGGTATTGATTTTATGCATACATTCTTAGCCAATAAGAATAAGTGAGTACATGAAGACTGTAAAGATGATAGGGAATATTAGGTAATCATCTCGACTTATGTGAAGAAAACTTGTGAGAAATTTAGTAGCTGTGTTTAAGATGGTCGCATTATTGATCCACTTGCAAAGTAAGTGAATAAAATAACGGGAAGAAAGTCATTTCTGAAAAGGTTCTACTCGCCCTTATCATTTATTTGCTTACTACTGAGTCATATGTTTGAATTATGTTAATATAAAAATGGAAGAATACTAAGTTTTGACTAACCACCACTAGAAGTTTTTGAAAAACAGAGAATTACAAACTTTGGTTAGGTAATAGCTATGTTTTTATTTCGTCTTAGTCTTTTAACAGCCTGTCGGTGCTCTTTTGTGAGTATACTATAGGGCGTGACTCTTGGTACACTACAACTTAAATTGTTATCTCTAGGACCTAAAACCTGTGATTTTTGTACGGAGATTAGTCAGATTGACACTGATGTATAGTTCGAGAACCTCTATATACAAACAGGAGACTTGGTCGCCTTCTGTGATAAGGACCTCGAAAAACTCAAATTAACCCTGGTAGACTGTTGCTATCAGTATAGACAGAAGAATAAGAATACGCCCCATTGTATACTCACAAAAGAGCGTCGAGACGCTGTTAAAAGACTAAATAAAAACTTCGTTTAGACTGAGAAAGGTGTTTGTTGGGGTGCGGGTCGAATTTATTTCTTTTTTACTGATTTTGATAGCTGATAACTCTGTGCTGCAATAAAGACTGAGATTGGTTTTATTGTATCAACTGAAAAATGATCTTGATCAGAATATGCCTCGGGGTCAGAAGCCATATGACCCGGTTTTTGTTATGGGCTTAAATGTAGTACATTTTATAGTTTTTTCTGGTTATGGATATCACTGTGGGCACCTTAACTAGGTCTTCATTTTCCATCAGATCTAGGAGAAAGGCATACTTACTGATGCTTGACTCGAGCCGTACCACTTGACTTTGAGGCGTCATTGGTATTCCTTTGGTGGAGGTACTTAAGTAGGGCCTCTTAATGATAGTTGTAGCTGTCCCTTCTAACACATGTGTTTGTGTCAGAGCATTGCGTAAGATGCATATTTCATGTTTTGACCACTGGAAATTTCTACTTTTAAGTCGTCTTTACTGTAGCAAAACCTCTGAATAACCTTTTCTTCTGATTTAACCGAGAATATTTTCTTGGTCATGGAAAAATAGATTTATTAAAGACAAATGATGCAGTTATATTAGATGATGAGCTAGTGAAGTATTAACTCTTAAACATATCAGAAAAACATGTGAATAGCATGCATGTTTCTATTCATCAAAAGCCTAATGTTCACATTTGTCAATAGAAAATTGTTGAACGCATTGATCCTGTCACTCATTGAAGAAGTCGCATCATATCTAGGTTGTCAGTAGTCGACTAAATTTTATCATATGCACGGAAATTGCTAGTGATGCTGAAAAATATCGTATGAACACTCACCATTGTTTCACGAAACAAAACTTTTACATCTAACCAGTATGTGATTCATTAATTAACGTAATATTAGGTTGAGGAGAGAAATGGGGTTGTGAACCTTTCTTGACAAGACTCCAGTTGAACATAGAGGAGACGGAGGTGATGAAGATAACCAACGAACCGCAACGACAACAACAACCAGCAGCAATCACCATCAACGGGAGAGATTTAACAGAGGTTACCTCCTTCACTTATCTAGGAAGCATCGTTTCAAATACAGGAGGAATGGATGAAGGTATCGAAGTCAGTCAGGAACGGAAAGGCAAGATACACCTTCATCAGCCTGAAAGCAGTTCGAAAATTTTCTAAACTTAGCATAAGGAACAAGATTCGCATGTTTAACACCAATGTCAAGTTGATCCTTCTATACGGGTCAAAAACTTGCACTGCGTGTCATGAAAAGAATTTCCAACAGGCCGTTGTAGACTTTTATCAACAGCTGCCTTCGCTGGCTCCATACTGAGGATCAAATGGTCAGAAAGAATAAGCAACAAGAAACTCTGGCTGGCAACAAACCAAGAGCCTATGGTTCAACAAATATGTAGGAGAGATTGGATATAGATCGGGCGTAGATCGAGGAGGCCGTCGAATGACGTCGCGTGTGTCAGGTCATTGCTCGAGGGGAATACCAATAGGAATTGACGAGTAGGTCGTCCCAGGGTGACATGGAAGAGGTCGTGCGAGGAAGAGATGAGAGAGTTTGAGTAACCGTAGACTCAGCTGAAGAGGACGGCAGAAGACAGGACAAAATGAAGATGTGTTACTGAAGCCCTATGTTCCACTCGCTATCCAAGGGAATAATAAAAATAATAAACCTTTTTCGAAGTGTACCTTGGATGCTGTGTAGACTAACATTACATGTACTGTGTGAGAAAAATCAAACTTAGTGAGCGAAAAAAAGCTTTTTTCAACATAACTTACATTATGTTTTGTTTATTTGTAATTATATTCCAAGTCCATTATTTATAATTTATTTATTTTTTTACTTAAAAACTTTTAAAGTGGAAGTCTGTAAAATGAACCAAGTTAAGTGCTTAATAATGCAATGCTTCACTAGATGAGTCACTGGAAATGCGGGTTGTTGTAGTTATTAGGTATCTGAAAATTACTCTTGATATCATATGGTGGCTGTATTATTCATCTTGAACTGAAATGTCAAACGCAAAGAAGTATAGAATTACAATAGTAGTATTGACTATATTGATACAATTTAATATTTTTATAACAATTGTACTCACTGTATCTGTATAATACGTAATGGTCGCTGGTGCAGCACAATTACTATCTAGAAAAATTCTGAGTTTAATGAGGTGTAGAAGTGTGAATTGCTGCTGAGTAAATGATTGCCTAAAGAGCAGTAAGGAATAACTTCAAAGATCTCGTCTTTCATGAGGATTATAATGATAGGGGTTAAGTGAAATATTCAAAATTGTAATTCTTTCTACTCGGAGCTGTTTCAAAACACAACCAGTTAAAATGTTGGGTTTATTTTAAGTACTTTTGAATTTAATAGAGTTATAATTGTATTCGAAGAAAAAAACCCTGAGTTTTTTTTTTGCGGTGGAGGATTCAGCCTGTGGCCTATAGTTTCTGCTTCATTTTTAATTGTATCCTTATTACAATAAGCAACCCGCTGAACTAGTGCTACATTGAATAGTTTCATTAGTATTGTAGCATGTATCAGTCTTGGCATTAGATGGTTGGAGGCGATGGGCAGGAAGCATAGGACCTAGGCTTCGTGTTAGTTGGCACTCATCAGCAAGGCGTTTTAGCAGCCTTGAAGGAACTCATTTCCCTTCTGAGATTCGAACCCGCGTCACCCAGTGCTGCAGTCAAAGACGTTACCACTGAGTTATTCAGGCTCGCGATTGACCTACTGTAGGACTGTATTGGATATTTTTCATTGCACACTAGTCAGTAACTAGTGCATTGGAAGCTTGACTGATAGAATTCAGTCTGCGCCGAAGATAGGACTAGATACATTACACTAGTTACTGATGAGTGTGCAATCAAAAATGTATGAGTCTGTTTAGTTTTAGTGAAAGTGTAGTTCCTTATTGGTACGTACTTTTAAACTTCATCGTTTATCATCACCTATTTTAGTTTTCTTGAAAGAAAATTTCTTCCATAATTTAATAAGTATTTATTGTTGTTGACACCTAGTCAATGTTCCCTATTGAAAGTGAAATTTAATAAACAAAAATACAGAAATCACTGTGATTTGATAAATAGTAATAATCTGTGGACCCTTCAGAGGACATCATTAGATCGTAGTAGAACTGAACTTCAGACATTCAGTTTTTCTGCCGGAGATTTTAGCCTTGGTTTATGTTATGTTTATTATTTGTAACTTCTAAGGTGGTATGAGACATCATGTCAGGTGTAACCGCCACCTTGACATGGTGGTTGGGCTTGCATATCGAAATGACCCAATGAGCTACACTGACTGGAACTAATGTTCCTAAAGGTCCTACCATGCTAGAAATCCGGCTAAACGCAGTTACCACCATAGTGTAGGTTACTTACATTCTGCTGGGAGTCTGTGGGCAAGGTGTTTTCCTCATATGACTAACATGCCAGATTTTTTGCCTCTTTAGTCTGGAGAGAGGGGGAATTTGAAGTATCTTAACACGGACATAACTCTAATAATCAATTCAAACAGGCCGTATGTGACCTGCCTCGAGCGGTAGTCCCCTGGGCTCTGCAGTCACACAAAGCCAGTTCTTTTTTTTGTTTCAGGCACCCCAAGAGAAAAAAACCAACTTCCGTGGTGTGGGCAGTCGGAAAGTAACAATCGCCCACACACTTCCAAAAGCAAACAAAGCTCTACTGATCATCATCCATCTGTTAGTACGTACTTATTTATCTAGGCATGGTGGAAATTAAATTTATGGGAGATTTTTTCGTGAATCAGGTCCTGATATCTCAAATAGACGAAAAGTGGCGATTGTAGGCTCTTTCCAGTAAAATCTGCTTGCTTAAAATTAATCCGTACTTGTCTCCCACTGTTAAAGAGCTTCTGATTTCCAGCGCTGTCTAATTCTACACTAATTGTTTAGCTCATGGCTGTTTGTGACAAAATTTACCTTGGAATCAGTTGAAATCCCCATAGATAGAACAACTAAGTGTGAACATTCCTTTCTAGCAAGAAAGCATTTGGCATACAAGTTTTCGCACCATTTGACTGTTTCTGAGGAATGTGGTTTTATCTATTGTTGGAACACAAATAAAAGGCTGTTGTGATTCGTAAATGTTGATTATTATTGTTGTCGTGATATTATAGATTGTATACAGAATACTTCTTTCTGTATTACTGCATTCTTATTGTCCCTCTTTTTTTTTTTACTCTATTTACTTTCAGTTTTCTGCACTTTCAAATGCATGGAATAATCTTATCGAATCTTTGGTTGATTATTTACCAGTTAAAGTGTCCAATTCATCCTCGTTATCTCCACTACACCATTCTAGTCAATCATCTTCAGATAGTAATAGTAGTAATAAGGTGACTACTAATACTTTAGGATATTCACCATCACATTGTATCATCCATTCTGCATTAAAAGATGACTGTGATGAAGCGAATTCATCGTTGAGTAAAACTATGTTAGAAGATTTGGAGTCATTATCATGTCGGATACTAGAAGCAGAAACTACTGGTGGTCGCCTACTGCCACGATTGGAAGAGTTGGCTAAAATTACAAATACCTTGGAATCTTTTATTGTGTGTAAACAAGAGATATCTGATAGTAATGATTTGAAGCATAATCACGAAGGTAATCACATATTTCTTTTGATAAGTGTCTAATTTATTTGTTATTTTGGCTAAAGACACTCGTGTGTTTCTAGTTGATATTACGTAATAATGTAAATTGATGACCTTTTCTATTATGAAACATATACCAATCATTTAATTAGTGTGTAGGCAGTCAAAATAATTTCTACCTCGGACTCTTTTAAAAATAATTATGTATTAATAAATAACCGTTGTATTCTGGAGCAAATATTCGTATAGAAACACGTTTTCGGGTAGACTTTTTGAGACATCAGTGACAGGACGTCTCAAAGAATAGATTACATAAGTACAAATGTCTTGAAAATCTTTTCGTATTCTTTCGTTTTTCTTATCCTTTTCTGTTTTTTATCTTCTTACGACTTATGGAGTTAATATTTCCGAATTCCCTTGTTCACTTCTCTGATTTGCTAATGTAAAGTGCGAAATCTTTGTTGCTTTTCTGTGTAGACAGCCTCTTCAGTGAACACTCTAAAAGTTTTATTTGCATTAGGTAATCTTACGTAAAACTAATCTTTCTTGAAGGTGTCATTGGAGATGAAATTCGATATCGAATTATTTAAGCACAAAAGCTGACAGTAAGCACGTTCCATCAGTCTTGATGTCTTTCATAATCGCTTCATTTTCACAACTGCGGTAGCATTTTAAGCTGGGAGTGAAGTAACTATCACTCCATACGTTGACAATTCCATTTATGACAACATCTGAAAGTGTTTTGATCGGTACTGTCTTGCTTAAAAATCTCAAGGTTGTCATACACCTGTAGCTTCACTCACTTTCGTAGGTGGGTTGTTTGAAGTTGTCGATAATTTCATGTATCTGGGTATTTGAATGAGTGTTAGAAGAGATGTGACGGATGAAATCTCCAGCCGTACAGTAAAAACCAGTGTGATATACGCTAATTTGGGCTACATCTGGCGCCGTTGTGACGCTTGTGAGAGATGATTCTGTGTATCTGATCATCACTGCCTCTGTAAAACTTCTTGAACCCTTCCTTATAATGTTCTTTTACTTTTTTGCATAGCTTATTTCTTGGTTGCCATATTCTACCAAGTTTGTTTTGATAAATAAATATCGGAGATCAGCCGAAATTCTGCATTCTTTAGTTTCAAGTACTAACAGAGTTTTTGTTGGTGAGATTATTGCAGTATTGAGTTATTCAGTTTTCAATGTTTGAAGTGGCTTCAATTCCATTATTGATAAATGCTAACAGACAATAAATAAATGTAAGCCGCATAGAGCTCTCTTTCCATAGTGTGTTTAATAGCTTAACGTGATAGTTATTGATCATACTTTTTGGATTGCTTATATATACATATATAAAAGTTTCGAATATCTATTCTACTGATTCAGTAGTTAATTGGTGGATGGTGACTAGCAGTGGAATCCAGGATGCGCATTTCGTCCTATTTGGGACTTGTCATCCGGATGCACCTGCATTTCCCAGTGAGTGATGATGTACCCACCAAGGCTCGAACCTAGTGTCCATAGTTTCAAACGCCAAAGCGTTATCCACTAGACCACTTGGGCCACGAGAGCCACCTCTTGTGCAACGGGTCATGTTAATTTAATAGAATTTGAGATTTTCCTATCGATTGATTGGACCGAAGTGTTCGGTCTCAGGTTGAAATATCGGCTTCAGTAGTTAGTGTACATTCTATCAGACTGAGTTATCATGAGTAGTAAGCGGAGGATGAGTTCACCACAACAGTATTTGTATCTTTGGAAACGGACTCAAAGTTCCAAGTCACTTATCACTACGTTGCAAGTTTAAACCTGTTTTTATTATTTCAGTATGGAACAATAGTCAATTTTGTCGTGTTTATTTTTTCATCCAATAATAATAAACTCTTCTTTATTAGGTTAGTATATATGATACATCAGTAGAATATTATGCACGGTCTGATATTGATTAGTTGGTTACATTACTTGTGTAGAAAAATAACATGTCGTCGTGTTTGGTGTTCAACGTTGATAATCACGTAATAGGAGACTGTTCACCCTAGCTTTGTGTGTTTGTTTGTTGACACATTATTGTATCATAACTGGTTTTCCTAAGACAATCAGTGTGATGCATATGTATGAAACACAAAATAATCGAGCAAAGAATATTCTTTTCGATAAATTCCTCTTCCAGCTCTACAGTTATATATATGTTTATATACACAGAATATTCTAGATTAGTAGTTACTAACAATACTAGTGTTTTTTAAATACTATCGATTTGTAAAGTAATATCGAAAAGAATATTCTTTGCTCGATTATTTTGTGTTTTATAGGTGTCTGAATGAATATTTTGGCATATGTATGGTGTTTCATTGGTTTATTTTCTCATAGATAAACTACAATTCTGGTCGATAGAGATATCATTGCACTGATTAAGGTATTTTACTCGAACTCAAGCAGCCAGGTGAGTTGTCATTTGAAGTGGTGACGACTAGTTGTGTCCGCCAAGGATGCCCGTTATCCCCATTTCTATTCAATTTCATCATAGATGTACTAATGGACTTAACCCTAACTCACTTGAGAGACTCACGGATTGACTTGCTACCAGGGAATAATCTCGTTGACTTAGAATGTGCAGATGATATAGTCCTTCTAGGCGAGGACGCTGACAAAATGCAGAGTCTTCTAAACACCTTGAGCTGCAATCTACGAATATTTGGCATACGATACGCTCCCGCCAAATGCAAAATGATGTTACAGGACTGGACTACATCGACGCCTAGTTTAAAAATAGGAAGTGAAGTGGTGGAGCACGTTGTCCGCTTCACTTATTTGGGTAGTACCATCAGCCAACGCCAACGGGTTGATCTCTGACGAAATCTCTGCACGGATACAGGGGCTCGTTTTGCATATGCCAGTTTACGCGATATCCGGCTTCCGACCGAAGGACGGGTGTATTGCTCATCAGTCCGCTCCGACCTCCTTTATGGCTGCGAATGAGACATGAGCCTGACATAAGGTCAGGCTGGAAAAGAGCTAGTAGCAGTCAAACCAAAACATGGCACCAGTCAATGAAATCTACAACATTTAGTTTAAGCCATCCACGTAGGAAGGTGTAGACTTTCTGACTGGTAAGGTTCCTCGGGACGGTAAAAACTAATGGTTGGAAACAGTTGGTGATATGCCTCAAAATCGTTCTCAATGGCTAGTGCAGATGCTCTTGGTTATTACTATTCCTTTGTCCCACACCTCTGTTTACTGTCTCTATTATGCATTTCTTGTACTTTCTTCTCTTTCTTTGTGTGCTACAAGGAGGGAGTGTGGCGACTTGAACTGGTGCACATCGGTGCAAAGTTCTATGTCGAAAACAGACAGACAGAGACAGATAGAGATGCCAGCTAAGTATTTAGTAGTACTAACATTCCAAGGGGTTAATTTGTGTACTTTCATTTACATGTATTGACTTTGTGTTTATATAACTGTTTATGAAATATATTATTCAAACAATATTGTTTATCTTCCCTATGGTGTTATTTCCTAAAGCTTCATTCCTCTGTGATGTAAGCGGATTATTAAGTGCTGATTTAATTCCAAATAACACTTGTTCCGAAATGCCAACAACGCTAACAATCAATGCCAGTCATCAATACACTGATATCAATCATAATTCTAGTTTATCCTTATGCTCAAGAGAGGAGGAGATGAGTGAACCAGCATCGTCTAACGCGGATGCATTGCATGACACTGATTACACACTAAATACCAACCTTGATGAATGCATGAAACAACGTTTTCCACCGGTGAGATTTCCTTCTACTATCAAAGACTGGTCTATATTATTTAAAAGTATGATTGAATTAGCTAGTACAGATCTACCGAAAGCAGCTGATCAAATCAATCGGTTATTACAACTTTATACAGAAATAGATAATGTAAGTAATCTTCTACTACTTATTTTTTTTCTCACACGTGGAAAGAAAAGGCTATCAAAGTACTCATAAACTGAGCTATAAATTACTTAAGACGATAACAGAAAATACCTCATTATGTTAATGTCTATAGTGAATCGATGTGACTTCGATGTAGTTGTGTTCTCTAAGCTGGATGGTTCATTTGAGAAGCCTTCATCACTGCCTTACTAGGCAACATCTTCAGTGTATACTTCAATTTGTTGAAGTGAACTTTTAGATTTCTCCACGAGTTTATTAGTCACCACTCCTGGTGGGTGATCTTAAGCGTGATTGGTTGTTTTTGTGTGTTTTCACACCCTCTAGGCTATTTGCATTGGTACTGATTGTTTCCTTGACCTGAAGTTTGACGCTTTGTGTACGAGATTTCCTTCTTATCGATTGGTAAATTTTGTCTATGTCAATGTTTGTGTTGACTGACGATTCACTGGAATACCAGGCTTCCAAAAATTCTCTGGCGAAGTTGTTGCAACGACTGCGAAAAACACTACATTGGCCGTAGTGGATGCCCTCTTCGTTTTTGTATCCATGATCATAAACTAGCTGTCAAAAGAAATGACATTATTATTATTATCATATCCTTTAATTCCTAGAGGAACATAGGGCTTCAGCCGCTCGTCTCCATTGCCTTCTCTTTCCCGCCAACTTTTTCACTCCGCTCCAAGTCTGCCCACACGCTTTCATCTCCTCTTTGCATGACCTCCTCCAATTCACCCTTGCACTGACTACCAACTCGCCGCTTCCCTCCGGGTTCCACTAGGGCGATGGCTTGTCTAGTGATGTCACTTGATGGTTTGTTTCCTCAGCGTATGGCCAATCCATCTCCATTTTTCCCTGCCTATTTGTTCTACAATCGGTTCCTGCTGAGTTGGTTCGCTCATTGCCAGAGATCCCTGTTGATGATCTTTTCTGGCCGGCCATCTTGAGCAGGGTACTGAATGAAGACAACTGTTAAGGAAGGTCTGTAGTTTGAGGTGCTCTTCATGACGCGCCAAGTCTCAGATCCGTGTAGTAGCACTGACTTCACATTGGAGTTGAAAATCCGGATCTTATTTTTGATGCTGAGTGCTGTTGACCCCCATACAGACTTGAGAGTAATGAGAGCTTGTCTTGCTTTCCCAATCCTTGCTTTCATATCCTCGTCAGTTCCGTCCGCCCAGGTCGGTAGGTAAAGGAGGTTGTTTCTTTCAGGTTCCTCCCATTTATGCTGGCTGATTGTTGTCTGTTGTTGTTGTTGTTGCTTTTGGTGTTGGCCAGGAATCTTCATCACCTCTGTTTTATCTATGTTCACCTGAAGTCCTATTTTTGATGTTTCTTGTGCCAACTTGTTGCTTTTCACTTGCATATCTTCCGGTTTGTGGGAAATCAGACATATATCATCGGCGAAGTCCAGATCCTCCAAGTCTTTTGTGTGAGTCCATTTTATGCCTGTTTCCTCATTGGCCGTTGTCTGTCCCATTATCCAATCTACTGCAATCAGGAAGATCGTTGGCGTTATTAGACAGCCTTACTTCACTCCCGTCCTCACTTCGAAGGCTTCTGTAAGTTTCCCGTTGTGGATTACTTGGCATGCAGCATTGTCGTATATAACTGTTGGATGAGATGTATAATTGTCGATGGGACCGCGTAGTAGCGAAGTAGTTGCCAAATGACCTATCGATCGACGCTGTTGAAGGCCTTTTCAAAGTCGATGAAGTTGAAATAGAGAGGTGACTGTCATTCCAAGCTTTGTTCAATGATGATCCGTAGAGTGGCGATTTGATCAATACATGACTTGTTTCTCCTGAATCCAGCTTGTTCCGGTCGAAGCTTTTCATCCAGGTTGGCTTGTTTGATTCTCTCCAGGATGACGCGGCTTAGTATTTTGCTTGGGATGGACAGGAGCATAATTCCGCGCCGGTTTTTTGCATTGACTTAGGTCTCCTTTCTTTGGTAGTTTGAATAAGTATCCGTTCTTCCAATCCTCAGGTACACTGCCCTCTTTCCATACCTTCTCCAGTAATGGCGTCATCAAGTCCGCTGTTGTCTCTGGGTCCATCTTCAACGCTTCTGCTGGGATTCCATTTGGTCCTGCTGCTTTTCCAGCTTTTAACATCTTGATTGCATCCAGGACTTCTGGTTTCGTCGGGGAGGGGGATAGATGTTCACTGGTAGTTCTGCTTCCGTTGTTGGTATTGTTGGGCGTGTTGTAGGTGGCGGACGATTTAGAAGTCTTTTGAAGTCTTCAACCCAGTGTTTTCTTTGCTCCACTTCTTTGGTGATCGACTTTTCATTGTCATCCTTTACTGGCTTTATCTGTGTCGAACTTTTGCCTGATAGGTGCGTAGCTGTTTGGTAGAGTGTGGCGAGGTCTCCTTTGTCTGCAGTTTGTTCTGCTTCACTTGACATGGCTTCATAATATTTTCTTTTGTCTTCCCTGGCACTCTTCTTCACTCTTTTGTTCAGCGTATTGTAGCTTGCATTCAACTCCTGTTTTTGTTTCTCGTCGGTGCACTGGATAGTCTTTTGTTTCACCATCCTTCTCTCTCCTATTAATTTCCAAGTGTTCGTAGTGAGTCACTGTTTGTCCTGTCTCTTTTTCCTGCCTAGGACTTCCATGCAGGTTTGACTCCACACCGTTTTCAAGTTGTCCCAGTGCTTTTCGACACCGACCTCTTCGCTAGTGTTGATTTGTGTGTTGGCTTTGTCCCTTGTGCTTGCAATAAAGATATCCTTTATAGCTTGGTCCTTCAGTTTTTGAGTGTTGAACTTAACTTGTGGACTATCTGCAGCTCCTATTTCTCTGAAAGCTTTTAATTTGATTTGGATTGTCCCTTGTACGAGATAGTGGTCTGAGCCAACGTCTGCTCCTCTTCTTACTTTTGTGTCCAATAGGCTGCGCCTCCACTTCCTTGAGATTGAGATGAAGTCAATTTGGTTTTCGGTTCGCCCATCTGGTGACACCAATCCACCTGAGCTACAAATCTTCTCCAGCATATCTCGATGTGACTTCATTGTCTCAGCTACTCATATTCTCGCTTGTTGTCATGTTACTTTGTTACTTCTAACCAAAACAATTTTTAAATTACTAATTATTCATGATACTGAAATAAAGTGAATGAGAAGTAACTTTTCTGTGGAACAAAATCTCAAGCGTATTAATCTTATTGTTGAGTACTGCAATCATCTCTTTTCCCGAACAATAATCGCTCTATTCTGTACTACACTTTTGTGCATTATACAAAGTTTGAAGGTGAAATGATGGTTGACAATAGGTATTTCTAAAAAATTTTAATTCTTTGCCTTCCGAGGAGAACACAGTACTTCAAGCTTTAGCTCTGAATTTTCATTAGTAGGTGGTGTTTATTGCTTACGGGGTGGAGTTGTTAGCCTTACGCCCAACTTTCTTCTTTACCGAGTTTTCTGGAGGCGCTAAGTGAGGTTAAGGAGTACCTCGGCGGGCAATTGATTGTCGGACCACGTGCGTGGGTGGAGAATATTCTACCACTAAATCACCGGCACACATTACGTTATGTGGATTGGATATAATGTATTGCTCTATTTTCGAAGCAAACAATAATGGCCAATGCTGCCGCATGATATAACGATACAGTCATCAATACAGTAAAAAAAGAAACTCAAACAAAATAAGCATAGGCAATATGCATCCACTGGGATTCGAACCCAGGACCTTCCGGTTACAAGGCAAGCTCGTATACCATTGAGCCATTGGGATTCGATTCAATGGCTCATGGATTCTAACTCCTACCAATTCGTGATTTAGCACGACCCCAACCATTGTTGTTGGTGGGACGTCCATCCACACAGGTGACATCTAATTGGACCTCACTTGTCACGACCTCTCACCAGAACTTCAGGAATTGGGTCCCACTGGCTGAATAGTATACGAGCTTGCCTTGTAACCGGAAGGTCCTGGATTCGAATCCCAGCGGGTGCGTACTGCCAGTGATTCCCAAAACTAGGATGAAACAGCAGCTGTTCAGTACTCCCTGGTTTTCAGTTGTTCTCTAACTGATATCAATCCGTGATCAACTCGTAAAAGCATAACTAACCCTTAGAAAAGAAGCATATTCACGTATACCCATTCTGTATTATTTGAAAAATTTCAACGTCTCTTCTAGCTACTGTTTTATCTTCAGTGGCCTCCACACTTTTCTGTAGCACGTCATTATTCGATCAAATTGAGTTGAATAATTAACCCCTTCAGCTTTGATGTATGTATTCATAACCAGGTGTAATTCCGACCAAGGCTAATCTACATTCTACCAGGCAGTATTATGATTCTTTAAAAGCGGTAGAAATTTGCACAGATATTTTTTCATACAATGATTTGTATTCATTCCAGGTAATTTCACGATAAGACGATATTAATTTCTTTATTTTATTTAGGCTGCATCATGGATTAAAGAAGGACGTAATTTATTAGAGACAGTAACGCCACCAGAGAAACTTACTAGCATGGATTTAGCAGAATGTCGAACACATATGGATGAATTGGTTGCATTTACTACTTCACGTCAAACAAGATTAGAATTACTGGGGAATCCGAAATTATTTCATACACGATTAGCTGGATTGCTGGATGCTGATTTGAAGGTGAATATGAATGTTCCATTCTAGGTTGTTAGACAACTATTTAAAAGTCTCATTAATTAAACAAAAAATATTCTTTCCGATAAATTTGTCATCGGGTTATGTTATGTTATGTTATCAACAGCATTAATGGTTAAAATGACATTAAATCCACTAGTATCCACAAAATACATTTCGAAAGCATTAGTAAGACACTAACTCAAAATCGGATGAATTTAGAGAGGTAACGCAGAATCTGTGAATCCATAGACTCGACAGCAGGCCAGAATAGCATTAGTGGCGGCTGGACCTGCTTCTTTTGCACTTAGGGCTCCAGTTGATTTAGCCGTATTGCAATGGCATCTGCTGTTTAGAGTCTTCGGTAGCTGGATACCTTTCGTAATTTATTTGACACTCGGTAGATGGTTGAAGGAGATTCTTCAACGACAGCCTGTTTTCATGAGGTGGTCCAATATACGTTGATGGTTTTAACAGCACCTCTATTTTGTCACACTGGTAGGTGTTCCCGAGCACGGAAAATTAGGCCTGTAGAGCAACGATCAATATAAATGTCGATTTAGTGTAGTTTGGGACGTTGATGTTATTAATAACAATATTTCTCTAATTATTACTGTCATATAAATGTAGAACTTGAAGATGAATTTGTGGAAAAGAATATTCTTTGTTCAATAATGAGTCTATTAACGGGCACTTTCAATGGATTAGTATATTATGCAATTCTGTGTTATGATTTTGTATCTCATGCTTTCACGCTTTGACGTCCAAAATTGGTTTTTAGATAGTAAAAGTAGTACTTCAAGTAGATCGTTTTGTTTGGTCAAGCAACAGTTTTTGTAGCATACATTTTTATTTACGTTAAACAGTACTGACTTACTTTAATTTTAATTAATTTTATTCTTTTACGTTCCCAGTGGAACATAGGGCTTCAAGCTTGAGTTTTGAAGTTTCGATAACCGTAGTGTTTATTTTTACAAGGTGGGGTTGCTAGCCTTATGCCAAACCTTTCCTCTTTACCAGTTTTACAACTGGCTTAGCGAGGTAATGGAGTGCGTCGTCTGGGGATCGAATCCTGAACCACAAACTTGATTGGCGAGCATTCTACCCCTGTAACACCGACGCAAACTGACTTACTAATTTTATTTATTTAACTTTTGGAATGGAAGGAAACCTTTTGTCCTTATATTTTCATTCGAATAGCAATCCTACGGTCTGTTATTCGTAGTGATGATAAAATTCCTTAGCATCCTCCCCGGAGATTTTGTTTCAGTACATTTCATTGATGAAACTCAAAATTCAAAAAGATTACAAAGCTAGAGACTATGTAGCATGGAAGTTACTTCGTCCTCTTTTTATGGCTCTTCAATAGATCGCACCCATGATACCACCAAGAATAGAACACGGAACTTTCAGGTTACGAGGTGAGTATGTTTATCACTCAGCGAGTGGGCAGGAATTCTATGACCCATGGATTTTGACTTCTGTCAGTTTACTATATAACGCTTCTATCATCTGATGTAACTCTAAATACTTGATGAAGTTAAGCGGAGATCAGCGTGTAGTTAGTTATAAAGAAGCGATTGAGTAATATTTGTAACCTGTTTAGATTTTGCGTGTGTACTGTCAAAAGTCTGGCATAAAGCAATCTTTGCTTTCACACTTTGTCAATTCTTGTATTCTACCCATCCCCCTTTACTGCTCCCCATTAATCTTTCCTGGACTACTTAAGAAAGACTTTGCTTTGCTGAGAAGGGCACTAAAAGCCGTTAGTAGGGCAAGTGGGATATCGTTAAACCAACTGGTTAACACTATTGTGGATAGACATATTATGTCATGTAAGAAACTAGCGAATACAATATTGTCAGACCCCGAGCAGCTCTCTCCTTGCATTTCATCTGGTAGAACTAGAAGCAGCTATAGGCGGCTATATGCTAGGACTACCAAATACAAAAACTCCACAATACCATATCTGGCACATCTGTTATGTGATGAAAATTCCATAACTGTACTACAAATACTGTTTGGAATAAAGCTGTTATTATTATTATTAAAGAATTCGACACTAGGACGGAGCATTTGTCCATGACCATTTTAGTTTTCAATAGTCCTCTATCCAAGTTATGTTGTCGGAAAAATCTGGTGACAAAATCTACTTAATTATGTACTGGTAGTTGATGAACGCCAAACAGAAACAATCGCAAAATGAATATTTCATGAAATTTTCAAGATGCTTTTGAAAGTAAAACAAGATTTTGAGTGAACAATTGTTTTCGATAACTTCTTCTTCAGGCTCTACAGTTATAAATCCATGAATAATAGAAAAAGTTCTTATTTTAATTTAATAGTTTTTAATTCACTTTTTAAAATATTCATTTACTAACTTTATTTTTCAGACTCAACTAAGTAAATTATTAAAACAAGTGGAGGATTTAGCTCAAAATTGTAATCTTGCTATTGCTTCAGTTCGTCAACACATATCACGTACAAGTTTTCCAAGGAATCATCCTAATTCTCAGTCTTTTGCCAGTAGTAATAATAGTACTATAACTAGTCCTGAAAGAAATTCACCTGTTCAAGAAGGTGTTGAATCAGGGCGATTATCATCATCTTCAGAGGTAGGGTTATATCTACTTTATTCTATTCTGTCACTTTTATTCATACTGACTTTTCGGAAAAAGAATTTGATGCCTGAAAGACTGGTCATCTTATTAGCATTCAAAACTAAGTGAAACATCTTTCTAAGTTATGATTATTACTAAAGACCTTGGTTAAACGTACATCATAAGATCAGAATTTCAACATATTAACGTAATTCAAGTGTTGGTTTTGCAGGGATTTGATTGCTTTCAGCATTTCATCATGAACTGACATCGATTAGAGGACCATTGGAAAACCTGTTTCGTCCCAGTGTTGAACTCTTTGGTATTTCGAACCCACCGGGTTCAAGCCCATGACCTTTTGCCTACAAGGTGAGCTCGCAAACCATTCAGCCACTGAGAACCGATCCAATGGCTCATAAATTCCAACTTCTACCAATTCGCGTTATTCAGAGCAACTATCAACCAACATCGTAGGCGAATAACTGTCCTGTTGCCTGACTTGGCGGGCCCCCCAGTTGGTTGCGTACTAGTGAGGAGTCCCAAACTAGGATGAAACAGCTGTCCAGTACTCTAATAGTCCTCTAACCGATGTCAGTTTATGGTGATTGTAATTTTTGTTATGGTCGAAGCGGCTAGCTGTGTTCACTGTTTATTACTTGTTAGGTGGTATACTAAGGTGAGTAATGTTCATATCAAACATAGTGTCAGGTAACGAGAACAAGTATTGGTGTAGTTGTGTTCTCTGAGTTGGATGACTTAATGGTGAAGCCTTCATTGTCTTCGTAGTCAACACCTTCAGCTCCCACTTCATTTTGAAGTCTCATTCACCTCAGCTACAAATCTTCTATATCATATCCAAGGAGCGACAGTCAATCGAGGAGGTTGTGCAACTGCATCGATTCAGATGGGTAGGACACGTTTTGAACATACCAGACTATTGCCTTTCTCGTCGAACAGTGTTCGGTGGCATAAATTGGATTGGGAAAATTTAAGGGTGGTTAAATCAAAACCTGGTATCACTCCATGATATCCTTGACTGTTGGTTTAAGCCTTGATATGATTATGAGCAGTAAAATTATGCTTGTAACTTCATCTGTAAATAATGTTGTAACACTGGTTGCTTCTATCAAATAAATTTATTCTGTGATGGGCTTATACTCTACCACAGTGGCCAAGTTCTATTCTTATATCGTTCTCGTTGATGCGGATACATTCACCCTTTGTGATCGCCTAGGTTCATTAAAGTCTCACTGTTCTTCATGTGTTTATCCTTTCGCCCATAGATTTCTGTTTATTATATATTCTTAGCATATCTTTATTCCTGCCTTTACGTGTGCTATATGGCGTGGAGCAGCTTGAACTACTATGCTTTTGACCAAAGCTCCTCGTCGAATGTTATTGTTATAAAGTTACCGCATAAGTCAAACCCTGAAGGAGATTAATCACTTGGTTAACAGTAAACTGATAGTCTTTTCTGTCTAACTGGATATACTTTTTCATCTAAAAAAGACTGGTATACTTACAACAGTCATACTACTCGTTTTACCAGGCTAAGGTCTATCTTCTAGCATATTTAGCATATTCGCCTAATACTTAGTTTTCGTTTTGTGTCAAGAACAGTTTAGGAAAGTGTTATTTGTTGTCACCACTTTTATATATTGTGTTTCGTTGAGTTGAATACAGACGCCAAATTGAACACGAACGTGGTGATCACGGATATCGCTAGTCTGACGACAACACTATACGACAGCTGCCTTTTCCCCAACCAGCCCTACATAAGCAAAACCACGATGTGAGCCGAAAAGTATATTTCAATATCAGCCACAGTAAATTTACAGAAGGAAACCAATGACGTATGCGTGAGAGAAGACAACCATAAAAGGTGCATAGCCACCTATGGCTTGTTTCCAGACTGGCCTCGATCACTATATCATCACAAGAACTTTATTATTACTATTCCCTTGGGTTCCGAATGGAACATAAGGCTTCAACAACACATCTCCTTTTTGTTTTATTTTCTCCTGTCCTCTTCAGTTGGACCCATGGTTGACCATAATCTCTCATCTCTCCCGTGTCACCCTCGGACAACCCATTCGTCGTTTCCTATTGGGATTCCAATCGGGCTATGGCCTGGCGTGTGATGTCATTTGACGGCCTTCCAAACATATGTTCAATCTATCTCTATTTTCTCCTAAATATTTTTTGAGCGATCGGCTCTCGGTTGGTTAGTTCCACTGCAGAGCTTCTTGTTGCTAATTCTTTCTAACCTGCTGGCTATTTGAACTTCAATATGGAGCCAGCCAGCGAACTGGACAACTGTTGATAAAAGTCTCTAGTGGCTTGTTGGAAATCCTTCTCGTAACACTCTAGTCAAGTTCCTGACCCGTATAGACGAACTGACCACATGATGACAATCCATTGTTTATCTGTTTAAATATCAGAAAGAATGCTCTAAGAATAATGAACAGTTGTGACGTGTCAACTACTTCCAAGTCTCTTTCAATCATCGAGTTGCTTTGTTGGCAGTCAGTCATTAAGGCTACTCAAAATCTGTGCGACCGATATTCTGACTGCGTTGACTTTTAAAACGGATCATAGTTACTTAGTTATATTTTAATGTATGTGATATGGAATTCTATTGCTTACATGTGTAACTTTAAATTAATATTCGCTTTTAATTCGTCTTATTGATACTATTTTTACTTGTTTTTAATCCAGGGACTTAACAATAACAAGGTAAACAATTCAGTCTCATTATGTCAGCTACCAAGACTGGGGTCATCAAATTCATTATCAACTCCGGCTAAACGATATCAATTAGCCTGGAAAGAATTAGTAGATACAGAGAAATCTTATGTCAATTTCTTACAGCATGTGTATGATGTAAGTTGAGTATTCATAGTGTTTTTTTTCGTGGTACTAATATCTCCTTGTTTTGACGATAACTTTCGCACTATATTAACCAAGGTAAGCAACAATAAACAATGGCTACCAAGGTCGAGTGACCTTGGACCAACCAATCAGGTTCTTCCGGGCGAAAAGTGGCATTTAGTGTGTAAAAAAAGTGTCTTCATAATATATATATATATATATATATATATATAATAAAAATGAATTATACAGGGTATCTATCTCTAACATGCTGAAGAAATCACTCACAATTTCTTATAGGAGTTTCCATAGACATATCAAACCATTGTCGGTACAAAAATTCATCGAAGTGGCTGTATATCATATCACTTCGGGAACCATTTACCATTCTAATACGTCTATTCAGTTGGGCCCAGGATCGTTCTATGGGCTCCACTTATAAGATCCTCTAATCCAGAAGAATGATTGACTTTATGATGAATATAGCCTAATGATGATAGTTGCGAATAACCTCTCCACCCGCCTGTGTGAATAGTATGGTAGTGCTTGGGAGGACTAGTCGTTGTCTTATTTGTATTAAAACATAGGTACTTCTGTTTGTGATGCTTTCTATAAACCCTTTTCAAAGAATAGCATTGTACAGTCCCTGCATCCAAACATGGTTTACTCTTTTCCTACCGCGATTCATTTTTTGGTTTCAATAAGTACTATTTCGTCAGTATGAATGATGACACCAATTCCTCCAAGTACAGAAGTAATATCCCGATAGTGCTGCACTGTTGACATTTTCGTATTCTCAGCTTCTACCGCTGTAGCAGATACTGATTGTCTCACTACCCAATTGCGGCATATTTGCTGTGTTTTACTAAAGCAGAGTTTCGATTTCGAGAAGACTCTTACAGACTTCCTCATATAACAGTGACTGAGTGTGAATGCATAACCACCGATAGTTCGGGAGTATTTTTGAAGAGTCATTATCCCTTTACATATGGATGTATTAGTCCCCCTATCAACTCTTTTTCCACACAGAAGTCAAAAAGTAAATCTGGGTGAAACTTGCAATGTAGGTTATGAACAGCATCCATTTGTAGTGCTGAGCGATCTGATTAGTTGGTTCAAAGTCATCTGACTTTGGTATCTATTCTTTACTGTTGTCCCCAAAGTGTGTATGTATTTTGTTTTAACCGCTGAAGGTTGAAATTAATCGAAAGTATAAAACCATTATTTGCATAAAAGGTGACGAACTGAAAAAAGAATCTGTCCTACTGATCTGTTTTTGAGATATTTTCTCAGGGTAGATATACATTGTAGCATAAGAGTAGTAGCAATTAGTTAAATCCTACTTTTCAGGTTGTTTTTCGTTGTTGTTTATGAAATCTTTACCGTCTTATCATTAGTCTGCCAAAATAGGACATATTTTCAGTTACTGATACGTAAGTCAGCGTAGATTTAGTTAAGAAGCAACATTAGTTAAAGAATCCTTGAAAACCAAGGAGTGCTGGACAGGTTTTTCGTCAGAGTTTGTAGTGATTAATTTGTACATGTCGGTACTATATTCCATCAATCAGTGTAGTGCAATTGATCTGCAAATTTTATGTTTGGTTTTTCCGAAATTAGTAATGAAACAAGCAGCATTATTGTATGGCTTTTGGAAAGATGTTAAATGCGGTGTTGTAAATACCACATATGATTCGGCTTCGTTGGTTCAGCGGTTGATTGCTCGCCTACCACGCCTTTGCTCTGAGGTCCGGTCCCTGGCCGATACACTTCCAAACCTCATTAAGCCGGTAGTAAGGCTAGTAAAGCAGGAAGATTGGGCGTTAGGCTAGCAACCCCACCCCCGTCAAAATAAAACCACTGCTATTGAAACTTCAAAGCTGTCTCTTGAAGCCCTGTGTTCCACTCGAAGCTATTGGGATAAATAATAAATATACGAGGCGCATAACACGAAAGTTCACCCTGTCCGTGACACGTTAGACTGTTGAATAACTCTTCGGCTTTTGAATATCTGGGCGCTGAGTCCAGTTCTCAACAGGAATACCATCACTCGGTAATAAGTAAACTGTTTCGAATTAAATGGGGCATAACGCGAGTTCTTGACTCTGACTGTCTCTGTAGTCCAACCTTCATTTATTCCCTTTGTCTTGCATACTGTTGTATCACTTACAGGTGTCCCTCTTTGTCTTTCCCTATCTATCGACTGTCTAAAATGTAACAGAATTTATTTGTCTTCATTTTTTTTTATCAGACTGTTCATTTAGCTCCTCTCATAATTAACTGTTTTCTTCGTCTTATACACACTTTTTTACTATTCAGGCTAGTAAAAACGAGGATTTTTCAAACTTGTCAGTAAATTGGCTAATGGTTGAATTTATTTCAATGTTGTTTTCGATAATTTGTATATGTATATGTATGTATATATAAATGGGTGAACTAGTGATTGAATCCATATATTTGTTTATCATGCAATCCCTGTATTTTCAAGCGTCAATATCGGTTTTTCCTTGATTTTCTGTCTCTCCCTCTGTATAAACGTATATGTTATTACCTAGTAGTAGTAGTGGTGTGTGTGAATGTTTATACGTACAATGCTTTATTACATTATTTATTTGGGTGAAGGTTTTTTGGCATATTTTTAAAAAATATATTTTGCTTCTAAATTTCGTAGAACATCGCAGTAAATACGACCTACTGAACTTTAAGCTATGTATACACACATGTGCGTTAGCTGTTATCGTAAAATTGTAAATTTTGATGTGCATACATGTACGTGTGTGTGTATGTGTGTGTACGTCAGTTCAAACAATATTTTGGTGAAAAAGTTTCGTCAAAGAGATATTTTCTTTTACCTTCTACTGATAGTAAATTGTTAGACAATTATTTATTTTTCTATAGGACATAAAAATATCATACCTTTTTAATAATTACAGTAGAATCAATGATATTCATGATTTGGTATAGTTTCTGAGATCAATCGTGTGAAAAGATCAAATTTATTGATTTTCACGTGAAATATTTACTTTCTAAAAGAAGCATATATGTTTGCAAGCAAGCATTTATTTGTTTGTTTGTGTATGTGCTTGTAAGTATTGGAGTACTCTATAGCTTGTGTGTGTGTACCTTATTATGCGCATTATGTGGTGTATTATGCCGCAGCAATCAACTGATCAGTAGACTAGCAATCTACTCAAGGGTATTTCACTACCATTTCTTGACATTGTGACAACATTTACTAAAAGTTATGTTTCTTCTGGTAGAAAATTTCATCACTTAGTGTTCTGCTTAACATGCACATTGGAAACGTTGTACTACTCATGGATTGGTTACTTCTTGATATTGGTTCTGTCTCTGTTTTCAACATAGATTTTGCTTCGATTGTGCACCAGTTCAATTCGCCACACTCTATGTAGCACAGAAAGCAAAAGAACAAAAAGAGAGGAAATGCATAACGGAGACAGTAGACAGCGAAATGAGACAAAATGAATAGTAATAACGAAGAACAATATAGTTTCATTGGGTATTATAAGTCACAAGGAGTGGATACATCTGCGCCATTAAGGATGATTTTGAGCCATATCACCAATTGTCTCCAGGCTTCATTGGTTTTTACCGTCCCGAGTACCCCAACCAGTCAGGAAGTCTACACCTTCCTACGTGGCTGGCTTAAACTAACTGTTGTAGATTTCATTGAGTGATGCCATGTTTTGGTTTGACCGCCACTAGTTGTTTTCCGTATATCAGCTAACATTGCCCATTGTCGAGGAAGCCGATGACTAGGGATACGTAACACATGTCCTAACCATCTCAGTCGATGTAATTTCACAGCCTCGTCGATTGATTTCCTCTCCCTACCTAGCACTCGACTGACGCCTAACCTCAATACTGCTCACCTTATTATACCACTTCATATGGGAGATAGAGCGCGGGCACCTATGATCGAAGACACCTAATCTTTTCATGTCTTCCACTCTCAATGGTCATGTCTTATTCGCAGCCATAAAAGGAGGACGGAGCGGACTGATGAGCAGTACACTCGCCCTTTGGTCGATAGCCGGATATCAAAGGGTGGTTGGTTCAAATCGGTTAATTAAGTTACTTGGCGATGCGATACTTGTAGTTCATTGTCAGACGATTGGGTGTCCTACACCTATGTTCCATTTTCTCAGGGAGTAGGAATTTCTTTATGGCGACCGATGTACTTTTGTTGTGATGACTTCCAATAAATATGAAGGTGAGTTGGGATGCATCTTATCGACTAGCCTTTAATATCCATCATCGTTCCCTAGGAGTAAGAGTTAACTGACGAAGAAGGCTCTAAAGAGATTTGTAAAGTCACTGAAAAAGATAACACTGTTATAAAGCATATAGTGTAATTGATGAACATTTGGTTTCTGCACAGTCTTCCCATTGAATCATCTGTGAATTTAATGCGTTTCAAAGTTTTCTATTTTACGATTCTTGCAGCCTGGTGTTTGAATGGTGACATGCTAGCGTCGATATATTATAATCTTGGGATTTTATCCCTCCTGAAATCGTATGGGATCTTTATTAACGAATTGTAAATTTAGTGCTCTCGGGTTTCTGAGTGATTCTTCAGCTGATTTTCGATTCTTGGAAATAAGGGACAAATATCTCTACAGATCCAGTGACTCATTCACTTTCTATTTTTGATATTTTAACACACTTTTAGTTGTATACACTACAAAGTATTTTCTTCTGAGGTAATTAAATTTATCTCATACATACAGGGTAAACTTTACCCTTCAAGTAATGTTTACTGGCAATATTCTGTTTTGTGATAATCCAAATTCTATGAATATACAAACAATTTTCAACAACGCTGACGATTAAGACAATACTGGTCTGTCTGTCTGTTTTCGACATAGAACTTTGCACAAATGTGCCGAAGTTCAAGTCGCCACATTCCGTGTAGCACGCGAAGCAAGAGAAGAAAGTACAAGAAAAGCATAATAGAAACAGTGAGCAGAGGTGTGAGACAAAGGAGTAATAAAGAAATACAAAACAGTTTCATTGAAGATCATAAGTCACAAGGAGTGGATGCATCTGCGCCACTGAGAACGGTTTTGAGCCATGTCACCAATTGTTTCCAACCATAGATTTTTACCGTCCCGAGGACCCCAGCCTGGAAGTCTACACCTTTCTACGTGGCTTAGACCAACTGTTGTGGATTTCATTGACTGATGCCAAGTTTTTGTTTGACCGCCGCTAGCTTTTTTCCAGCCTGACCCTATATCCGCTAACATTGCTCGTCGAGGGAGGCGATGGCTTGGCATACGTAACACATGTCCTAACCATCTCAGTCTTTGTAGCTTCACGACTTCGTCGATTGATTTCCCCTGTTTACCTAGAACTCTACGCCTAACCTCCATGTTGGTCACCTTATTATGCCACTTTACACGGGAAATAGAGCGCAGGCACCTATGATCAAAGACAGCTAGTCTTTTCATGTCTTCCACTCTCAGTGGCCAGACAATACTGGTAGTTTGAAATTAACATTGATGCTGCACATGAATGCATCCTATTCATCATATATTTTAATGTGTTGGTGTTTCACCCTTATCTAGGTCGTCTGGTTAAATTCTGTGGATAATGATGTCAATTGTGAGTCAGGATATCGTTCTTATCCTCAGCCAACATTTATGCGTGATAATCAAAATCGTCTGCTTTGTAACTGGCCAGAGATACTTCGTTTTCATAGAGAGTAAGTCTTCAACATTGTTGCCTTGATCCGTTTTAGGAAAGCAATAACAGGTTGAACTTTTCTTATTCACCTTCAGTGTCACTGAATTGTATAATTCATTTATTAGACAATCGGTTTCTCACTCTACATTATAATATCAAAAGTCTGAGTTGGTTTCTGTTTTATTATGAAGTGTTACTGTCAAATGTTGTATTTTCATTACAATAGTAGGTATGTAGTGTAAGAAAATCTAGGAAGATATAATTTTTAATCCGAATCATTCGAAAAGTTGTAAAACCATATCGCTAATAATAAATGAAATGTATGAAAAGTGAAGTTCATTTATGTTGTTGTCAACCCCATAGGCCATGAAATGATGAATATGAATTCCATATTAATATATGTGTAAAACCTGAGCACTGTGGTAGTAAGTAATTCCATATTGGTTTGTTTATTAGATGTATCACACAGTGAAACAGTACGACTATTTGCTGGATGACACAGTTTCGAACAAAATTCATTCTTCATAATCATATCAATTGTAATCACACGACTTTGAAACTTCAGTTTTATAGTTTTCTTTGTTTAATCCTATTTGTCGTAGGGGTAGTAGAATTTTCCAGATATCTTGGACAGGTGTTGAATCATTCCTATTACATGTGTTTTCAGTTGATTCGATAAAAAAGTGCCACTTGAGGACATAATGCTGGGAGTGCAGCTATGCCTGACTTCTGCAGTATTTAAATTCCAAGGGAAAATATACAAACAAACTGTGGGAGTTGCCATGGGATCACCAATATCCCCGATTGTAGCAGATATATTCATGCATAGGTGGGAAAACATAGCGATTGAAACGTTCAACCCCACCCCAAAAGTATGGTGGAGGTATGTAGATGACACATTCACTGTACTTAGAACTCAAGATATACATAGATTTTTCGAACACATCAACTCAAAGGTGGAGGCAATTCAATTCACTCATGAATTGGAAAGTCAGGAAGGAGAGCTTCCAATGTTGGATTGCAACGTAAAAAGGAAAGAAGATGGGAAGTTGAACACTAGTGTTTACAAGAAACTCACACATTCGAACAGACATTTGGACTTCCGATCATCCCATCCTATGTCAGTAAAAATAGTATTGGTGAAATGTTTAAGTGATAGAACACAAAAACTAAGTAGTACCAAGGAAAATCTAAGATACGAAGTGATACAAATAAAAGAAGCCTTGAAACTTAATAATTACCCGGATAAATTAGTCAAGAAATATGTAAGGAAATGTAAAACTAAAATAAATAATGATGGTAGCGATAGTGATAATAATAGTAATGACAATGATAATAGTAGTGATGATAATAATAATAATAATAATAATGACGACACCAACAATAAGGAATCTAAATCATCAGTAGTAATTCCATACAAGGAAGGAATCTCAGAAACCTTAAGCAGAATTCTTAACAAGCCAGGAATAAAAGTGACTGGCATTCAAACCCACAAACTCAATTAGAAACAAGCTTTGTCGGTTAAAAGATCCCGTGGAGCCTTAAAAACAAAAACAATTTAGTTTATCTAATACTCTGCAATGATCGTCAGGTCAAATATATAGGTCAAACTAGTAGAACAGGGGCAGTCAGATTAGCTGAAGATAAAAAGCTAGCAAAATCTAGATTGGTTGACCTGAATAAGATAAGAAATCTGGAGAATAGTTCAGCCATAGCACTACATGCAGTCACACACAATATCCCATACAATAGGCTGGATGGGATAGGATGACAGTTTTAAAATCTAATGTCACAGGGTGGAGGGAGAGATTGATAACGGAAGCTTTGTCTATCGAATCAACTGCAAATACATGTAACAGAAATGATTCATCACCTGTCTCAGATATCTGGAAAATTCTAATACCCCTACAATGGCGAATAGGAGAGGACAAAGAAAACTATAAAACTGAAGTTTCAAAGTCGTGTGATTACAATTGATATGATTATGAAGAATGAATTTTGTTCTAAACTGTGTCATCCAGTAAATAGTCGTACTGTTTCACTGTGTGATACATCTAATAAACAAACTAATGTGGAATGAATTCCACACTTTAGGTACTTCATAGAATGGTCGACAGTCCTGTATCATCTTGTGGTGAGAGCTAGTTGCAAGCCAAAAATTGTAGACATCGAGTTATTTCAATGTTATGTCCCGAATCGGGATCATGAGAAAAAAACAGTAAAAATCTCAACCTTGAATAGCTAATCAACCAATCAAAGCAGACTTAACGTGTGCAAATACGATTTGGAGATATTTGGCTTAACTTTCTAAGAAATGGTCACAAGCAGTGCAGAATAAGCTTCAGCAAGAAAACAACCAATCAGAAGACGCTGCTTCTCCACTGACAATAATGTACATAAAAATCTATGAATATATCTTGATTTACTCAATAAATGATTTGTTGCTTGGTCCTCGTCTTCTGTTATCACAATCTCACCATTGTCTCATCTTTGACATAATCTCTCGGCTGATTCATACGTTTATTGTATTTGCCTTTAATGTATTATTTTTCTGAAAAGGTTTTCGTTTATTACTTATTGCTAACATTTATTTTTTTTATTTTTTTTTAGTTCTTTACTACCACATTTGGAGGCGTGTGATGGGAATGCAGAAAAAATCAAAGCTTGGGTATTTCTTATGGTATGTATTTTTTTGCCTTTACTAATCTTTCGTTCAGTGCAACTATTGCCCTCGTCGTTTTCATTTTCCTATCATTATCATCAGGCTCTTTGGTTAGCGTAAATGTTAGCAGTGGATTCTTTTGTCTGTGTAGACTTTTATTTTGACACTTATTTCATTCAAAGTATGTCTGATTTCTTAAATATGTGGTATTTTAATCACAACAAATGCTTTCTATGATTGATTAATATATATATGCTTACCGGTTGAGGAGTGTACATGTGTAGCTGAAAGTTTTCTCCATCTATAAACCAAATAGGCAATATGATTATTGGACTAGTCAACACACTATTGCTATACTGTGTTGTTAATGGTTAGTTACTTCCAAGGTATTACACACAATGTCAAAAACTATATACATATATTCAAGAGTTGGTTTGTGGGGAATTGATTTTTTCAGTTTTGACCACGGGTTGATATCAGTTAGAGAATATGGAAAACCACCAGGGTGTACTGGATTTCTGGTTCGTCCTACTTCGGGACTCATCGAGAGTACGCACCCACCTGATTTTGAACCCAGGACCCTCCGGTTACAAGTCTAGCTTATGGACTATTCGGCCACTGGAACCCAACTCAGTGCCCAGCCCATGAATCCCAACTTCTACGAATTTGTGATTTTAGCTACACGACGGAGTTTCCTGAAGTTCTGGCGAGAAGACATGACCAGTGGGATCCACCCGGTCGGGAGTGAAGACAAATACTCCCCAATGACATTGATTGATTGTCGCACCAAAATCACGAATTGGTAGATGTTGGAATTTTACAGGCTGGTCAGTGAGTCGGATCCCAGTGGCTAAATGGTCTACGGGCTCACCTTGTAACTGGAATGTCCTGGATTCAAAATCCGTTAGGTGCGTACTCCCGATGAGTCCCGAAGTAGGATGAAACAGCAGTCCAATACTCCCTGTTGGTTTTCAATATTCTCTAATCGATGTCAACCCGTGGTCAAATCGAAATATACGTGCATTTTTCACTCTTTATTCCTATATTTATCACTTGTATACTCCATTATTAATTTCGTTTCCGATAAAATGCTAACCTAATAATATTACCGTATGTGAATTTTTCCAACACTAGCATATTTTAGAAGAAAAATAAATATGGGCCTAATGCAAATTCTAGATAATAAACATTTTTTTCCGAGTTGATCACGGATTGATATCATTTAGAGAACCATTGAAAACCAGGGAGTACCAGACAGCTGCTGTTTCATCCTAGTTTGGGAATCATCGGCCACTGGGATTCGAACCCAGGACCTTCCTGTGGGTGCGTACTGCCGATGATTGTCAAACTGGGGTGAAATAGCTGTCCAGTACTCCCTGGTTTTCAATGGTTCTCTAACTGATATCAATCCCTGATCAACTCGGGAAAAACATAACTAACCCTTACAAACCAAACTATAGAAAATGAACATTTTGTTGTAATACTTTTTGAAGCATACATTAAACTTCATTATGTGAAAGTAATAAAAAGGCAAAATGAGAATAGGTAATGCCAGAGGTTAGTTTTAAAACACGTTTACTCCAACTAGTTTCTTTTATCTGTGAATGTGGAATAGGTGAAGTTGTCGACATTCTGTAGATATTTCTTTCTTTCTCTGCCTATCTCTTCCTCTTGCCTTTTGTAAACTGTCAGTATCGCCACTATGTCGAAATATTCACTATTGTTTCTCACGCTTTCTTTCGACGATTAAAAAGAGTGAAGGCTTTCTTTATTTAGCGTGGCTCAGGCTGTATTTTCTGATGTATTTAACTTACTTACGACAACAGTGTTGTGTAGAGCTGTTGCTTCAATTTGAGTGATGTCTATTGTATTTTAAGTTTATAAGCCTAACTTAATCATTGCTTTAAATTGTTAAGTTTTAAACAGCTGTAGTGGAATTGTACTCAATAACGGCGATTCTTCAATATTAGCATAATAGATTTATTAGTGATGATAATTTAAAATGAAAAACAGACAAACACTGAAATGTAGTTGTTTTTCTTCCCCTTAATAAATAGTGTTTTCTTCTTATTAATATATATGTATAAATCTTTAATGTTTATTTTTAGGTCCCACGTCTTGTCGACTTATATACTGTTTATTGTTCACTTCATGAATGTGCAGTCCAATTGAGTGTTGTACTTGAAAAAGATCGTGTTTATTCCCCTTGGATAACAGCATGCAATGAAGAGATATATCGTAGAGAAATGTTGACAGGTAAAATGAACAATCAAGATGCGATACAATCATCGAATGAACTGACTCGGCCACTGTTATTATTCAGTTCTCGTCTTGTCACGCCTGTACAACGTTTTCAACGTTATCATTTATTACTAGACAGACTTGTGAAACATGAAACAAATGAATGTGATCGGTAAGTTTCTGATACTATACTTGTTGGATAATAGTTTCTTTTTTTTTAATTGTTACTACTTATCAGCTTTGCTGCTCAAAACTCAATATTTGTTAACAGGTACTCCGATAAAAAGGTAACCAATAGAAAGTCACGTTGGTAACTAACAGATTTGATTACATAAGGATGCATATCAACGTGATAAAGTTTGGGTTTCATCTAACTGTAATTTCGTTTGTAAAGTAATGATATTACATATTGGTAGAAATTAGAATTATTTGGCCATTAGATTATGTCCTGATGACTTGATGGTCAAAGCGAACTCACCTCGTAACATGAATTTCCTGGCTTCGATCTGTGGGTTGGAGTTATGAATACTGGAACTGAACATATGTCCAGTACGCCTTGGTTTTTTAGATTGTTCTTTAACTGATTTCACTTCGTGATCAAACTTGTGCGTCAGTGGCACAGCAGTTAGGACTCTCGCCGACCATGCACATGGTCCGGGGTTCGACCCCTCATCGACGCACACCCGATATCTATGGTCGGCGTGCAAAATTTGGGCTACCGATGTCACATGCTGAAAATTCCATACTTCTACCGAAAATACGGTGTGGAATCAAGCTGTAATCAAAATAAAGAAAGTAAAAAATAAAAAAAACTTTTGATGGTTGTTTACAGACTTAAAAGGGATAACTGAAAAGAAGTGTTAATGAGGTGTTCACAGATATTTTCGATTACATTTTGAGATCTATGAGGATTTGGTTGATTTTTAGGCAGATTTCGTTACAAACGAATACTATCTAGAGAACTGCTGTAAGTTGTGGATCATTAGACACATCTATTTCAAGCGTATACTCTCTTTATTTGGCCTATTGTTTGTTTAATCTCAACTGCTCAGGATAGATTTCTCATGTACACCAAGCTAAGAGTCACATTTACCACGTAAGAGCTGATGACACTACCTATATGCTCAAGTGGAAATAATTGAAACGGGACTCAACCCTGTGACCTATCGACTGAAAACCGATTGCTTAAGCCAACTTACGCCATCTCTGGCGTAGACGTGATATCCGGCTGTCGGCCAAAGGACGTGTGTAGTGCTCAGCAGTTTACCGCGTCCTTCTTTATGATTGTGAAACATCGCCATTGAGAGTGGAAGAAATGAAAAGGTTGGCGATCTTTGGTCATAGGTGCCTGCGTTCTATCTCCCATGTGAAGTTGTATAATAGGGTGACCAATATTGATGCTAGGCTACGGTCGAGTGCTAGGCAGGTAGGAGAGTAAATTAATCGACGAATTTACATCGATTGAGATGGTTAGGACATATTTTGCGCGCGTGCCTAGCCATCTCCTTTCTCGACACTCAATGTTAGGTGACTGACATAGAATCAGGTAGGAAAAGAGTTGGCCAGTGGTGGTTGAATCAAAGCATTCCATCAGCCAATGAAATCCATAACAGTTAGTTTAAGCCAGTCAGCCACGTAGCGTGCGTGGTGCACGACGACTTCCTCGTTGGGATCCTCGTGATGGTAAAAACCAATGAAAGCTGGAGAAAGTTGGTGATATGACTTAGAATGGTTCTCAACGAATTGTCCAAATGCATTCACTCTTTGTGATTTATGATATCCAATAAAATTCTATTGTCCTTCCATAGTGCTATTCTTTTTGCCTCATACTTCTGTTTATTATCTCCCTCTTTTTACTCTTGTCTCTTGCTTTGTGCGTTACATTAAGAGTGACAACTCGAATTACTGAACATCAGTGCAAAGTTCGACGCTGAAACCAGTCAGCTTAAGTCTCCTGTAGCCTATGATTCTTACTTTCAACCATATTTTGTTTGTTAGGGGTTCGTCAAATTTGTATTCATTCGGTTTGTTCGTATATATGCCTCTATTTGTTTTTTACTACGTGTTGAACCGCATTTCTTAGTGTCTGTGCTACAATATGTTAGCGTTTTTAATGAAACAAATAAGTAAACGAGTTATTTTTCTCTATTGACATCAGTTAAAAGATAAGTAATCTGCATAACACGATTCATATGATGGATTTATAACTTCAGGAGTATGGTTAAAACTTGCATGTGACTAGAAATACCTGTATAAACGTCATGTGAAACTTTGTCTATAGTCGACTTTAACTTTAAATGTCTACAAGGCAATGAATAAATGACCGTGAAACAACTACAGGACGGAATGTCAGTATCCTTCTGTGACTCAGTTAGATCAATTCACATACACAATAGATTGCAGATACCCAGTGGATTATAAGAATAATCAGCACGTTGACTGTTAGACATTTACGCATATATATATATATATATATATATATATATATATATATATATATATATATATATATTCACTCACTCTCTCTCTCCCTGTTTGATACTTTCCAGCGCTGATCTACAAATTGCACATAAAACTGCTTCAGAACTATGTGAAACAATAAATGTTGCTATGCAACTTCGCGGATTATCAGTAAGTTGTATTCATGAAAGAATTCTTTTGTTTTCTTATTGAAATAACTGATAGCGTGTCACATTTGTTATGTGACGATAATAATGTTGGGATTTTGGGAACCAGGTTCGATGCTGAATACAATAGAGGGAAGTCTATTGTTCTCTATCAGATATCTTTTGCTGCACTTAGCCTAAAGGGATAACTAGAAGATAAGACTGGCACGTGCCAGTGAGAACAATAGGCTGTATAAGATAAAAGAAATTATATATATATATATATATATATATATACCTGTGCGTTGGTGGCGCAGCGGTAGAATGCTCACCTACCACGCGTGTGGTCCCGGGTTCGATTCATGGCCGACGTACTCCTCTACCTAGCTAAGCCAGTAATAAGACTGGTAAACAGGGAGGGTTGAACATGAGGCTAGCAATCCCATCCTGTAAAAATAAATACCACTGCTACCTAAACTTCAGAGCTCTAGCTTGAAGCCCTATGTTCCACTGGGAACGCAAAGGAATAAAAAAAACTAGTACCTAATTTGATTTGTTGTATAAGATCGGACATCGAAGGTTGGGAAAGCTCCTGCCTCAAAAATCTGTGGTTGGAGGCGTTCTTAGTCTCCGACAGCACAGTTATGATTAGGTAGAATTAAGAGTATATAACATTTTATTCTGTTTACAAGACAACTGCATATATAGTTTCATAAATCGGTACGGTGAAGTGTTTCGTCTTCACAATAACTGACTATGTTTCAATAAAAGACAATAGAAGTTTGAGTAAATTATTCATCCGATGATATTAGATGGTTGTTGGCAATCGGCAGGAAACCTTGGATCTAGGTTTCGTGCTAGATGGAACTTACCAGTTAGCAAGGCGGATCTGCAATCTTGAGGAAACTCGTGTCCCTTCTGAGATCCGAACCCGTATCACCCAATGCTTCAGTCAGACACGTTACCACTGAGCTGATAGAATTCAGTCTGCACCAAAGTAAGGACTAGACACATCACATTAGTTACTAGTGTCCAATCAAAGTAAATTATTCATCCTCGTGATTTTAAGGGAAGTTACACGAAACTAACTATTGATATTCATTTGATTGTTCATTTGTCAAACTAAGTATGCAGATGACGAGTTCAGATATCTATAAAACACAAAATAATTGAGCTAAGAATATCCTTTTCGATAAACTCCTCTTCTGGCTATATACATAGAATATTGTAGATTAGTAGCTAATAGCAATGTTAGTGTTTTTTAAATAATATCGATTTGTAAAGTATGATTAATGGAATTACAGTTCATTAAAGATGCTTAAATAATAATAATAATAATAATAATAAAGATATAGTAGCAAATAGAATATCAACTAAAATTAGGAAAATTCCACAAAAATTCAGGATCATTCAAACCTAGATGGCCAAGGTAAGGATAATGTTTGAACTAACATATTTTGGATGCACAAATTAGGCTTTTTAATGTGGATCCCAACAGCCTCAGCAATATTTAGTAGTCAAACTCTTCAAGCGAAATTGAGATTTGTTGGTATGCGGTAAATGACCCTGAAAGCCTGGTTAACATCAATTTTGCGTTCTGTATCCACAAGGTGAGATAGAATAGCGCTGGGAATAGATTTTGTTTGTCCTTTGCTTAACCACACAGGGTGATTCAGAATCGATGAACACTGATCAAAGGACGTATTTACTGTTCAGCAGTTCTCTCTATCCTTCTTTATGACTGTAAGACATGATCATTGATATGGATGGTATAGAAAGGTTAGTTATCTTTGACCAAAGATGTTCGCGTTCTATCTCCTGTGTTAATTGTTACAACTTAGTATTATCGAGGTTAAACGCATAATGCTAGTAAGGAAGTGAAACTGTGTCGATTCAGTTGGCTAGGATACCTGTTACACATGCTAAGTCACCGCATTCCTTGTTGAGCAGTGTTAACTGACATAGGGGTGGTCAAACCAAAAGATGGCGTCAATCTATGAAGACCTTGACTGTTGTTTTGAACTTCGTAGGGAGGCTTTAAACTGTTCCCGATGGCACATATTCATTTACACCTTTTAGTCTTACTCCCATATCTATTAAATTCTCATTTTTTTCTCAAGTAATTATTCTTTCACTCGAACATTTCTGCTCGTTATAGCCCTTTTGGGTTTCCTTTTGTTTTCTACATGAAGTGTGGCAACCTGAACTACTTCACTTTTGTGCAAAGTTTTATGCAGAAATTCATTCAGTTAGTCGGTCAGTCGGTAAGTCAGAATACCTGTTCACCCTTAGTGTAAATTATCCCACCTAGACAGTAGGCGTTTTACTATTCATACATGGTTGTCACTAGTTTATATCCCATAAGATTTTAGCTATTTTCTGATTGAATGTTCATAGATTAAACATGATTTCATTCGCAGTTCAGAGTCGTCATACCCAATACCGTTCACAGTCATTACCACAGAGTATATTTTGCAGTAACTATTAATATGAACAATTGGGTATATTAGTCAAATATCTTATGTAATTTACCAGTATGAATTCTTCCGTAATTTACTTTATTCCATTAAATAAAAAAGGTTCGTCCATCTGAATTAGGCCAATTTCTATTGGAAGGTGATTTCACTGTATCACGTGATGATGTCCGGTTCATGTCTAGTAAACAACGTCATGTCTTTTTGTTTACTAATGCTATCCTACTGACTAAATATCGTACATCAGCCAGTTCACCGATACCAATATTAACTTATTCAAATTCAACAAGTGCTCATCTATCAAAAGACTATTCTCTTGATTCTTATGAAAAGTCAACAGTCAATGCTTATAATACACAGAATCAATCAAACAATTCAACAATGGGTGGTACAGCATCAAATTTATTAGCATTCACTAAGTCATTTACCTCCAACAGTGGGAATAACAGCAATAACAGTAGTAGCATAAGTAATAATCTAGTATCGAATTCAACAGCAATATACACTTCTGGTCCATTTTATGAAATTAAACAAGAACTAGAGGTGAGTTTATATTATTTATAGTCGTTAATAGCGTTTATTTTGTTCTCATTGAAATGATTTGTCTATTATTTGGTGGCTGGTGACTGGTGATAGCATCCAGTATGGGCATTTAATCTTGTTTGAGATTCGCCAGCATTCCCATTGAGTGGTGGTGTTCCTGTCGAGCCTCAAACACAGAAGCGTTATACACTAGACCATACTTGTGTTACAAGAGCCTCCTCTTGTGTGGGTCTAGTGGGTAACGTTTTGGCGTTTGAAGCGATCGGTGCTGGGTTCGAGGCTCAGCCGGGACACTGTCACCGCATGGCAATGCAGGTATACTCAAATAACAATTCCCAAATAGGACGAAGTACACATCCTGAATTTCACTGCTAGCTGTCGTCCTCAGATATCATCGAAGCCTCCGTACTGGGAGGAGACGACATATCGACGGTGTCTGTCTGTCTGTCTGTTTTATATATATATATATATATATATATATATAAATTATTACACTCTCCGAAGTTAATTGGTGAGTGGTGACTAGCAATGGAATCCAGGATACGCATTTCGTCCTGTCTGGGACTTGTCAACTGGATGTACTTGCGTTCCACTGCTAGTTACCATCAATCAATTAACTTCGAATTACATGCCCAGACATCTTCAAAGCATCTTAATAAGAAGCCGACATGTCAACCTGAGACAGAGTACTTCGGTCCAATCAAGTGACGGGAAAATCTGAAATTGAATTATATAATAAACTCTCCGTTTATTCTTTAAATGAAATCACCTATCGGGTTGCTTAAAGAGTGAACACCAGGAAATCTTTATTGAATTCCCTGTATATTAGCTTTATGGCTTTTGAAAAACTATAATTAGACGAATTACTGATGTTCAACAGAACCAACTGGAATTGGAGAACTTAATTAGCGTATTTAGCAGATTTACGAGTTAGTGTTATGCTTTTTACCACAAAGACAATCATAAAAGGCAACAGAAGAAAAGTAAGCTTGTTAAATGTTTATAGAGTAGTTTTAGTAAAACAATTGTTTTAAGGGGTAGGGGAGCCTTTTCATTCAAACCCCATGTTTCTTTCACTTTCCCATGTCTTCATATCATGTTAAACTTAGTGCCCAGCTGACTTGTCTGAAGCCCTGTTGTTTCATGTCCGTCCGTGGGAGTAATAATAATAGCTTTGTCAACATTATAGTAGTAAACTTTATTTTTATGAATTTTTTTTGTGATTGTTTGCTTTTTAAAGCTTTCTAAAATTGGACTAACTCCCCATTTCCATGGAGATCGTCGACGATTCGCTGTATGGACAGCTAAGCGTGCAGTCACTTTTATATTTCAATCCTCTGATCCATCTACTAGAGATACATGGGTTAAAGTTATTAATGAATTATTAATGATGCAATTACTTCGTGATCGATATAAAGTTCTTAATAATAGTAGTAATAATAATAATAGTAACAATCAAGTTATACAAAGTACAAAGTTACAATCTGTTGAACAGACACACTTTAATTCAAATGCATCAGATCGTAGTAAAAGTCTACCAGTTGGTGGTAAATCCTTATCACAAGAGTAAGTCAATTTTTCAGTCTTTGTTTCTGGTTATATATATATATATATATATATATATATAAATTGACTAACGCATGTTCGGCGGGGTGGGGAAATAAATGATAGCATTATTATTATTGCTCCCTTGGGTTCCTAGTGGAACATAGGGCTTCAACTGCACGTCTCCATTTTCTTCTGTCTTCTGCTATACTTTTCGCCTGCATCCATGTTAATCCATCTTCTTTCAACTCCTCTTCACACGATCTCCTCCATGTCACCCTTGCACTGACGTCCCACACGCCGCTTCCCTTTCGGGTTCCACTCGAGGGCTTGACGCGCGATGTCACCCAGCGGTCTCCTCAGCGAGTGTCCGATCCATCTCCACTTTCTCCTGCATATTTGTTGGGCGATTGGTTCTTGCTTTGTTTGTTCCCATAATTCCTTGTTGGTGATTCTTTCCGGCCATCTGATCTTCAGTATTGAGCGAAGACAGTTGTTAATAAAGGTCTGCAACCTTTTGGAAATATTCTTTGTGACTCGCCTGCCAAGTTTCTGATCCGTATAGAAGAACTGACTGACTTGACGTTTGTATTGAAAATCCAACCGAATTTTGTTGTTGATGATGGCTGAGTGACAAAGATTTCCAGATTGATTCCAGGTTGATGAATGTGTTTCTCGCTCGCCTTCCCGATTCTCGCTCGATTTGACATCCTCGTCCGCTCCTCCTGTAGTTGAGACAGTGCTCCCTGGATAAGTGAATGAAGTCACCTCTTTCAAATCCCTCCCGTTGATGGTGATCGACGTTGGATGTTGTTGCTGTTGTTGGTTGGTTATTTTCATAACCTCCGTCTTGTCTATGTTTACCTGGAGTCCTGTCTTTGCTGGTTCTTCGACCAGTTTGTCGGTTTTCGCTTGTAAGTCTTCGATTGTGTGTGACATCAAACATAAGTCATCCGCGAAATCCAGGTCTTCTAGGTTCTTCACGTCGGTCCAGGATATTCCTGTCTTCTCGTTTCCCACAGTCTGGCGCATAATCCAGTCAGTTCACCACAATTACGAATATCATTGGTGATAGTAAGCACCCTTGTCTGACTCCTGTGTTTACTCCAAACGCCTCGCTGAATCTTCCGTTGTGGATCACTTGGCAGGTGCCGTTGTAGTACAGCTGTTGAATAAGGTTGATGAATATTTGGGGTACGCCATAGTACTCGAGTAATTTCCAAATTACTTCACGATCAACGCTGTCGAAGGCCTTCTCAAAGTCTATAAAGTTGATAGTATACGGTTCGCATATTGCCATTGTTCACATTGTATTCGATTTATTTCAAGTAACTAGTTGTGATGAGGTATAAATTATTCGATTAATAACCCATCCTTCGAAGTCCTTTACCTTTTCCGAGATGCTCTATCTTCTTATTCTTCTAGTGAAGATTTTTGGTGCTATTTGTGTAAAATCTGTCTTTTATACGAGTTAGATATTCACTACCATCTATGACTGATATATTATTATTATTTTAACAAGATTATGAAGAGCAATGCCTTTCTTTTGAAGTCTATTTCACAGTTTATTTATGCATAATATATTTATGGATGTGGAGATGTGGCTCATTGATCGATCGAAGCATTCAACTTCCAGTCATTGAGTCCTGGGTTCGAATTCGGCTTCTCGCTTACTTTGTTTCCGATAAACTCGGTAGCATCATCAGAAAAGATGTTCCTGGTGCTGCATACGAGCTCAACAGGCAAAATACTTAATAACTACAACAAGAGGTAACCGAACAGCATACAAAAGAAACTTTGTACAAACGTTGCTCAGAAGAGCTGAAATACACAGCAATACTCCAGTCCTGAAAAGAATAAAAGAGAAATGCTTATTAACTGTCTTCAAGAAAAAGGGATATGTCTACAATTTCATCAAAAATGTTTAAACTTAAATCAAATTTCCAGTAAGAAAGCACAAGAAAATTCATCCTATGTAAAATGTGGTCTAGAATACTAAAACTATTCGGAATAGATATAACACACAAACCAACACAATTACTTCACGCAATACTATGCAGACCAAAAGATCCAACAGCAAAAGAAGACAAGATCAAGGCGATTTGTAAAATAAATTGAATGAACTATGATAAATACTATATTACGCTCCGAATCCTAGAACATAAATTAGCTGTCGAAATATACAACATGTATCGTTTCCTATCTTTACATGTAGATAACTATGGACACCGATTTTATTGGGGAAGATATAGCAGTGTTAATCAGTGGAAGAACTGAAAATGCCAGGGAAAGCCTGGTTGGTATTCATTTGAATCAGTGATTGACAGCCGCCTGACTACAGATCAAATTTACCAACTAATAAACAATGAGCTAAATGACAAAATAAATCAAATTCCAAGTCAACAGAAACGATAAGTGCTGATGTCAGTAAGTTACCAACTAATCACAACAACGGTTGTTAGAAGATACAATTATATAATTCACGAAAAGTTCAAATAAGTTCATTTCATATTAAAGTGTACGCGGAACATGTTGTCTCGAAGGATAATGAAAGTTTTGCAATTAGTTCAGCCAGTTTAGAGAACTCAATCACATCAACATCATCCACCCAACCTGCAAAACTTCTCTAGTATCTTATAACCGTGTAACCAGCGAATAATCTCGTTAACAGAATATGCAGATGATATAGTCCTCCCTCCTAGGTGAAGACGCTGAGAAAATCCAGTAGAGTCTTCTGAACACCTTGAGCTGTAATCTGCAAATAATTGGCATGCGAGTCACTTCCCCCAAATGTAAGATGATGCTACAGGACTGACTGGGCTACATTGAGTCCTAGCTTAGAAATAGGGAGTGAGATGGTAGAGCGTGTTGACCACCTCACTTACTTGAGAAGATGCATCTGCCAACACCAGCGGGTTGATCGCTGACGAAATCTCTGCACGGATATAGAAGGCTCGTTTGGCATATGCCAGTTTACACCACCTCTGGCGTAGACGTGATATCCGACTAGCTGTCGACCAAAGGGCGCGTGTACTACTCATCAGTCCGCTCCGTCCTCATTTATGGCTGTCAGACATGGTCATTAAAAGTTCAAGATACCAAAAGGCTAGCTGTCTTTTATCATAGATGTCTGCGTTCTATCTCCTGTGTGAAGTGATATAATACGGTGAGCAATATTGAGGTTGGGCGTCGGTCGAGTGCTACGTAAGGAGGGGAAATCAAGAGACGAGGCTGTGAAGTTACATCGATTGAGATGATTAGGACATGTGTTACGAATGTATTCCTAGCCATTCACCGCCTTCCTAAACGGGAAATTTTAGCCGATATAAGATCAGTATTTAATTGGTGGATGGTGACTAGCAGTGGAATCTAGGATGCGCATTTCGTCCTATTTGGGACTCGTCATCTGGATGTACCTGCATTTCTCAGTGAGTGATGATGTTCCCACCGAGGCTCGAACCCAGTACCCATAGTTTCAAACGCCAAAGCGTTATCCGCTAGACCACTTGGGCCACGAGAGCCACCTCTTGTGCAACGGGTAATATTAATTTAATAGAATTTGAGATTTTCCCGTCGATGAGAAATGCAGGTACATCGAGATGACGAGTCCCAAATAAGACGAAATGCGCATCCTGGATTCCACTGCTAGTCACCATCCACCAATTAAATACTAACTAAATGCCCAGACATCATCGAAGCATCTGCACAAGAAGCCGATATGTCAACCTGAGACCGAGCACTTCGGTCCAATCAATCTACGGGAAAATCTCAAATTCAATAAAAAGATATAAGATCAGGTTTGAAAAGAGCTAGTGGTGGCCAAACTAAAACATGGTCTTAGTAGTCGATGAAATCTATAACAGCTAGTTTAAGCCAGAGAGCCAGGTAGGGAGGTGTACACTGGCTTCCTGGTTGGGGTCTTTGGGATGGTAAGAACCAATGAAGGCTGGAGACAATTGGTGATATGGCTCAAAATCGTTCTCAATGGCCGGTGCAGATGCATCCACTCCTTGTGACTTAAAATATCCAATAAAACTATACTGCCTGATATCTCTGTTTACTGTCTCTGTTATGCATTTCTTTTTACTTTCTTCTCTTGCTTTGTGTGTGCTACGTTGAATGTGGCGACTCCAACTGCTGCATATCGGTGCAAAGTTCTATGTTGAAACTAGTCAGTTAGTCAGTCAATTTATTTCCATCTGAAGTATTAGGTCACATATGTGTGTGCATACCTTATGCATCTTTTTCTTACACAACTTAGTGTTACTTTCACTCCACTCCCTTATCTTCTCTTTCATTATGCCTTATGCACTGCTGCGAAATGACTTATTACAGATTAGTATCAAATTTATAAACTGATATCTGTCTTTCTTTTTTATTGAAAGATTTTTATCACATCTTTTGCCTTTTATGCCATTGACAAGGCTTAAGATGTAAGGTATTCAACCTAAGTGTATACATTCATCTAAAAAGCAATAAATCAATTGTTTTCTGGATGTTGCCTTATTTCTAGGAAATAGGGCGTGTATATATATGTATATATTTATTACATATCTGTATATCAATCCTATCAGGCTAAATCATTTTGTTCCTATTTCACTAACTTTTTGCACATTGAATGTCCAAAATCACAGTTGCTTTACAACTGTCACCAACTAAGTAACAACGGATCATGTCTTTGTGTGTGTGTGTGTACTTCACTTGTGTATATTTCCCTTGTGTTATCTCATTTTATTTAGACTTCTGTTGATTTCCAACTGAGGCTGGGGGGAGAGGGAAATCGACTTATTTCATAGCATTTCTTCTCTTACTAATTGAGTGTAAAACAACAAGCGGGGATGATGAATGAAGCAGCATTGTAGAGTATATATGAGCCTAATAATCAGTCACAACAAAGAAAACATGTGCCTACAGGAATTCATCATGAGCTGACATCAGTTGGAGAACCATTGAAAAACCTGGAAGTACTTGACAGCTTCTTCGTCCTATTTTGGGACTGTTTATCAGTACGCACCTACCGGGGTTCAAACCCGGGACATTATGGTTACAAGGCGAGCTAGCTCGTAGACCATTCAGCCACTGGGACCCGATCCAATGGCTCAAGAATTCTAACTTATGCCAATTCACGATATAGCATGACCACTAGCCAATGTCTTTGGCGGGTAGTTTTCCTCACGCCCGACCTATTGAAGAATCCCAAAGCAGAACAAAGCATCTGTCCAGTACTCCTAGGTTTTCCGATGATTTTCTAACTGATGTCAGCTCAAGATAAAATCCTGTAACCAATCAATCAAATCCCTGCAAACCAATACTTGAAAAAAGATGTATTTAAGCATTACAAGGTGTGCATATTAATTTATTAATTAGTCAATTAGGTCAAATTATTTTATTTCAGACTTTTTATGGTTTCATGACCTTTCTTATCAAAGTGTATTACGTAACACCTTCGAATTTGTTATTGTATTTAAACAACATTCGTTTTTCTTTTCACTATATTAAATTCTTCATTATGTGATAATTGTTCACTGGTGCTGGTAGTACTTCTGTCACTCCTTGGACTTACATCTGTTGGTTTCTCTTTAGCGTGTATCTCACACTACCGACTACTCACTCACTGAAAACTTCTACTTTTATTAAGTTCAACACGTCATTATATATTATTTCTCTTTTGATCTCTCTTTACTCTGTTCGTTTGCTTTGTGGTCTACATGGAGTGTGGCAACTCAGATTGGTGCAAAATTCTACGCTGAAATCAGTCAGTTAGTCAACACGTCATTGAATTTCATCTTATCTCGTGTTCTTATTGACTATACTTTTTATGCGGATTTAAGTGATAATTGAAAGTCACTACTGGCTGATATTCCATTTTCTAAGTGTACCATAGTAAACTTTCTGATATAATTTTGATTTGCTTTTGCCGGGTGTTTTATGCTAAAATTAATGAATTTATAATTGTAGAGCCTGAAAAAGAAATTACCGAAAACGTTTTTTACTCTGAATTAATTCTGATGGATGGTGGCTGGCAGTGGAATCCAAGAGGCGCATTTCTCCCTGTTTGGGATTCGTCATTTGGATGTACCTAACTTCCCCCCACCTAATGAGTGATGATATTCCCAGTATCCAGTATCAATCTTTTCAAATGCTGAAGCGTTATCCAATAGATCACGAGAGCCATCTTTCGCTCAATGGGAAATGCAGGTAAATCCAGTTGATGAGTCCCAAATAGGAAGAAGTACTCATCCTGAATTCCACTACTAGTCTCTATCCTACAAAATTAGTTCAGGTCAAATCCTCAGACATGGTTGAAGCATTCGCACAAGGAGCCGACTTTTCAACAGGAACCGAGCACTTCTGTAGAATCAATCAACTGGAACGTCCAAATTGGATTAAGTTTTAACTGTTCACTCCATTGAAGTTTTAACTAATTAATAGTTATATTAGGGATTGGATTTTAACAGCATCTTCCCACAGTTCTTGTTAATACAGTTTAGCGTTAGCAATAATACCAATCCTAATGCATAATTAATCAAACCGTGGTACTGTGTGGAGTTTCTTTTTTGATCAAATAATTCCTGTCTTGAATATGAAGTTTAGATATTATTGCCTGAATCACATGGCATATGTATACAGTTTATTATTGACGGTTATCATAATCCTTCGACGCTGTTGTTATTACTGAAATCGACTCGTTATGGTCTGAGCGCAGGAAATCTATCTCTGCGTCCCACTGTATAGCTGGCGAAACTTCCTTGAAACATGCAAAGTCACGAAACGTTCCAATGACAGCAAAAAGACGACTGTTCTTGGTTGAAACTGTGTGTGATCCTCAACAGTACCGTTAGGTAGCTTCAGAACAATTTAGTGAAAATATATCTTCAAGAGTTGATTTGTTTTTCGAGTTAGACCAGTTAGAGAACCACTGAAACCCAGGGAGTAATGGACCGCTGTTTCACCCTAGTTCCGGACTCATCGGCAGCACGCACCCACTGGGTTTTGAACCCATGACCTTCCAGTTACAAGCTGAACTCGTATACCATTCAGCCGCTGGGACCTGGCTCAATGACCCATGAATTCTAACTTCTGTTTGTGCTTCAGAATATTGTTCTCTCCACTTACCGATTAAGAAGAGTACTTTTCGATACGAGTAAAACTTGAATTCATTCAACTGTTAACGTTATTTTGAAACGAATCCTATCGCTACTCATAGTTTTACTTCATCTTCACTCACCTACCATTGCATCAATAGCAGTTTTACGACTCTAAGGCTCTCTCAGTGTCATCAAAATTCACAAAATTTCGACAGTTGGTTACATATACTTCTAGAGAATACACCCTCCAATCTCTTAACCTTCGTTTTATTCGAAGTCTCTCCCTCAGTGTGCGTTGAAGGTTCAGTGATAAAGCGCTCGTCAACCACTCAACTGGTCCGGGTTCGATTCCGATCCAGCAGACGCATTCATGAACCTTGCTTAGTTTACTAGCCGAAAGTAAGTCGGAGGAAGAGAGTGCGAAGCTAGCGGCGCCGGTCCATAAAAAACATCGTTACTAGTGCAACTGCAAAGCGTGAAGCCCCAGGAGTGAAAAAGCAAACTATACGCATACATATAAAATGGCAATGATTGAAAGATAAGCTCTCAAATACTACTGCCTTTCTAGTTATCGGTTTACCAGTTTGAAATTAAGGTATTTTAATGCCGAACAAATATGATTTTAAGTTACCTCTTTTTACATAGTAGATTGGTTTACTAATGTTGTCACAGTTTTCAGCTGTATCCGTTTCGCTTAACAAAAAAGATTGATTAATGGTGTAAGCAAATATTTAGCATAACAAAAATAAATTCACTTTACTCTGTTTGCACAGTAGATATTTATTGACTCTTCTGAATAGTTTTAAGTTACGTTGAATAATACAGTTTTTAATATACTTTGACTGTTAAAGTGTGATCTTAGTAATTTTGTATAGCATTGCGGATGTTTGAATGTATGCGTGAAATTGCGAAATGACAAAATATAATAACAATAATAATAGTCATAATAATGTTCAGGACAACTTGCTTGTATACTAAGCTACAAGTGACATGTTATTGGGATTCCATCGAGTGATAACACAGACTGAAGTGAATAGTTTTCGAGTTTCTGTTTGCAGGGATTTAGCTGATTTCAATTTTGATCACTAACTGACTTTAGTTAGAGAACAACTGAAAACCAGGGGGTACTAGACAGCTGTCTCATCTTAGTCTGGTACTCTTCAGGAGTATGCACCCATCACCACCGCTAGCAGTCGAATCTAAGGCCTTCCGGTTAGAAGGCAAGCTCGTTTATCATTCGGTCACTAGGATGACCCACCAATGATAACTTCTGCTAGTTCATGGTATACAGTGCGATCGCCAGTCATTGTCATCGGTGAGTATCTGTTCTCACGTCCAATTTGGTGGACCCCGCTGATCATGACTTCTCACTAGAACTTGAGGCAACTTCATTCTGTAATCAGCCAATGAGATGCACTATATGGTCCACTGGATTCCGTTCCAGTGAGTTCGACTTGTAACCTGAAGGTTCTGGGTTCCATCCCCGCTGGGGATATTGGTGTGTATTGTCGCAAAGTCTCAAACTAGAATGAAACAGCTGTCGAATACTCCCTGGTCTTTGATAGTTCTCTGACTAAAGTCAGTTCGTGATCAGACTTTCAAGTGAGCAAAACAAGATGTAAGTTTGAAGCTAACTTACTGAAGTTAAAATCTCTATGCTTATGAATCCCCTCTTTCCCACTGTAAAACAATCGAATTTATGTAGACAACCATTCCGGAAGTAAGCTTGCTCTTGATATCAGTATTGTTGTGATACTATTGACTTAAGTAAGATGAAGTACTCTTTTCCAGTTTTAAACTTTGGATAATACATTTGGTGTTTGTATGTCATGATAGAGCGTTAATATGAGAGATAATATGATTAGTTAAGATTTAGATTTGACCAATATGGAAAAAAGATTGCTGTAATTTGAAATAAATTGAAGTATGCGCTGAAGATGTTGCCTAGGATGGCAATGAAAGCTTCTCAAATAAACCGTGAAGCTCAGAGAATACAACTACATCAAGATTGCTGTAATATTTTCAGAATAAGTAAATAATGGTAATCCAAAGTTATTTTTAAAATAATTTTCAAAAAATTCCTAATGAAACTCATTCATCAAGTACACTTATTTGTGTATGTGTATTAAGCTACTAATCACATTCTGTTTAGTAGAGATTCTTATACTAGTCAGTGGTTAGGCGAAGACTGTCAATTCCATATTAGTTTGTTTATTAGATGTATCACACAGTGACACAGTATTGTATACTGGATTGTCAATGTTCAGGTTTCCATTTCTATTGCCTTTACTTCGAATCATTAAAACATACTTACTTCAAAACACCCTTCGCTATGCTCATGAAAAAAGATAACTATTACTGGATTTGTTTTTAAACACAAATTGAATTCCATCAGTCAAGTTTGTATCGCCATCGCAGTACACACTGACTAATAGAATTAAGTCTTCACCAACTTAAGAACTAGACGCATAATATTAATTACTACCTAGTAGCCAACCGAAGTATCCGTCACAATTGTGGGCCCGAATAGCTCATTGGTAACGTCTTTGAGTGCAAAACTAAGTGTTACGGGCTCGAATCTCAAAGGGGACATGAGTTCTTTAAAAATTGCAGATATGCCTTGCTGATGAATGCCAACAAGTACGATATCTAGTTGGAATACCTCCTACCGGTTGCCTTGGTTCATCTGAAATCAATTCTGTTTTTATGTCGAACAAACAATTTATCCATCTGAAAAAACATTGACTGAATTTTTGTACCTCTTTTTTATTCATCTATTTTGACAGGTGTTTGCTTTAATGTGTTGTAAGTTCACTTATCACTACTAGCATAATACTCTTCATCTATCAGAACGTCAGTCATTCTAATAATCAAACCATGTTTTCTTTTACTTCAATTTTAACTTCAGTTAATATTCACGAAACATGTATTACTCTTACTCGTGTTAATTTGGGTGACTACATAAGCTATTTCGAAACAAATTTACACCTCTTTTGTTTCCATCTTCTGATATGATTGAGCTGGGATGGTCAGTTACATATAGACCCTTTGATTTCCGAGTGGAACATGGAGGTTCAAGCTAGAGCTTGGGTCAGTGGTCATTCTATTTTTATTGGGTGAGGTTTCTCGCCTAACACCTAACCTTCCCTCTTTACCAGCCTTACTACCGAGGTAAAGGAGTGTATCAGCCGAGGATCAACCTCCGGACCACTGATGTGGATCATTTACGATTTGAATTTTCTCAGGTTGTTCCGCACTTAGAGGAATGCTGCAACCATATTAGATATTGCCTCTGTCTGTTTGTTTTAATGATGTTTTATCATCTTTTTTACACACCTGTGATACTTTTTTTGGTATTCGCCATACTATGCGCGAAAACAACTTGCGATTAACTCCATCTCGCCATTAGTTATTTTTATTAAACTCGTCATTTAATTAACTCATTCTTCCGGTTTTTATTTCGAATCAGCAGAAGCTTTCATATCGTTTTTCTTGTTTTTATTTCTGTTCCAGAAATCGATCGAAAAAAGGATCCGTTGTATCATTACCATCTGCAGTAGTTGATCGTAATTCAGATAACTCTCATTTAAATCGATAAATCTCACTGATTACTAATCATCTCTGTAAAAAATTTTATTTTTCATATGTTTTTTTTTCCACTCAGCTAATTCATTCATTCTCTTTCTATGTATTTATACCGTTCCGTATATATTTTTGCCAATCTATTGAGAATTTATTCTTTCAATGAAATAATAATAATAATCTTACTTGTGATCATTCCTATAGATGTGAGATATTTTAATTTGTTCTTTTTTCTTTTGTTTTTGTCTTTAGTGGTTTTGTCTTTCCTTCTCTCCCTTCTCCTCCTCCTCCTCTTCATTCCATCTTTTCTTCAACTTTTGCGAATATATTTCAAGTTTGCAAGTGTTTCTTGTGATTACTTTTATTATCATTGAAATCATTCTACCGCGCTTACAATTATTTGTTTGCATATATGTGCGTCCATGTGTGTATGCGTGTTCTTGTGTGCTTTTGTATGTATGCCATTTTTCCCTAATGTGAATAAACACGACATTCCGGTTGAATTTTCTTTTTTTTGAATTTCTCGTCTTTCTTGTTTGTAAAATTCTGTTTTCTTTTTTACATGCTATCGATAACACTTTTTGGATTAGTTTTCTTCCCCTTTCATTCCAATATTGATTATCACTACTGTCTTGGTATGATTATGATTATTATTGTAATTAATATTATTATTATTATTGTTATTATGGCCTATGAATAATGAAGAGTAGTTACTACAGTGAGCGAAAGATAATCCTTTGAAAAAATGAACAAACAAACAGACAAACAAATAAGCAATAGATTTTTTTCTAAGCTATGAGTATGCTTTTATTTGTCGTTGCCAATATCTCCTCTACCGCCCCCCACTCCCACCTTGTGCGTCGGTGGCACAGTGGTTAGGACTCTCGCCGACCATGCGTACATGATCTGAGGTTCGATTCCCTGCCGATGCGCACCTGATGATATCTATTATGGTCGGCCTGCAAAATTTGGGCTACATGCTGAAAATTCCATACTTGTACCCCCAAAAAACACAGTGTGGAATCAAGCTGTAGGCAAAAATAATAAAAAAATTCAATTTCCTATGTGAGCACAGTTGTTTATTGTTTTTTTGATTTTCGCTTTTTTTTATGACGCTGAATATGCGCTTGAAGATGTTCGTTTTCTTACAAATAATATTCTGTTTCAGTATTTATTATTATTAAAAAAGGATTATGCCTTTTTTCTACTGTGTTACTAGTTTGTACATTCTGGCATACATTTTACTCATTCCTCCTCTTTCTCTCTCTATATATACGTATATATTTTGTGTTGTATTTCAAAGCTTCTTTCTATAAGGTATTGTGCTATTATTATTACAAGCGGTGATATATATATATGTATAGATTTATGTATAAATGTTGTACATATACATATATATGTATATTTGATGTACATGAAATGTATTCCCAAGTTGTAGATATATTATAATTTCACAGAGGATGACAATATATTTTCCTACTTCACTTGTATAATAAATTGACTCCCCCCTTCTTAATTTTGATTATAAATATACATTGCCATTTTTCTTGCCAATAATAAATTCTCTTCCCCCCTCTCTCCCTCTCTCTTATGAAAGAAAGAGTACACACAGCCTATGTGACGAAGAAGCAGCAGCTGGGAATTCCTTCTCTCTCTCCCTCCCTGTGTGGGTGTGTGTGGGTGTATGGTATTCTTCTTTTATTCTCCTTTCCTATCCAATATAACTGTTAATATATATGATAATATATCAGAAATAAATTTATGCTCAAATCGTATATTTCCTCTTAATATTATTGACATCGCACGTCAAGCCCTCAAGTGGAACCAGGCCGAAAGTGAAGCGGTGAGTGGGACGTCGGTGCAATAGTGACATGGAGGAGATCGTGTGAAGAGGAGTTGAAAGAGTATGGACTAAGTAACATGGATGCAGGTGAAAAGTACAGCAGAAGGAAGATAGAAGTGGCAAGTGGAGACGTGCAGTTGAAGCCTTATGTTCCACTAGGAACTCAAGGGAGCAATAATAATAATAATTGTTTCTATTGATTATAATATCACTTTTGTCTTATGTGTCTTGTTTTAATTTCATTTTTGCCTTTCTTTTTTTATTTTGATAATATGATGAATGTAGTTTTATTTTTTAATTTGCTTCTCTCACTTTTAACTTTTGTCATTAATATTGTCATCTGTTTTTTTATTATTATTTCGCTTTCTAAAGTTTGTAAATTAATCAATCACATATATATATATATATATATGTCATTTTCGATTATTGATTTTCTTCTTCTTATTATTATTATGATTATTTGAATTACTGAAGTGTATTTCTCTCATTCGCCCTCCCTCCATCGTTTATTTTGTTCGGTTCCATTTACCCGTATTCTGGATTTTGTTTTTCAGAAATTTAATTTCAGATATTATATATATTATAAACTTTGTTTTTATTTTCGTGAAAAAAATCGATAAAGTTGGTGAAATGCTTCGGGTTTCTTTGTATTTGTTATTGCTTTTTATTTGTCCTTTTGTATTCGTAAAAAACAGGATTATGTAATGAATACATATTCATATACACATATATGAAGAATTAAATATATAAATAAATATACATATACATACATTTTTTGTGCCAGGATTCAGCCTTGTTGATGTTTTATTGACGTTTTGTTCTGGATGCTTGTATGTGTGTGTATGTCTTTTAGGAATGGGTGAATATATGCATGTTTTTCATTTTTTATTACTGACTGTTTCTCCTCGGTTTTAGTCACCTAGACAATCAGTATGTCACTATATTTCAACTTCCAAAGAAGTTTCACTTATGGAGAGTCATCTTCAACTTCAAATCATGTAGTTTTGATGACAGTAGATTCCAGTGTTTATCATAATTACAGTTTTTTTTTCAAGGAATCTCTGTATACCCTTGCATGAAAACGCCTTGACTGATGTTTATATGTAGCTGTTGCGCATTTTGTTTACGATATTTTAAAGTCAAAATCAAAAGAAGCTTTGTATTTGGTTGTGTTTCCTGAGTTTGTAGATTTTAATTGAGAAGCTTTCATCGTCCTACAAGACAACATCTTCAGTACAAGTGTTGGTTTGTATGGATTTGATTGGTTACAGGATTTCATCATGAGCTGACATTCGAATCCCGGTGGGTGCGTACCGATGAGGAGTCCCAAACTAGGATGAAACAGCTGTCCAGTACTCCCAGGTTTTCCAATGGTTCTCTAACTAATATCAGCTCATGATGAAATCCTGTAATCTTTAGTACAAGTTTTAACATGAAGATACAATTTATATCATACAATGGAGAATTTTAAATAAGTTCCAGTTTATATTAAATCTTACATTGAAGATGTTGTCTTGAAGGCTGATGAAAGCTTTGCAATTAGATCAACGAGGTTAGAGAATACAAGCCAGCAGAAATTTTAAAGTCAATAAAGTACTGAACTAATAGGACTATAAAGTTAGTGTTTATTGATAAATAAGATTTCTCTGGTATCACTTTGTGATGTAATTACTTTAATGTATTTCGTTGATTCGATGTACTTCAATATTTTGCAGTTGTTTTCTTCAAATGTGATGCAGTGACTAACATTGGAATAACTTTTTAAACATCCAGTGCATTTCTTTCTTATGCTTACTGATTTGGGTAAAGCATCTAATCCTTACAAATCAACTCTTTAAAGTTAATCTGATGCTCTCTAGTGACTTGCTTCCAGTGGCTGAATGGTATACGAGCTTGCCTTGTAACCGGAATATCCTGGGTTCGAAACCTACTGGGTACGTACTGACGATGATTCCGAAACTAGGAGAAAATAGCTGTCCAGTACTCACTGGTGGTTTTCAATGTTTCTCTAACTGATATCAATCCGTGGTCAAACTCGAAAAATAAAGCATTTTTCAAAAAAAAAGTACTTTTTGCGGATTTCCACCTTCTTTCGAATGCACACGACATTTTACTTTACTAAGGATTTCAACTAGTCACTGGGAAAAAATTCAAGTTATTATTAACTTGAGTTCAGAGTGCGTTATAGGGCTACATAAGCACTTTTCTGTTTCACTGTTTCTTGGATAGTCTCTTTTCTTATAACTAGTTCCATGTTTGCCCATGCGCTTTAATTTCGTTTTCACACTGTCTTCTCCATGTTCCCCTCGTTTTCAACTCGAGGGCCTAGTAAGTGATGTTATTATTCGCGGATCACAGTTTTCGTCTGTTTCTTCTAAAAAAGAAGTTTTTCTTTTGCCGGGGTGAAAATGGTACAAGTTTGTCTCGTTCACTCCTGGACTCCTGGTGAATTCCACCTGACATGTGCATAAGAAGATATTTTAAACTTTTCATATGGATTAATAGTCACTTTCTTGATAATTATAGGAAGACAGACACTTTATCCAGAGATATGTGATTAAGAATGTATTTTGTTCACTGTTCATTATGTTCACCTTTCTGTTCTGTCTGGTTGTATTGACAGTGACGTTGCAACATCAGTGGGGTAGATCATTTTACTGTCGTAGACGTTGGTTATCTTCAACCTTGAAGGACCTGGGGTCAGAACCCTGGTGGGGTCATGTTTGTGTACTTAGGAAGAGTCCCAAGCGGGGACAAAGTAGTTGTTTAGTGTTTCCAGGCTTTCTGTAGTTCTCCAAGTGAAAATCAATACTCTTCCAGGTGACATGGAATTATAGTGCTTGGTCTTTTACCTGTTTTAATTATGACACGACAGTACTTGGGTTGAATGTGCTACTTCGTATGCTTGTTTCTTACTTATATGAAGTGATCTGATTTACTAACTGGTTTTTTTTAAAAAATTTTTATTTCATTATAGAATATTGAATCAGATCAGGATTCGCATATACCCGAAATCAGTCAGCTGCAAACAGGAAATCTTTCATTAATTGCTGATTCCTCTAATTCTGAAAGAAATAATTCACCAAATGAAGTAGAGGATATTTTCAACATTCAGGGAGATCTTGTCAAAGATGATGAGACAGTTTCGAATGTGAAACAATTATCTAGTGGATTGTATAACGCATTGAAACAGACTATTAATAAATTTGACTCAGCATTTTGTGAATTGCAAACTTCTCAAAAGGATCTACAGGAACAACTGATCACTTTAGATCAAGGTTAGTTCGACTACTTCATTGTGTTTGGTTTTTGTTTAACCCTCCCTCTTAATGATACTCAGTTTTTTTTTAACTTAACATGAAGCATGTGGATGGTGGGTAATTGTTAATCTTTGGATTGATGAAGGAAAATTTCATTCTGTGATTAATGTTAACTAGAATTCTCCAATGTTTTCATATGTTTCTTTCTGAAGTTGTGTGAATGACTTGATATGAATGTGAGCAATAGTTTGTGCTCAAAACGTGGTCATCAGTTAATATTACTGTATAACACTGTGCCATTTATCAAAATAAAATGTTATCCACAATCGAGTTATACTCTACCACAGTGCCCAAGTTTTGTACTTATACTCGGATAGACCATCTCCGTCAAGGAATCATAAATATATTCGAATTCCTTTTGTAATTAATCATCTGTCCATATCTTCCTGCCCCTGCTCATGAGACATTTAACAACATTTCTTTTATGTCTAATGGTCACATAACTAAAGAAGTGTGTGTATTGCCGTGCAAATGTGCTTTTTCTATGCACGCTTCTCCCAAGTGGCCCATCTTCCCACCTATTTAGCAAGCTATTCAGAAAATGCAGTTTATGATTCTGCCTCTCTTCACAAGTGAAACTAATCGGATGGATGTTATTAAATTTCATCAACAATTCTTCTTTGCTTACATTCTCATTAACTAAGATAAATGTATCACTGACATAACGGCAATACATGTCCAACTGACTGATGACATCTTTTAATGTCTTGTTTCCAAGTTTTACAAGGGAGAATTCAACTAAGATTGAGCCTAATGGTCAACCTATAGCTATTCCATCTACTTGTCGGTGATATAAATTAGTGAGGACAAAATGTACATTCATTGTGCATTTAAGCAGTAGTTCTTTGGGGCTAGATAAAGAAGTTCCTAAATCCATTTACCTTTCGGTGATTTCTTGCTACATGTAATCTACCGTTTGGACAAGTGGTACATTTGTATACAGTGATGGTACGCCCATGGATAACACACGTTTATTACTAACATTAGTCTCGGCTATTTTAGGAGTGAAGTCAAAGACATCACTAATTCTATATCGCACAGTTTCTGTGTGCAAAAGTCCCATAATCTTCAGTAACCACTCTTCTGTTCCGTAGAATGGTGAGTTAGAAATTCCTAAAACTGAACGAAGAGAAAGACCAGGTTTTCGCACTTTGGGTGGACCGTAAGGACGTTGAGTGTTGTTTCCTGTTGGTTTCATAGATTCGCAAATGGCTGATGATAATGTACCTTTTTGATTCAGTTTTTTTAAGGAATCTGTCACTAGTTTCTCAGCTTAGAATTACCAGGAGATTATAATTTAGTTTGATCGTTCAAAATAACTTCCATTTTTTTCAACACAATTCCTTTTATCAAATAACATTATACCATCATCTTTGTCTGGCTTGCCTATAATTAAGATACCATTCCTTGTGAGTTCTCCTAGAGCTTTTCTGTGTTGCTCAGATTGCAGACTATTTACTTGAATGTCGATTACTTTTGTACTGTTGGCAGCTATCAACTAGCATAGTTTTTGAACCTGGTTAGCTCATTGTCCGATGCTGGAATTAGGTCGGACGTTTGCGAATACATATTTTCAAACTATATATCTGTGTCCAATTGGTGGATGGTGGCTAGTAGTAGTGTCCAATTGAATAACTAAATTTTCACTAACACTGGATTACAGTTAAACTAATTTGTATGTGCTTATAAGGCAGGCTTATCTGTTCTTTTTTTCGTTATGTTATATGCATTTTCACGAATACAGGGGGCTCGTTTCGCATTTGCCAGTTTACGCCGACTGGCGTAGACGAGATGTTCGACTATCGACCAAAGGGCGGGTGTACTGCTCATCAGTCCGCTCCGTCCTCCTTTATGGTTGTGAGACCTGGCCACTGAGAGTGGAAGACATGAAAAGACTAGCTGTCTTTGATCATAGGTGCCTGCGCCCTATTTCCCGTGTAAAGTGGCATAATAAGGTGAGCAACATTGAGGTTAGGCGTGGAGTTCTAGGTAAACAGGGGAAATCAATCGACGAAGTCGTGAAGCTACAAAGACTGAGATGGTTAGGATATGTGTTACGTATGCCAAGCCATCGCCTCCCTCGACGAGCAATGTTAGCGGATATAGGCTCAGGCTGGAAAAACGCTAGCAGTGGTCAAACAAAAACTTGGCACCAGTCAATGAAATCCACAACAGTTGGTCTAAGCCACGTAGGAAGGTGTAGACTTCCAGGCTGGGGTCCTCGGGACGGTAAAAATCAATGGTTGGAAACAATTGGTGACATGGCTCAAAATCGTTCTCAGTGGCGCAGATGCATCCACTCCTTGTGACTTATGATCTCCAATGAAACTGTTTTGTTCTTCGCTATTACTCCTCCTTTGTCTCACACCTCTGCTCACTGTTTCTATTATGCTTTTCTTGTACTTTCTTCTCTTGCTTCGTGTGCTACACGGAGTGTGGCGACTTGAACTTCCGCACATTTGTGCAAAGTTCTATGTCGAAAACAGACAGACAGACATTTTCTTGATTTGTTATTTCCTTTTTCATATCTTAAAATAACAACAATAAAATCAGACTGGGAAGTTAAAATAAAAGGTCACAACAGGAAATTTTTGTTCACTGTTTAATCACTGCCCCTTTTGTCCTCCTTTATGAGTTCATTTAGATTCTTGCTGTTAATTTGCAAACGTTCACTGTACATTTGCATCTGTCTGTCAACTCTGTGTATAGTTACTATATTATCTTAAATTACTAATCAAATTAACTAATTATAAGTTGGAAAAGCACACATGTTACATATTATGTCTACATATTTGTATTTCAATATTTTCAATCTTCTGAAGTTGCTCTTGAATTTGCAAGATTAATCAAGAACTAACTTCAGTTTAAAGAACCATTGAAAATCAGTGAGTACTGGGAGGGTGTCTCGTTGCAGTTTGGGACTCTTCAGCAGCATAAACCTATGACCACTATCGGGAATTAAATCTAGAACCTTCAGGTTACAAAGCAAGCTTGTAGACCATTCAGCCAGTGAGATAGAATCCAATGACCTCCTTAATGCTAACTTCTTTTCTAATTCATTATCTATAGTGTGATTACTATTTAGTGTCATCGGTGAATATCTGTTCTCACTTCCGACTGAGTGGACTCTTCTGATCACAACTCCTCAGTAAAACTTCATCCTGTTTCTTTGCAGATATTTGATCGATTTTGAGTTTGGTTACGATTTGAATTCATTCAGAGAACCTTTAAAAACTAGGGTTCGACCCTTATTAAGATCATGGTTGCATACTGATGAAGACAACCAAAACATGATGAAACAGATGTCCAATATGCCCGTGTTTTCAGTGGTTTTCTAACTGAAGTTAGTTTGTGACCAATTTTAATATGAATCTAATCCCTGCAAAGCAACATTTGAAAACTTGAATTTATAGTCAATAGGATATACCAGTGCACATGTATCTGCAGGGGTAGTTACATCGGAAGAACAGAAATAAAAGCGCCTACGTCAGATTCTTCGAACATATACCAAGGAGCCTGCAGTTACAGGGGCCAGGTAGTTTAAGCTCTTCAATTATCAAACATCTGGTAGACACTGGACACCGAGTAGTTACGCTGGCATCATTCAAAGTAATTAACAGACAAAACAGCTCAAGTCTTCTTCAGTTTGCTGAGACTTTCGCAGCAAAACAGCTGAAATTTGACCTATGTCTCCAAAAGGAATCTGTTGTTGACTCCAGTTACCCTGGTGATTCATTCCTTAATAATTCTTGACCTTCTAACTTCATTAACTTATGTTTTCAATGCCAACCCCCTCGTTTCTTTTTTTCTGTTTGACTTCTATAAGAAATAATAATTTCTTGACCTAATGAGTTCTACTCACCATAATACATCATCATCCTTTCATTTAATCTCTTACGCAAGAAATTCTCATCTTCTCTTAACTTACTATATTATTAATCGCGTTGGGATTTTCGATATGATTTACTAGCCATTTTGGAATATGTTCTTTTCGACGACATTGGAACATTCTGTTAGTTCTACCTATGTAGGTGTCACCGCAGCTGCAGGTGAACTTGTAGATACAGTTTGAAGTAGAGTCCACAGAATTTCGTCCTTTAATCGTAGGAACAGGGATCGAAAAGAACATATTCCAAAATGGCTAGTAAATCATATCGAAAATCCCAACGCGATTAATATTAATAGAAATCCAGCATCATCCATTGCAAAACACTATATTATTGTTACTAATTTTTTTGTTGCCACATTAACAACAAACTTGTCAATTAGTTTTCTAGAAACTTTCCTGTAACACTTCAGCTACCTTGTCGTCCTGATGTTTTACCTCACCACGGTATTCTTGTAATATGCTTGTTTATGAGGTAAAAGTAGGTCAAATTTTACACTGACTTTTATTAATTAAGGATGATAGGTTGTATGCAGCTGATGATAACTGATGTAATAAAATGGATGCATTTTATTTTGCATTAATGTTTGCTCTTTCCTTGCTCAAATAATATTAATGGCCGCTTTTATTCTAACTTCAGTACTTTCTCTGACCAATCGATAACAAAGATAGGATACAGTTCTAATGTTTTATTGAAATTTAAGAATACAATTAAGCATTTATGCTAACTTTAATTTATCTTGTGAGTGTTGTAAACGATACTGTCTAAGATGTTTATTGTACTTTCACCTTTACTGTTTCTCATGGTTTTATGAAAAAGAGGAGACGTTCAGCGAAGTGACTCTTTTCGGCGAATTCATTCACATAGCTGTACAATCGCATTTATATATAATTATTTGTGTGTGTGTGTGTGTGTGTGTACATGAGGTTTGTCAAGTTTAGATAATTGATCAGGTAATACAAGAATGATCTAATATAGAAACAAGGTTAATCAAACAGCAACTAAAGTAAGATTGAGTTAGTAAGTTAGATGACGTAATGTAATTGACTAAAATATTTCAACTTAGGTTAGGGTAACAACAGAGAGGTAGAGGCTAAGAAGAGGTTGTGTAGAGAATGATGCCATTTAAATTGGGACTAAAACTGAGGAAATAAATTGGATGACGTAACATAAATGACTAGAAATTGAGCGTTGGTCAAGTCAGTAACAGTGGTAATGAGGTGTGGAAATTAAGTCGGTTGCGGGTAGAGAACAGGAAAGTTGAAAATGTAAAATATTACAATTGAAAAGACAAAATAATACTAAGGAAGAGACAGAAAAAAAAATGAGATTAGGTAGAATTTACTTGTTGGGTAATAAGACAGATTACGTCCATGGCAAGTGCGGTCATTGAACAAACTTCTTCTGTATGCAGAGTTCAGGACTTAGCAAGTGAATTGCCACTGCTTCTGCAGTTTGAAGAAGTCTGATTCGTACACCTTTAGGAAGACTACTTCTTACTCTGTAGACGACTTTGAAGTTTGTTTGCGGTGTTGTAACTTGGTGTCTGGATTCTATCAAATGTTCTAAGATGGAGCTGGGTGGGGTGGGGGGCATCGTTTTTCTCCTTTGTAAAACCATGTTGATAAGTGTTCGGTGATAGGTTTGGAAGGCGAACGCTGGGTACGGCCCACATGATTTTATTCAATGCTACATTATAAAGTTAAAGTAATTATTGGCTAACTTCTCTAGCACAGTTTATTATTTCATATTAAATCAAATTTATTCTCTCCTGTAATTCTACTCTGGTTATGCTGTTCACTTTTTCATTCTTATATATTCTTTTTCTTTTGTACAAAAATACACACATAATGAACACATGTAGCACTTGGTCGTTTAGCAAAGATTCAAGATAGTCCTTTAGATCTAGAACCTTATACAATTGTACTACAGGAGTATAAACAACGTATTTTAAAAGTACACAATTCTTTACGTCATTCACAGGTTAGTAATATTAATAATGATATTATAATTACTATTATTGTACTCTAAATTAATATAAAAGTATCTAGTTTAAATTCTTTTAAGCTGACCTAATTGCAAACAGTGAACGTGCTGTTTCACCAAAAGTAGTAATATTAGTATTGTGTATTTCACCTCTAATCATATTGGTCTTTTGTGCGTTTGTTATACCAAGTTGACTGTGACAACAACCCAACCAATCACATAAGAATAATAATAATAATAGCACCTTTTGTCTTATCATCATTTGTGTGTGTGTGTGTCTACACACACCACTTGGTGTTCATACACAAATTGGTATGCACTTTTTATGATGTGTGCATTTCAATATATATATATATATATATATATGTGTGTTTGGAGTAGGTTTAATTTTTTTTGTCAAACTCATCCTCAATATCTAAAGTCCATTGGGTATATCAGTTCCAGTTAGTGGCACGAAAATTTATGAGTATGATTTTAAGCTTATCGAATGTATCGTTGCATAGTGTATTGATTATAATACACAAAAAAGTCTAGTGACCTAATAATCTTTTGAAGAGTGAGTATTTGGCAAACTTGTAAACCAAGTGAGTCATTCTTAAAACAATATTATATAGAATATAAAAAAAAAGCTGAAAGAACTGCAAAACAATAAACTGATGCGGAATTATATTTAGTTGATGGTGGGATCCGGAATGCACGGCGTTTCGTTCTATCTAAGAATCTCTTGCTGGAGGTACCTGTATGTCTCCGAAGGGGAGATGGTGTTTCCGCTGTCATTTGTCGTTTGAAACCATGGGTACAGGATTTGAGTCTCAACGAGTGCACCATCTCGACTGGTGATGTACGTATATCCAGCTAACGAGTTCCAGATAGGAGGAAACGCACATTCTGAATTCCCCAATTCTAATTATCGGCAACTAATTATGTTTATATTATTATTCCCTTGGGTTGTGAGTGGAACATAGGACTTCAGGTACACATCTCCACTTCGTTCTATTCTCTACTGTCCTTTTCAGCTGGGTCCACGGTTGACCACAATTTCTCATCTGCTCCTCACACGATCTCCTCTATGTCACCTTAGGACGACCCATTCGTCGCTTCCCATCCGGATTCAACTCGAGTGATGGCCTGTATTGAGCGCCATTTCATTTGACGGTGTCATCAATGTATGCCCGATCCATCTCCATTCTTTCCTACATATTTGTTGAGCCATAGGCTCTCGGTTGGTTTGTTCCCAGCTAGAGTTTCTGGTTACTTATTCTTCCTGGCCATTAGATCTTCAGTATGGAGCCAGCGAAGATAGCTGTTGATGAAAGTCTGCAGTGGTCTGTTGAAAATCCTTTTCGTCGCACGCAGTGCACGTTTCTGACCCGTATAGAAGGACTGACTTGACATTGGTGTTGAAAATGCGAGCCTCGTGCTTTATATTGCCTGACTGAGTCAGTGCAAAAGATTTCCAAACTGGTTTCAGGTTGATGAAGGCGTATCTTGCCTTACAGATTCTGGCTGGCTGGTTTTGACATAATCCGTGCCATCCTCCTGTAGTTGAAACGATGCTTCCTAGATAAGTGAAGGAGGTAACCTCTGTTAAATCTTTCCCGTTGATGGTGATTGGTCGTGGTTATTGTTCTTGTTGTTGTTGTGGTTCGTTGATTATCAACCAATAATAACATCATATTAATTCTCTGACATCATCGATGTGTCCGTACTAGGGGCCGATATGTCAACAGAGATTGAGTATTCTGGTACAACACAATTAATCATTTTGGAAATACAGATTAACCTTAAAAGCAAATGAGGCAGAATTAGATAACTTAATTGTCATATTTTAGAGTTTTTCACTGGTTCAATACTTAACCCCTGATGGATGAAATTTCCAACCGTATAATGAAGGCTAGGGTGGCATACATCAACTTGAGCCACCTATGGCGCCGTCGCGACGTTAGCCTGGCTGTCAAAGGTCGGGTATACAATGCTTCGGTGCAGGCTGCGCTGCTCTACACCTGTGAAACCTGGCCTCTCTGAGTAGACTGAGGACGTGCGTCGACTCTGCGTGTTCGATTACCGCTGTCTCCGCAGGATTGCTTTCCATCGATGGTATCATCGCGTGAGTAATTCTGAGGTTCGGCGGCGTGTGTTTGAACACAGTGGAGATCACCATTCATTGAGTGTCGTCATCTGGAAACACCGGCTCCAGTGGCTTGGACATGTGCTGCGAATGTCACCCCAGAGGCTTCCGTACAGGTCTCTGTTCTCTAGCCCTGGGACGGGACGGAAAAGGTGGAGAGGTGGTCAGTTCATGACGTGGCGTCGTGGAATGAAGGATTTTTGTGCTAGATTAGCATCGGTTGGTGTGTCACGACTCCCTGGTTGGGCCCCGAGAGATAGCTCAAATCTATGGCTCAAAACGTTATCGGATATGGCCAAGAATCGTAATCAATGGCGAATGTGTTGCGATTTCCTTCTTTCTTCCCTTCCCGATGTTTGAACTTGTTAAGCATGACTGTCTTCCTTCCAGATGAAATTCTTTATCCGTTCTCTACTTATATATTTTTTTCTTTTCCTTCCTTTTTTCTTTTGATCTATGTTGTTTTATTATTATTGTGTGGTGCATCCTTCTTGGTGCCATATTATACCAAGTTTTTTTATGCGTTTAAATAAAATAAATAAATAACCCCTAACCAGACATGGAGATCAGACCGAGGTTAGTACGTAACCATTCACTCACTGATCCAGAACTTAGTGTTTGATAATTTGTAGTCACCGTACTTCCCAGTTGCTACAAGGCAGTGTAAGTTTATGATCTTTCCATTGTAACGAGTACCTAGTTCCAGTATTTATAATTTAGAACGTTATATTCATTAAGTTATAAATACACCTGGTCAGCTTGTTATTGGAAGTGATTTTGTAATGAAAATAGCTTCCATAGTACCTGTATACTAAAGTATCCAAACAGTCTAGTGTTCTTAGTCAAAACTTTCGCTATCGAATAGTTGTTCACTGATATCGTCTAGCATATTTTGTTATGTATTTATTTATTTTTTTGATTACAGCTTGATTCCACACCGTGTTTTTAGTACAAGTATGGAATTTTCAGCGTGGATATCAGTAGCCCAAATTTCGCAGGCCGACCATAGATATCAGCTGTGCGTCGGCGTGGGCTCAAACCCCGGACCATGTGCATGGTCGGTGAGAGTCCTAACCACTGTGCCACCGACGCACATGGATGGATGGAAAATATTTGCGTTATTCGGAGGATTATTATTATTTATCTTATTCCTTTACGTTCCCAGTGGGACATCGGGTTTCAAGCTAGAGGCTTGAAGTTTCAGTAGCAGTGGTGTTTATTTTTTACGGGATGGGGTCGCTAGCCTCATGTCGAACCTTCCCCCTTTACTAGTCTTATTACTAGCTTAGCAAGGTAAATGAATGCGTCGTATGGGGATCGATCCCCGAACCACATGTTTGGTTGGCGAGCATTCTACCGCTGTGCTACAGGGATAGCCTGCGTGAAATTATTTATGTTTCAGCCAAAATTCTAGGTCAGTTAAATCATTGAGAACCAGACAGCACTGGGCAGCGGTTTCATCCTGTTTTGAGATTCTGTATTATGTGCGCACCCATGATACCGCCAGGGTTCGAAACGGGGACTTTCAGGTAACGAGAACTAGCTAGTTAACCAATCAGCCACTTGGGCTGGAATTAGATGATCTATGAATCCTAATGTTGTCAGCTGGTGATCTAGCGCTGACCCCACCAGTGCCTTTTATGACATGTTTGACCCCACTGGTCACGACATCCCACTGGAGCTTCAGGAAATCTGCCCAGTAGCTGGCGATTAATATTCAGGTTATAGGATTTGTCAGGATTTTGGATTAATTTCAGCCTGAAGGTTCCAGGTTCGATCCCTGGAGGAATCGCGGATGCTCAGTGCTTAAGAGTCCCAGAATACAAAAACAAACAGCCGATCAATGATCCCTGGATTCATGTTGTTTCGTGCTGAAAATCTTACCATTGAAATCATTCCAAAATCCACACAAATCCCACAGTCTAAAATTTTGTATTCAAGATACTGTCTATTTACATTATAGTTCAAGCGAAAAATGTTTTCCATATATACATGATATTGTAATGCTTGTCTGTTTACTTTTTTGCCTTATATTTTTCTTTTTAGGACAGAGTCAATCGTCTACGAAACAACTTGCAAACTAAACGACTTCATTCCTGAATATATATCAGCCTCATTTTCCTATGGCTGTTGTACAATATTTAAGAGGTTTAGATTTATCTGGCATTAATTTTGAAAAGCATAAAGATCTTTTAGAGAAACAAAGATTAGCTCGACGTCATCCTAATGATGCTAAAGATGACAATCTATCTGCTAGTCTGCCTTCAATATGGCCATCAACTGAAATACTACAAGATATGTGCCGTTTACAATGGCTGAAGTTAAAAAATGTTGGCTTAAAAGAGAAATTTCTACCGAAAGAAATAACTCGTTTAGACCAGTTGGAGAGTTTATCATTGGCACGAAATGAATTGACATCATTATGTTCTATTAAAGGTTGGCCAAGTGTTTTGCCAAGTTTACGAATGATAACATGTCGTAAAAATGAACTAACTAGTCGAGATGCAATTCCCCCTGATTTATTCGAGTGTAATAATCTTCAAGTGAGTATGGATAATACTTTTCAGTAAAGTCTAATAGTATATATGCTGTCAACTGGAGGGATTGCTTTAAACAAGATAGACTGCCGACTGACTTACTGGTTTCAACATAGAACTTTGTAACTTAGCTCGAGTCGCCACACTCCATGTAGCACACAAAGGAAGAAAAGAAAGTAAACGAAATGCAAAATAGACATAGTTAACAGAGATATGAGGCGAAAAGAATAGTAATATCGAAGAACAATATAGTTTTATTGGATATTATAAGTGAAAAGGAGTGGATGCACCTTTGCCAGCCATTGAGGATGACTTTGAGCCATATCACTAATTGTCTCCAACCATCGGTGTTTACCGTCGCGAGGATTCCAACCAGGAAGCCAGTGTACACCTTTCTACATGACTAGCTTAAACTAACTGTTGTGGACTTCATTGACTGATGAAGCCATGTTTCGGTTCGACCAACACTAGCTCTTTTCCAACCCGACCTTCTATCAGCTAATATTTCCCGCTGAGGAAGACGATGGCTAGGCTACCATGCGTGACGCGTGTCCTAACCATCTCAATCGATGTAACTTCACAGCCGCGTCGATTGATTTCCCCTCCTTACGTAGCACTTGACCGACGCCTAACCTCAATATTGCTCACCTTATTATATCACTTCATGCGGGAGATAGAATGCAGATACCTATGATCAAAGACAACTAGCCTTTTCATGTCTTCCACTCTGAATGGCTAGATCTCACAACCATAAAGAAGAACGCAGCAAACTGCTGAGCAGTACACACATCCTTTGGTCGACAGCCAGTGGGATATCACTTCTATGCCAGAGACGGCGTTAACTGTCATATGCGAAACGAGCCTTTTGTATCCGTGCAGAGATTTCGTCAACGATCAACCCGCTGGAATTTGTTGATTCATCTTCCGAAAAAAGTGAAGTGGTCAGCACGTTCTACCGCTTCACTCCCTATTTCTAAGCTAGGAGTCAATGTAGCCCAGTCAGTCCTGTAGCATCATATTACATTTGACAGCAAGAGTGGATGGTATGCCAAACATTCGTAGATTGCAGCTCAAGGTGTTCAGAAGACTACATTTTGTCAGCGTCCTCGCCTAGAAGGACTATATCGTCTGCATATTCTCAGTTAACAAGATTATTCCCTGGTAGCAAGTCAATCCCTGATTCTCTGAAGTGAGTTAGGGTTAAGTCCATTAGTACATCTATGATGAAGTTGAATAGGAATGGGGATAATGGGCATCCTTGGCGGACACCACTAGCTGTCACCACTTCAGATGACAACTCGCCGTAAGCCCCCACCTGGCTGCATGAGTTTGATTAGAGTGCTTTAATCAGTGCAATGTTTTTTCTCGGGATTCCCTTTACAGTCAAGCATCTCCAGAGAGCCTCTCGGTCGACAGAATCGAATTCCGCCTTTAGGTCAAGAAATATAACGATTGTTGGACAGCAGTAAATATGCCTATGTTCCTGTGGACTGTAGTGTGATAGAAGTGTAATTTTATGATTTAACCTCTTCATCACTGAATCTCTTGTTGAAGTTTGAACAATTATCAGTAATGTTAATCGTCTTACAATTTAGATGGTAAGTCCACCAGAGTAAATACTAGACTCTTAGCTGCGAGCTCCTGAGTTAGAATCCCCTTGCATTTATGTCAACCTGGATGGCTGGGCAGTGTCATCACCCTTGGATACACCAAACGCGTGTATCTTACATAGCCTGGGAAGTGAGTTGAAATAACTCAAATGACTATGGTTTTGACTGAGTCTTCAGAATGTGTAATTCTCTTATTATCAAATGATTGTTATTTGTCATTGAATTAGTTATTAATTACTTTAAATTGTGAAATTTTAATATTTTTCCCTTTATTCTTTTGTGTCCTGTTTTTATTATTTTACAGGTTGTTGATTTCAGTTGTAATCACTTGACCCAGTTACCTAAAGGGATTGAAAAAGCTAAAGGCTTATTAGTATTGAATTTAAACAATAATCAAATCTCATTGATTTCACCTGATTTATTCGTCCAGTGTACAGAGTTAATGTTTTTAGATTTAGGTAATAATCGATTAGAAAGTTTACCAGCTCAACTTCGTCGATGTTGTTCACTACAACAACTTATTCTATGCAATAATCCATTGCGTCATGCTCAGCTTAGATCGGTGACAGCACTAAAACAACTTGAGGTAAATACATTTCAGCTTTTTTTATAGAAAGAAATTCTAAGTGATCTTTTGATTATATATATATATTATCAAAAATAAACTACATCTATATTCTGGATTTCATCACGAGCTGACATCGGTTATGTTACTAGTATCGTTGATTCTTCTGTTTCTTGTTCTTTTCATTATTTTACATCGCAAGTGGAACATAAGGGTTTAAAATTGAAGCCTTGGAGTTTTAGCAGTTGTGGCGTTGCGTTGCTCAGCCCTACGTCCAACCATCCTTCCCTTAGATTAATATCCACCGATAAGGTGTGTAAAGTTTGGGAAACATCTGGGAATCGAACCCTGGACAGTATGAGTGTTCGGCAAGCTGTTCTAACACTGATCTATCGGCGCCCTGTGCCTTACTAAAGTGAAGTGTTATGTCCGAGTAGTTTGCGCATTATTATAACTTGTAGAGACTGATTGTAACGCATACTTTGGCGGTAATCTTTCTGATTTCTTTTTCAACAATCAGACTTCTTTAGCCATTTTATGTGTTTATGCATTTCTCCCTCTCTCTCACACACACATCTTTTTCCTTCTTTTTTTTCAGGTGTTAAATTTATCAGCTACTGAACGAAGAGTGGATAATATCCCAAATGAATTAGACAGACTGGAACATTTAATTGAATTAGACTTATCTTGCAATCAATTGACAAAGATTCCAGAACCGGTTTTATTGGTATGTCAGTGTATAATACATACAAAGAATAACCGTAAACGAGTTGTTATTCATTTTTTGCTCAGTGTTTTTGATTTGGTTGCATTCTCTTAGCTAGTTGGTTTTATTACTATGCTTTCATAGCATTCTTCTGAGCTGGGGACAGCTCAGAGGATGCATTCGCATCGAAATCATCCAAATGTGGTACAAATCTTCTTTATTTACTTCAATTTCCAATGCTGAAGACGAGTAACCGATAATGACGTCCTAATTTTCTTCAGTTCTCTGTTAAAAAGTTTTCTGAGAAAAGAAACAATTACAAGTATTCATTTTATCTTTGCAAATTGATGTGTAAGATCTCTTCAAGTGTCAGGTGGTTAATTTTACTTTCAGACGCGAACATGACTTATGTTAGTTCGCATGGTTCCACTATCATAGATGACACTGAAGTTGAAACTAAATCCTCTGATCTTTCCTGGTTTTCCCATATCATGTTAGTTTCCAGAAAGATGTTTCGTTTGACGTCCTATGTAAGGAAGTTAAGGCGATCTGGTATCGTTCCATCTGTACTAATACAGTTTGTTAATTCTTGTATTCTGCCTATAATTCTTTACTGCCCCCACCCTTAATTTTTACCGGGCTACTTAAGAAAGAGTTTGCCATACTGTGAAGGAGGGCACTAGAAGCCGTCAGTTGGGCGAGTGGGGTGTTGCTAAACCAATTCATTAATACTATTGTAGATAGACATATGGATTCCTGCAAGAAATTAGCAAATATTATTTTGTCAAACTTTGACCATCCTCTCTATACACAGCTCTTTCATTGCATCTCATCGGGTAGAACTAGAAGCAACTATAGAAGACTGTATACTCGGACGATTAAGTACAAAAACTGCTGGAAAATGTCTTAACTAATGTACTAATTTTCTCAAAATATTACTTATATTACTCTTGTACATTCAACCAGTCAGTTGTATTTTTTTTTCAGTTTTATTCGAAGCAGATTAGGATTATTATATACTGATTGAATACTAGAATTAAATTCAATGTTCTAATAATATTCAGGCATTTGTCTGCCTCTAATATCTCGGCTTTTTGTACGTTGATGGTTCAGAGGTAGAATTTTTACTAACCACCCACAAGATCATGGGTCTATCTTGATAGATTTATTTTTATGAGTTGATCACGGATTGATATCAGTTAGAGAACCATTGAAAACCAGGGAGTACTGGACAGCTGCTGTTTCATCCTAGTTTGGGAATCATCGGCAATACGCATCCACGGGGATTCGAACCCAGGACCTTCCGGTTACAAGGTCAGTGAGCTCATATACCATTCAGCCACTGTGACCCGATTCAATGGCCAGTGCATGAATTCTAACTTCTACCAATTCGTGATTTAGCGCGACCCCAACCATTGTCGTTGGTGGGACATCCATCAACGCACGTGACATTTAATTGGACCTCACTGGTCACGACTTCTCACTAGAACTCCAGGAAACTCCATCCTGTAGCAAGTCATTAGCGAGCATCATGAACCATTGAATCGGGTCCCAGTGGCTGAATGGTATACGAGCTCGCTTTGTAACCGGAAGGTATTGGGTTCGAATCCTGTCTGTGAGTGCGCACTGCCGATGATTCCCAAACTAAGATGAAACACTCAGCTGTCCAGTACTCCCTGGTTTTCAATGGTTCTCTAACTGATATCAATCCGTGATCAACTCGTAAAAACATAACAAACCCTTACAAGCTAAACTATAGAAAATATAGATTTTATTGTTGATATTATTATTATTGTTGTTATTCTGGAAGTGATGGTCGTTGTTTATCCTAACAGGATTCAACCATAGTTTCATATCTCTGATATACGTATAATTGACCTCCCTGTATTTTTATATTTCATTGTTTTTTTCTTTTATCAAACAAATAATATCAATATCAATATCAACAACAACACCACCAACCAACAAATGGAATATAGCTTCGAAGTTTACGTAAACTGCATTTAGCACATAATGAATTGTCGGATTTATCCAATTTAACAGGAGATTGGCCTAGGCTTGAATACTTAAATCTCAGTTATAATCAATTAACTCATCTCCCCACTGGATTGATACGTCTGTCTTGTTTACGAAAATTATATGTGAATAATAATCATTTAACATTTGGTGGTATTCCATCAGGAATAGGTAAATTACAAGATTTAGAAATATTTGATGCATCACACAATGAATTAGAAACTATACCAGAAAGTGAGTACTTTGAGTTTTAGTTTTACATGGTGAACTTTCTGTTGCTATGTGTGGTATTTACATTTGAAAGATTGGTGTATGTTTTTTGTTTCCACTTTGTTTTCTTGGTATTTTCTGTCCCCGTTTCTAAAGCTGATGGAAAAACTAGTACTTCTTAAACTTGAATCCTCCCTTATAAGTTTTCAAGACCCTAAACAATTTGCATATAGGCAGGGTTGGAGCACTTTAGATGCTGCAGCCGTCTTACATAACAGTATCGTCTCATCATTAGATAAAGGTGCCACATACGTTCGTTGCACGTTTCTCGACTTCATTTCTGCTTTTGACTCTGTACCTAGATGTCTCTTGCTAAATAAGCTCTCCATGACACAAACTGAGTCCTGGGTCACAAACTAGTTGCATTCCTATTTCTCAAACAGAATACAGTATACTATATACAAAGGTAAATCCTCCTCTGCTGTGTTCATTGAAGCTGGTGTCCCCTAAGGTGGTGTACTCTCCCCACTTTTGTTTTCTTTCTTTCTACATGACTTACCATCTTCAAATTACATTAACTTTGTTAAATATGCCGACGACCTGACTGTACCTTTGCCTGTCAAATGTCAAAGTGACTGCTCCAAACTAAATGGCTTTTTATCAGAAATCAGCCAGTGGTCCAAGGAAAACGGTCTTACCTTAAATCACTCTAAATGTCAAACAGTCAATTTCACCTTTAGGTATAAATCTGACCTAAACAAACTGGATAGCACTCACGAGGTGTGCAACATAGATGACACTGAAATAGAGACCAAGTCGGAAATTAAATATCTTGGCATCATTCTATCTGCTGATCTTTCCTGATCGTCTCATATCTTGATGATTTCTAAGAAGATATTCCGTCTCACCTTCTATATCAAGAAGTTAAAACATTCTGGTATAACCCAACCCTTACTCTTACGATTTGTCAACTTTTACATTCTGCGTATTATTCTCTATTGTCCCCCCCTTAGTTTTTCCAGGGCTCCTGAAGAAGGACTGTGTCTTATTACGTAGGGTGTTTAAGGTTGCCAGCAGGGTAAGTAATGTGCCACTGAACCAGCTTGTTAATATTCTGGTCGACAGGCAGTTGGACTCATGTGAAAAATGGGCTAAATCCATTCTATTTAACTCTCATCACCCTCTTCATCCACAACTCTCCCCTTGTATTTCATCAGGCAGGACCAGAAGCCTATATAGAAAATATGCGCTCTCACTAGCAAGTACAAAAACTCAACCATACCCTACTTGGCTCATGTTCTGTACGATAAAGAAAGCATTAGGCGTGATACCTATAACTTATTAAATAGTCGGTAGAACAAGTGTTGGTTTGTAGGGATTTGATTGGTTTCAGGATTTCATCATGAGCTGACATTAGTTAGAGAACCATTGGAAAACCTGGGAGTACTGGACAGCTGTTTCGTCCTAGTTTGGGACTCTTCAGCAGTACGCACCCACCGGGTGCGTACTGCTGAAGAGTCCCAAACTAGGACGAAACAGCTGTCCAGTACTCCCAGGTTTTCCAATGGTTCTCTAACTAATGTCAGCTCATGATGAAATCCTGAAGTCGGTAGAACAACTGGATCTTGTCTTTCCAACTCATACCATTTGTAGGTACAACGTTTCCTTTCTTTATTTTCCTTTTTTTGTTTTCTTCCCTACATACTCTACTTAAAACAGTCTTCTTCGTTCTTTCACATTCTGTTTATCTCGACCTTTTTGTTACCGCTTACGCCGGTAAATATGCTAGTATCTACTTTTCTAACATCCTCAAACATTCTGTTCACTTTTGGCTTTGTTACCGATATGCTAATATGTCGTTGTCAAAACTAACTGGGATTATCCATAATCTATGTAGAATTTTATTTATTGTTAATGTACAAACTGGATGCAATACTGTAGTGAAATGCTGAGAATTCCATTCTTTATCACACGTACTGTTTTGGAATAAAGTGAATTATTATTATTATTGCTATCTATTTATTATTTAATTGATGGATGGTGACTAGCAGTGGAATCCACGATAACGCGCATTTCGTCCTATTTGGGGCTCGTCATCTCGATGTACCTGCATTTCTCAGTGAGTGATGATGTTCCGACCGAAGCTCTCACCCAGTGCCGATAGTTTCAAACTGCTAGTCACCATCCACCAATTAAATACTAATTAAATGCTCAGACATCGTCGAAGCATCTGCTCAAGAAGCCGATATGTCAACCTGAGACCGGTGCAATCAATCGACAGGAAAATCTCAAATTCTATAAAATTAGCATGACCCGTTGCACAAGAGGTTGCTCTCGTGGCCCAATTGGTCTAGTGGATAACGCTTTGGCGTTGGAAACTATGGGTACTGGGTTCGAGCCTCGGTGAGAACATCATCACTCACTGAGGAATGCAGGTACATCGAGACGACGAGTCCTAAATAGGTTGATATGCGCGTTATCCTGGATTCCACTGCTAGTCGCCATCCACCAATTAAATACTGATTAAATGCCCAGACATCGTCGAAGCATCTACACAAGAAGCCGACATGTCAACCTGAATCCGAGCACTTCGGTCCAATTAATCGACAGGAAAATCTCAAATTCAATTAAAAGGTGTCTATTTATCTTGAAAACGAATTTGATTTAATAGATGAAACAAGTTATCAATCTAGGCGCTGATTATTCCCCTCGGTTCAGAGTGGAACATAGAGTTTCAGTAGTTCATCTACACTTCACCCTTTTTTCTTCAATTTGTCTTTAGCGGACTCCACCATTGCCCATAAGGTGCCATCTCTTCCATGTGTCACCCTCGGGCGCCCATCTCATCGTTTACCATTCGAGTTCCAACGATATCATTAAATTATTTCTTTCTTTGTGTCATTCTATTGGGTATTTTTTAATGACTCTGTATTGTTCTACTTATTTACCTTACCATTGCAATGCAGGTCTATGTAGATGTGGTCGTTTAAAACGCTTAATACTCAATTCGAATCGTCTGCTCACTCTTCCTGATGCTATACATTATTTAAAAGAATCTTTGGATGTTTTTGAAGTTGATAATAATCCTCGTTTAAAAATTCCGCCTAAACCACCTGAATTGCAAAAAGGTGCTGGTTTAGCCTTTTATAATATTGATTTTTCTTTGGATGCTCAATTGCGTATGATGCGTGGAAAACCAGCACTAACTACAGAAACAATTCATCATGCAAAGGTAATTTGTTTTCTTTCTGTCTTTCTTTATGCAAATGCAAATTTTTCCTTCACGTTCTCAGTGGAACACAGGGCCTCAAGCTAGTGGCTTGAAGTTTCTGTACCAGTGTTTTATATATTTTTACAGGATGGGGTTGCTAGCCTCATGCCGAACCTTTCCTCTTTACCAGCATTATTTCTGGCTTAGCGAGGTAAAGGAGTGCGTCCATGGCCGTGGATCAAACCCCGGACCATGTGCATGGCCGGCGGGTGTCCTAACCGTTGTGCCACCAACGCACCCTGGTGCCAATAATGCACCAAACTTCATGTTTTAATAAAACAATAATGAATATTGTAAAGTCGCATCACTCAGCCCATGTGGCCATATTATAGACATAATGAATATATCTTAAGTGAGCACTAAAGACTTATTTATATAAGGCTACACAGATTAACACCAACTGGAGTAAATAATTCCAGTACAACTTTTCTCTCCAAAAGCTTTCTTTATACTATTGCTTTTTAGTCGTTTATAGATTTGAATTAAAAGTTCTATTAAAGTAGATTAACTTTTGTTTTAGTCATATTCGTTCAGTAATGTAGATGGTAGAGTACATAAATGACACTTCCGTTCGCTGTTGATAATGATGTATTTTGAGTCAAAGTTTCTGACTTCTCAACTATATGCCATTACTTTAGAACTAGTGGTTCTTGACAGTGTCCTAACAGACTATAAACTGTGAAGTAGTTCATGAACCCATTATTTCATTTGTGTGAGATATATCGTTAGCTGTAACGAGTTGGTGGTTGGTGAAGTGTATGCATTCATTCATTCTAAAGAGACTCATATGATATCCACGGAAATGGAACACATATATTCTTAGAGGAAGCATCGGATTATCCATTAAGTGTCAGTGGTGTACTATGCAACTGTACTTATTATCCAACTGGTTGGTTGTCAATCTTGTCTGTTAAAAGTAGAGAATGCGTGAAGTATTCAGGCACTTGAAAGTCATATTTTTCCTAGCTTTACTAATATTTGTTTAGACACTTGGGCTTTATCTTTTATCTATATGTATAGTTCATCTGCTTTTAGTATTATAAGAGATACGGCATGTTGCTATTCTATTTAGGATTTGTTTAAATCCTAGTTCATTCACAATCTTATATGTTTCACTGGCTTACTAGCATATTTATTATACTGTTAGACGGTTTAACTCTTAAAATACAATAATGGTATGAATCACTTTGTCAGGCCTTATTCACATTTACTCCCTTATACAGACATTGTTCATTGTACTATGAATTCAATACACGACACTCATTAGTTGAAAGTATGACCAGTGCATCCCTAGATTGGTTGTGCCTGGTGACCAGTGCGTAAGCTTAGTCTAGTTGCATTCATCTTAGTGAAAGATTCAGGGACATTCATTTCACCCTACTAATGTTGTTATTTCATGATCGTAAGAGATTATTATGCATTTGACGAATGTCAAAATTGTATTTATAGCCAAAGTTAAGGTTCGTCATAAGTTGACTTTCAAGAACTGATCAGACTCTATGAAAGATCATTCTGAATGAAACCATGCCTACCTTTTTGGATTTGGCGAGGGTATATACAGTATTCTAGGTATTTCTTAGGAGCTTTTTCTGTAAATGTAGGTAGGGTTAAAGTTACGATTATGGTTAGGGTCAGGAGTAGGCTAAAGAACAGTGTCAGAAATATCAATGGATCTCAAAGTATAATGACCTACAGTCACTTGTTTGAATGGATACATCGCTCATGGTACGATTTCTTTATACATCATTTGTTTAGTGGCTGGAAGACATTCTTACAACACATACACGACAACTATACAGTGTTAATATCATGTTTGTGGTGGTTTTTAAGTGCATTTTTCAACGAATATACAACTTTTCCGTATCTGAAACCCGATTGGTCGTTTAAGTCGCTGAGGTTTCGGCTATCATAGTTTAACTTTGCCAATTTTTCGCTACAGCAATTAACACCGGTGTATTTTAATATCTAAAAGAGAATTACTGTTGGAGAAATTAGTTGTGAAAAAAAAACTTACCACTACTAGTCACATAATAAAATATAGTTTTTTTGCTAATCTACAATATTAAACCTTATCCATCACTCTATCTGTGTATTCTGTTGAATAAAACTCACTTTGAAGTTCTCAGTACTTTCTCATTTAATTGTGTTTATATCTAAGTAAAGTGAAAAATTCTTGTGAAACTTTATACATATTCAAAAAGTATGAAAGATACGAACTTACAATCAATTTGTAATCTATCTATAAAGTAGTAAAGCGTGAGAGAATATATATCCAGTACATTTTAGGTTTTTTTGTATTGTTTTACTGTTATCTATTCCGTTGAAAGACTAGCAAGGGAAAAGGTTATTGATTGATCACTGAAGTTCTCCTGATATTTGTTTTAAACATGGATTGACTGAACGACTGGTTTTAACGTAGAACTTTGCCTAGATGTGCAGCCACTCCCCCTCAATGTAGCCCACAAAGCAAGAGAAGAAAGTAAAGAATGATTCAAAACAGAGAGAGAGAGAGATGATAAACAGAAGTGTGAGGCAAAAACGATAGTACTATGGAAGGACAGTAGAGTTTTATTGAATATGATAAATCACTAAGACTGAAATGCGTCTGCACCATTCAGAAAGATTTTGAGGCATATATCTAACCAATTGTCGCCAGCCTTCATTGGTTTTTACCATCCCGAGGACCCCAACTAGGAAGCCAGTGTGTACACCTCCCTACGTGGCTCTCTGGCTTAAACTAACTGTTGGGGATTTCATTGACTGACGATGTCATGTTTTAGTTTGACCACTACTACACTATCCAACTCTTTTCCAACGTGATCTATCCTATTGTGGTGAGAGCTGTCTGCTAGCCAAAATTACTAGACAGCAGTTTATGTCAATGTTTACTTCCCAAATTTTGGTGATGAGAAAAACAAGAACAAAGACTTTGCATGGGCGGACACGATAAGCAGATATACGGTTTGACCTTCAAAGAAACGGCCACAAAGGGATGACAGAATAATTTCTAGTGAGAAAACGACCAATCAGAAACTCTGTTTCTCTGCTAATAATAACGAATAATAATAAACATAAAAATACATAAACATCTGTTACCTGGCACTTTTTTCTGTCGTTACATTATGTCAGCTAACATTGACTGTCGTGGAAGGCGATGGCTATCCTGCCATGCGTAACACATGTCCTAACCACCTCAATCGATGTGATTTCACAATCTAGTCGATTGATTTCCCCTCCTTGCCTCGCAGTCGATCGATGCCTAACCTCAATATTGCTCACCTTATTATACCACTTCACACAGGAGATAGAACATAGGCACCTATGATCAAAGATAGATAGCCTTTTCATGTCTTCCACTCTCAGTGGCCAGGTCTCACAGCTATAAAGGAGGAGAGAGCGGACTGATGAGCCGTACACACGCCCTTTGGTCGATAGTCGGATATTACCTCTACGCCAGAGAGGAAGAAAATTGGCATATGCGAAACGAGCCCTCTGTATCCGTGCAGAGATTTCGTCAGCACTCAACCCGTTGGCGTTGGCTGATGGTACTTCCCAAATAAGTGAAGCGGACAACGTGCTCTACCACTTCACTCCCTATTTCTAATCTAGGAGTCGGTGTAGTCCAGTCCTGTAACATCATCTTACATTTGGCGGGGGTGAATCGCATGCCAAACATTCGTAGATTGCGGCTCAAGGTGTTTAGAAGATCCTGCATTTTGTCAGCGTCTTCGCCTAGAAGGATTATGTCATGTGCATATTCTAAGTCAGCGATACTGTACCCTGGTAACAAGTCAATCCTTGAGTCACTGAAGTGAGTTAGGGTTAATTCCATCAGTATATCTGTGATGATATTAAACAGAAATGGCGACAGTATTTCAATATAAACAGTAATGGTAAATGCTTATGCTTGACTATAGGAATTATAAGGAAACTATTTGGTAAAGTTAAATTTTGCTAGGATATCGCAAACTTTAAAATCTGTTCACTTACCAATAGTGCTTTATGGATTATATGTGTTGGCATTATTTTTACCGCGTTTCATGTCAATACATAGAAAGAGTTATCGATAAATTTATAATTTTTTCTGCCTTCCTAATAAAGTTATAAATATAAAAGTGCATAAAACAGCATGTTTCATCTCATTATATGGTCATAATCTGTCTACTTACACATTTTAGAATTTTCTGGATAGACTATCTTTTATTAGTAACTGTGGTAGAAAATAATTTGATGTAAGATACAATGATACAATATTCATAATTGGATGACACTCCGAGCACAATTATTCACTGCTCAGAATCATCTCACTGTAGTCACCACCAACTGGATAAATCTGAAGGAAGGTACTTCTTCCACTTATCTAGACAGCATCCTTTCAACTAAAGGCATCATGGATGACGATGTAAAAGCCAAGCAAGACAAACCTTCATTAACCTGAAATCAGGCGTGTCGATCAATGACATCTCACTCCAGGCCCTTAGAGTTGAACCCAATCGAGAAGTGGCGAGTTGGGTATGGGTCCGAGAGTAATATATAGAGGAGATCGTGTGAGGAGGGAATAAAAGCTTATGGTCAATCGTTGATCTAGCTAAAACGGACTGCAGAGAACAGGGGGGAGTGGAGATGTGCTTCTAAAGCTCCATGTTCCACCCGGAAACCAAGTGAATAGTAAAAATATGATAATATGGAATGCATTGAATGTTAACTTAACAGTGCGACTAATAGTCTCAACGTTTTCATATGGACGTGTATTACTGTTTTTTTCCAAATATTTTCTAATATACCAATAACTTTTTATCTTGGAATTTTTAACTACCAGTGTTTATCTTAACAATCAGAGCCGTGTGCATACGAACTTAGAATCGTATATGTCTATATTTAATGGACAGTCTGTCTGTAAAAATAGACTATAGTTCTAAAACTCTAATTTAACTTTTAAATAAGTCTCGTGAGTTAGTCTTATAACGTGAAATTTAACTATTGATTGACACTGACAAATTATGATTTAGTGAATAGTAATTTCTTACGATAGCATATTTTGTTCAACTGATAGGACAAAATGTATAATTGATATAAGTATAAAACTTGGGCACTGTGGTAGAGTATAACTCCATTATGGGTAAATTTTTGTTTTGATAAAGTCTCACAGTGTTATACAGTAATGTTTGCTGATAAGCACGTTTCGAGCACAAATTATTGCCGCTCATAATCATATCAAGTCACTCACACAACTTTTTATTTCATTTATATACATGAGTGGAACTGATTAGATATTTGAATAAAAATCAATATAAGATAAAGTATATTGGGAAATAATAATATTAGTGTTATTGATCAAATAAGGTCAGCTGGGAAATAAAATGTTTTTATTGGCAAAATAAGTAACTTGTTAGAATGTTATGATGTACGTGAATTGAAATAGAATTTTAAGATTATTTTTTATTTGACTGGTGGTAAAAATATCTTCCATATCTCTGGTATTTGAATTGAGTGAATGCAAATACCTTGAACTTAGGTTTCGTGCTAGCTGGTATTCATGTCCCCCCTGAGATTCTAACTCGCTTCACCTAGTGCTGCAGTCAGAAACGTTACCACTGAGATATTTGGCCCTACGATTGTAATGGCTACTTTGATTGGTCACTAGGTACTAATCAATATCATGCATCTAGCCCTTTACTTAGTGAAGACTTGATTCTATTAGTCAGTGTGAACTGCGATGACACCGAAAACTTGACTGATAAAATTCAGTTTGTGTTTACACACAAATCTAGTAATAGTTATCTTTTTACATGAGCACAGCGAAGAGTGTTTTGAGGTATGTTTGAATGCTTCGAAGTAGAGGCAATAAAACTGGAAACCTAAACACTGACAATCCCCACCTAAGTACCGAATAGTCTAAGAATCTCTAGTATACGGAGCGTGGCTAGTCTTGGACCTAGGTTTCGTGCTAGTTGCCACTCACCAGTCAGCATGGCATATCTGCAACCTTGAAGGAACTCATATTCCTTCTGAGTCCTAGGTTCAAGGCTTCCTGCTAATTGCTTCCAACTATCTTATTCCAACAATTCACAGTGCATCGTGATGGTGAACCACCTAGCATGGCGGCTACATTGCAAACTGGACTGATAGAATTCAGTCTACCCTAAAGATAGGACTAAACTATATTATATATATATATATATATATATATATATATATGTAATTCTTATAACTAGTCAGTTAAAGTGGAAGTACTGATTCCTTCTCTCTCTGAAAGTTGTGATAATTGTTTTATTAAATTTTGTTTTCCCGCTTAGGATCCAGCAGCTCGATTACGTCGTCTCAGAAGACGCCGAGGTGAAGGAGTTGGCAAAGACAGCAAGTGTGTCCTCGAAGGTATGCAACGTATAGCCAAAGAGAAAGAAGAACTTCTTGAACAGAAGGAGCATGAAGCTGAAGAAGAGACACGTAAATTAGCAGCTAGACGTTGGCAAGATCTTTTGGCTAGACCACGATTGGATTATACAGGAATATTTGACGAGGCATGTGAGCCTAATTTTTGCGTCACTTTTAGTATTGTTTGGAAATGATTTTCGGATGAATTTGTACTGTAAAATTAATTATTAAACAGTACTTGTCCCATTGTTTTTTTTCGTAGTCTTTCTCAATAAGTTGAAATCTCTTGTTTATTATGATGTTTTTCTGGTGGAGTGCCCACCAGCCACCTGTATAGTCTGGGTTCTATCCCTGACTGATGCACTCCAATAGCTTGCTTAGCTTACTAGCCGATGGTACGGCCCTAAAAGTTAGATTGTTGGATGTGGAGTTAGCGACCCTCCCCTGCCTGGAACCGTACATGTTCCACTTAGAAATCAGGGAATGACAAAACGATTATGAATGGATTGTTTCAATGTATCTTGATCAAAATAAGGACAGTCGCTGTGTACTATCACACTAAGCGTATATGCTTTCGTAAACTATATATCAAAAGTTAAGGTTAGATTAAACTGCTTTTTTCAGTGGTTGAATAAATTGGTAATTTTTATGTATATATTACGTTTGTGTAGATTGTTTCGTCATGTTGCATATTTTTGTCAGCATAATGATAAGTAATATGCTTTGTATTCATGTGAACACTGTGAACACAATAAAAAAACAATGTAGATTTATCTTTGGTGCTATGTGAACTCCGATTTTATAAATGGGCCTATTTTTTTTTATTGGACACTAAGTAGTGTCCTGTATCTATTCCTTTGTTTACTGTCGACTGTATTCTATAAGTCAAGTTTACAATGCGGGCTACCATTCTAGGTGGCTGGCTATCACGGTACACTGTGAATTGTTGGTATTAGACGGTTGAAGGCGATCAGCACAAAGCCTTTCCTGACCTAGGTTTCGTGCTAGCTCTGGCACTCACCAGTCAGCTAGGCATACCTGCAATCTTGAAGGAATTCATGTCCCTTCTGAGAACCTGTGTCACCCAGTGTTGGAGTTAGAGACCGTCCATTGAGATTATGCTTATGAACTGACTTCCAGTTATAGTGATTAACATCGTCTAATTATCTATCATCACCGGTGATATTCTTAATTGTGGTGAACTGGATTATGTGTTGGATTGTGGGGAGCGAGGAGACAGGAGTACGCTGGACCACCGATAAGCAGACTATAGAAGATTTCGATTTCACAGATGATACATGTCTAATGTCATACGAACTCGAAGACTTACAGGCGAAAACCAACAAACTTGCAGAAGAAGCAGACAGCGAATACAGGACTGTAGATGAACCTAGAGAAGATGGCTGTGATAAAGATAACCGACCACCAGCAACCGCAACAACAATTACAGCCAGCACCAATCACCATCGACGGGAGAGATTTGTCAGAGGTTACTTACTTCCTTCACTTATCTAGGAAGCATAGTTTCAACTATAGGTGGATGGCACGGATGAAGATGTCAAAGCCAGCCAGAATCGGTAAGGCAAGATACGCCTTCATCAGCCTGAAACCAGTTTGGAAGTCTTCTGCACTGTCTCAGTATAAGGATTTGGATTTTCAACACATATGTGAAGTCAGTCAGTCAGTGCTTCTCTACGGGTCAGAAACGTACACTGCGCGTCACGAAAAGCATTTTTAACAGGCCACTGCAGACTTTTATCACTAGAAATAAATACTAATAAGAAACTCTGACTGGGAACAAACCAACCAAGAGCCGACCGCTCAACAAATGTGTGGGAGAAAATGGAGATGGATTGGGTATACATTGAGGGGAGCGTCGAATGACATCGCACTCAATGCAGGCCATTGCTCGAGTGTAATCCAAATGGAAAGCGACGTGTGGGTCGTCCGTCGCTTTGAGGGTGACATGGAAGAGATTGTGTTAGGAAGAGATGAGAGATTATTTTCAATTGTGGACCTATTTGAAGAGGACAGCAGAGGATACATCAAAGTGTGAAGATGTCTTGTTGAATCCTTATGTTTCACTCAGGACTCAAGAGAATAATAATAATACTGTGTGATTTTATCAAAATAAAAATTTTATCCATAATGGAATGGTACTTAGATGTTGTTCAAATATTATTCTAAGTATTCAACTTTAATCTTTTTGTTTTTACAAATTTCGTAGGATACAGGTATAAGCCCAGGTGTACAAATCTGGGAATTGGATCAGTTTTATCCAAAGCGTGTTGAAGATGAAGTATTACAAGGCCATTTGTTTAATGGAGATTGTTATGTTGTTCTACAAACTGAGTTGAATAATAAAAATCAAGTATTAGAATGGACTATATACTACTGGATTGGATCTCGTTCAACCAAGGATAAACAGACATGCGCGGCTATTCATGCTGTAAATCTACGTAATTTCCTCGGTGCTGAAGGTCGAACTAGGCGTGAAGAAGAAGGCGACGAGAGTTCAGAGTTTCTGGCGTTATTTGGCGGTAGTCTCGTTGTAATAGATGGTGCTCGTGGTGAAACTGGATTTATTCATGTTGAAGATGATGTTGTAGTTCCTAGATTTTACAGGTAACTGATAAATAATTATTTTAATTGTTATGATTCACTAGTGATAACAGACTAAGTATGTATGAAATCTTACAGTAATATCCTGTTTGCCAGGCCGGAGTAGGTGTGGATAGATATTTGCAATATGTGTATATTTGAATAAGGCATTTAGAAGACAAATTTCGTGAGATGATATCAATTCGTAGTTTCTTTACAACCGCTTTACAACTAACACGGTTCACAACAATAATAAAATAAAATGCATCACAATTACTCAGTTAAATAAAAAACAAAAGTACATACTAATGACCAATCATATTTAGATAGGTCATTTTGTCCATGGTAGGAGGAGGTTGAAGTCTATTGTTTTTTGTACACACAGTTTAGGCTGTATGTGATTAATCCAAAGTGCTTCCATCACCTTCAATAACCAACTTTGAATTAGAGTTATGTGAAATAATTGTGAAACAGTCATTAATATTGATTCTGTGACGTGACATTAATGAGTGCTTTGCAATCGATGATGCTGGATTTCTATTCAGATTAATCGTGTTGGGATTTTCTATGTGTTTTAATAACCATTCTAAAACATGTTATTTTCGACGACATTTGAATATTCTATTGGTTCTAGCTATATAGGTGTCACCGCAGCTGCAGGTGAATTTTTAGATACATTTTGAAGTAGAGTCCACAGAATTTCGTCCTTTAATCGTAGGTACAGGGGTCGAAAATGTTCGGTATGTGAGGGAAAGAAATGTGGCGTAGAATGTGCGTTTGATGGCTGACCGAAGTCTCTGAGCTGTCAACTGCATAATTTGACTGATCACCCGTGAATGGTAGATTAATAAAGATGGCTTTCTTTGGTACACACGCTTTCTTTTCGAGATGTGGTCTATCCTTACTGTGACAATTCATAAAGTTTTCTGGATAACCACTAGTTAATAAAAATGAATCTATCTGTTGTAGCTCATCCATCAGTGTATCACTTGTACATATTTTTGATGTGGTTTTGTTCTCTGAGCTGGATGGTTAGTTTGCGAAGCTTTCATCGCCCTACTGGGTGACATCTTCAGCGCATACTTCAATTTGAAGTAGGGCGATGAAAGCTTCGCAAACTAACCATCCAGCTCAGAGAACAAAACCACATCAAAATTATCCACCTGAGCTACAAATCTTCTCTATCATACTTGTACATATTTTTTGGGCCCTTGAAAACAAACTTTTCACTAGGGGATGTTTATATTGGATAGGAACAAAACCGGTGAAGTGAAGATATTGTCCACTCCATATCTGTTTACGAAAAAAAAGATCGCTTGATCGTTCCACCATCTCTCCTAGCCATTGAAATATCCAGAAAACTGAGTTTGTTATTCGATTTGAGTTTGGAAGTCACTCGGATATTTGGATGAATATGATTTGTGCGTCGGTGGCATAGTGGTTAAGACTCTCGCCGACCATGCACATGGTCCGAGGTTCGAGCCCACGCCGACGCACACCTGGTATCTATGGTCGGCCTGCGGATTTTGGGCTACCGATATCCACGCTGAAAATCAAAAGCTGTAATCAAAAATAAAATTAAAATAAAAAAAAATAAAAAAAATTTGCTAGGGTAATAGTTTTCAATAGACTTAATATTAATACTAATAATGAGTGTATCATCCACATGACGTTTATGTAGCATAAATTCTCCTAGCATACCTTGCATTTGTTTCTTCAATTTCGACATGAATATATCTGCTAACAGGGGCTCAAGAGGGCTCCCCATCGCAACACCATCGATTTGTTTATATGCCTTTTCTTGGAAGGTGAATCTGATATTTTCTGTACATGTTAGGATAATGTCTCTGATATAAGTGACAGGTATAAGTAAGTTTATCCCATTGCTTGTTATGTAATCGCAAGTGGAGTCAACAGTTTCATGAAGAGGAGCATTGGTGAATAAAGATTCTATGTTGTCGATTGAGCATATAACCTTTTCCTCAATGTTCAAGGTGTCTAGCATATCTGTCAGATCAAATGAACGTTTTACAGAATGATTTGATAATAAGTCTCATACAGGCGTAAGTAACTCTGTAATCCATTTTGTGGTTTTATGATATGGGGGATTCGACACATCCAAGATAGGACTAATTGTTTTAATGTATATGTTTGTTTAAGTTAATTGCCTAAATCAATCAGCCACGTCTTCTTATTGTACTCTAGTACTGTGAAAAATGCCGCCTTTCTGCTAAAAGTAAAAAAGATGTTAGCCTGATGTTGTTTTTTTGTATCTTCTGAAATTAATGAAAACAAAACACGTAGATCAGCGAAGAGTCTGTTTACGGCGAATTCATTTTCTTAGCTGTACAATCACAAATATATATGTGTTATTTTGTATATATGTATGTGTACATTAAGTTTGTCAAACAAAATTACAATTGGTTAAGATAATTTTAACTAAACAGGTGAAGATTTGCAATTGGAGTTACGTAATACGAAATCTGCAAAAGAAAAGTAGGTGTTAATGAAATTAGGGTAGTAACAAAGGTGATGAGTTGTCACAAACAGTTGTTAAAAGAAGTTATGTAATAATAATATGAATAGTTTGATGAATGAGTTGTACTCAGGATTCAAATAGGAACAAAGTAGAGAATACGAAATTACGTGAGAGTTCTAAATGAATAGATGAATTATAAGCAATTAAAGAACAGGCAAACAAACAAAATCAAGTCATCAAAATCAACAAAGTTATTACCATGACAGTAGAAGTGGTTGAGTAATCCTCTTTGTATGCACAGCTCCGGTTTTTCTATGTGAATGACCAGAGCTGCAACGATACAAAGAAGACGAAACCGTATTGCCCTTGATAGGTTATTCTTGACTCTGTAGATTACTTTGAAGGAGTCGTTTGTTGAAATCCCAGTTTCGATTGTATGTAAAACAGTAATGTAGAATGCATGAAACTATATACTACTGGCCGATTTGAATGAGTAGTTGTATATCATTCATATCAACAAGTAACGCTAACCAGACTGAAGTGATCTAGATATTTGATGACCGTTTCGCTCGTTTGGCGTCGAGTCAGTCAGCTGTATATACCTGGTTTGACTTATCTCAGAGAGAGCTGAGTCGGTTTGTCGTTTTTGATTATAGCTTGACTCCACACCGTATTTTCGGTACAAGTATGGAATTTTCAGCATATGATATCGGTAGCCCAAAATTTGCAGACCGACCATTGATATCGGGTGTGCGTCGGCAGAGGATCAAACTCCGGACCATATGCATGGTTGACCAGACTGCTAACCGTTGTGCCACCGACGCTCGATCGATTGCTGGTTAGCTACTTTGGCGGACTGGCATTTATGCTTTCTTTCTTGATTACCATCTCGGGTGTCAAGCAAATCACATCTTGTGATCTGAATAATTTGGGTTCCCGAGGGGAACTTCGGTGAAAATTCACCTCGCCGAACTGTGTAAATTACAGACTGCTAATTGGATTTAAAGGAATGTAGAATGATGGTCTTAGCCCTTTGTAATATGGCATTAATTAATATAATATTTGATTGTCAACGATTAGAAACGAAAGTCTGAATTTTTTTGAGCAATAGGCAAATGTGTTTGTTTGTCTCTTTTATCCCTCAGATTATTTGGAACAGAGAAACGATTGAAAATTGTTTCAATGCCCCTAAATCATCTTAGTCTGGATTCCAAGTACAGTTACCTGCTTGATGCTCAATCTCATCTATATTTATGGATTGGTAGAAATTCTCGCTCTATTATACAAACGAAAGGCCGATTGCTAGCTGAAAAAATATCTGTTCGTGAACGTCGTGGGGAAGCAGCAATTCATATTGAACCTGAAACTCGTGAGTCCAACGCTTTTTGGGCTATTATCACCGGTGTCTGGGTTCCTGCTCCACTCCCAAAACCAAGTACCAGTTCTGATCAAAAAGATCAATCTATAAAGACTACAAATAATCAAGAAACTCTTCCGGAAGTCAGTTATCCACCAGCTCCTGTCGTTCAGCCGCCAAAGGCAGGACCACGTGACTTTATTCCTGTCGACTGGCAATTACCTCATCCAATTTTATATGATGTTCAAATGGGTAGAGGTTATTTAGAGTTGCCTCAGGTGAGTTTTATTTTTTTTTAATTTATTATAGTTCATTATTATATTTGTGAAGCATCAGGGCGTTGGTGTCAATTCCACTTTTCATTATATTTCCCACCCTTACGTTATATCTCAGTCTTGATTGAGAAACCTTGATTTATCTACAGTGAATGGTGTTTCACTGTCAGTTTTCTTATAAACTTAGAGTCATGTATTAGAAACTTATTGGTTTTACATATGTGTCAATTTGTTCAACTAATGCAAACTATTTCATTACTATTGATTTCTAGGTGGAACTTGAAAATGGTCAACTATCGAAACGTTTATTAGACTCGAAACATGTGTACATTTTAGACAGTGGAGGTCAATTATTCTTATGGATGGGTGAAAAATCTTCAAAATTTCTTCGATTCGCCGGTTATAAATTAGCCTTACAACTAATGGGTTTAATGCCTCGGAATCGTTTAGGTGGACTTGAATTATTATTTAATGATCCCAGTGCGACTGCATTATGTCAAGCATTATTAAGCCAAGATCAAGTGGAATGGTGGAATGATTTTACAGATTCATTATTACAACCATGTACTCAAGGAGCTGAAACTCAGGTAAGTGAATATTTCATTTGTTTGCTTGTAGCTTGCTTCGTTTCTTCTTATTAACATGCTCAATAACTTTTTAATCATTGATTGCCAACAAAGATCTGTAATTTGTAGTGAATCATCTCTCTTAGGAGGCCGCTGGGTGACATCGCGCGTCAGGCGATTGCTTGAGTGGAACCAGGCCGAAAGGGAAGCGGCGAGTGGGACGTCAGTGTAAGGGTGACATGGAAGAGATCGTGTGAAGAGGAGTTGAAAGAGTATGGACTAAGTAACATGGATGCAGGTGAAAAGTACAGCAGAAGGAAGATAGAAGTGGCAAGTGGAGACGTGCAGTTGAAGCCCTATGTTCCACTAGGAACCCAAGGGAACAATAATAATAATCTTCGATAACAAACAATTTATTAAGTTTTTAGTGATGGCCTGATAGAGGTTTGACTCACCAAATTGACACTTATCTTTCAAGTTTGATGACGAATTGACATCAGTTACTCGTCATTGGGTCGGATCCCCGGGTTTTTAATAGTCTACAAACTCGCTGTTCAATTGGAAACTCATGGGTTTGAATCCCAGCGGGTGCTTACTGATAAAGAGCCCCCAAACTAGGCTGCGGGAACGGATATCCGGTACTCTCAATTGGTTTTCCAGTAGCTCTCCAACTGATGTCAGTTCGTCATCAAACCTGTAACTAGTCAAATCCCTGCAAACCATCACTTGATAACTTACCTTCCATTCACAATTAATCGTGGTCTAGAAAAGTATTCAGTTCACCTCGACGGTCGACTGATTCCATGAGGTTATCTCAACCAATAAATACGGCAATCATTCATGGTGTAATTCAATGTTTGTTGAGTAAATGAACTAAGTTACGTTTGATCCAAGTTGATCAATCAATTTAGAAATATGACTACTGATAATAATTACACAGCTTGTCATCACACCTGACTTGTGTAACTCCATTATGGATAAGATTTTATTTTGATAAATCACAGTGTTATACAGTAATATTAACTGATGACCACATTTCCAGCACAAACTATTGCTCATAATCATATCGAGTTACACACACAACTTTTTTCCTTCATTTATATACATGTGTGGAATTGATTAGATATTTGAATAAAAATCAATATAGGATAATGTACATTCAGAAATAATTGATCAATTACAATCTGATGGGAAGTAACACGAGTGTTTTTATAGTCATAACTTGTTAAAATGGTGTGATGTGCTTGAATTGAAATAGAGTTTTGAGATTATTTGTTATCCCCTTCTGATTTGACTGGCCGTAATAATATCTTCCATATTTCTGGTATTTGCATTGAGTCATTTCTGTTGCATGTGTTGGGTGTAGACTCAATGAACCGGGATTCAGTAATCAATCTCTCTCTCCACCTACATAGATTACTTCTTAGAATCTTAACCCTCTCCCACCCTATTATGTGGTTTTGTGTTAATGTATGCAGTGCAATTGCTGAGGCTTTTTCTAAATTACTCATCTGCACGGGTTCAATCCTCCCAACCTCAGCTAAATTCTTATGTTCCGACAATCTGATTACCCCCGATCTACTAGTTTGAACGATATGGTTGACATCACAGTTATTGCAGGGTATTTTGTAAATTATATTATTTTGCTTAATTGGGTCCGTACTGTGCTATACGTCATTTTCGACATTCAGTAGAGGGTCGTGAATTCATAATTTTTACTGATCACAAACCTCTGACGTACTCTCTAAACTCACCTTCAGATAAGTATTCACCTAGGGAATCACGACAACTGGATTACGTTTCACAGTTTACATCAGATATTCACCATATATCCGGAGTGAACAACACTGTGGCAGATGCCTTGTCTCGCGTTTGTTCCCTCACCCAAATCGACGGCATAGACCTTGTAAAACTGGCTAGTCTTCAAAAAGAAGATACAGAGCTTCAACATGAGTTGTCGAAAACAACTCTACAATTCGCTGAGAAACCCTTAGGTATGGGAAGAGATACTATTTTATGCGACATTTTCACGAGTACTCCTCGCCCCATCGTGCCTAAAAGTTATCGCCGTGACGTCTTCAATACGTTGCATGGCTTATCTCACCCAGTTATTCGAACTACTGTCAAGGTCGTAACTGGCCGGTTTTGTTGGCCTGGCATTAATAAAGAAGTAAGGGAATGGGCACACACGTGCTTTGCCCGTCAAAGGTGCAAGGTAATAAGACACACCAAAAGCCCACTTGGCACATTTCTTGTCCCGGACGCTCGTTTTGAATACGTCCATATTGATTTAGTTGGACCCCTTCCTGAATCCCATGGATATACCTATATTTTAACTTACATCGATCGATTCACACGATGGCCGGAAGCAGTACCCATCAAGGACGTATCTGCTGAAACAGTCGCACGCGTCTTTGTAGAAAGATGGATCGCTAACTTTGGATGCCCATCTTCCATAATAACTGATCGCGGGCGACAATTCGAAAGTGGCTTATTCTTCGCCCTGACTAAAGTCATAGGTTGCATGCGTTTTCGAACAACAGCCTACCATCCTCAAGCTAATGGTATGGTAGAACGTCTACACAGACAGTTGAAAGCTGGTTTGTCAGCTGCAAACAACACCCATTGGACTGAATCCCTTCCGTTAGTTCTCCTAGGGATACGAAACGCCCTGAAAACCGACGCCGGTTGTACTAGCGCCGAGCTAGTATATGGCACGACACTACGACTGCCTGGTGAATTTGTTTCTCCCTCGAGTTTCCCACCAGCCAATAGATCACGCTTCATACGCCAGTAGGCTTACAAACGCCATGCGTTCAGTTAAACCCTTTTAGCCTACAAAGGTTGTCTCTGAGTAAGTTTTTAGGTTTGAATGCCACTCTAATTCCTTCCTTATTAAGAATCCCACGTAGGGCCTCAGATGACTTCTCCTTATATGGTATAACAGTAGATGAATTATATTCTCTCTTATTTATGTTATTATTACTAGTTTCACACTTATTTTTATTTTGTTTTTGGCCTTTCTTGACCTTCCTAATGAATTTTATAGGATAGTTATTTAACACCAACGTCTCTTCTATCTGTTTTATTTCATCATTTAGGTCTTCTCTTGTGCTACTTAGTGCAATGGCTCAGTTTTTTAGACGCTTAACTAAGCCTGTCTTAACATTTAACGGATGAGATGAATTTAAGTCCAAATATCTATTAGAATGAGTTGGTTTCCTGTACACACTAGTGTGTAGTTTACCGTCTTCCATTCGTTTTATTTTACAATCTAGCACAGCTAATTCTCCTTGTTTTTTTTTTCGATTCAAATATCTAGTCAATTCCACACATGTGAGTAACTTGATATGATTATGAGCAATAGTTTTTGCTCGGAACGTGGTCATCAGTTAATACTACTGTATAACACTGTGTGATTTATCAAAATAAAACATTTTATCCATAATGGAGTTTTACTCTACCACAAATCCCAAGTTTTATACCTGACTTGTGTATTGTTACTATGCGTATAATTCACTTATAACCTGAGTAGAAAGTCTATGAGTAAGATAATGTTCAGTTATCAGGGGAACACGAGTTTCTGCAATGCTCCAGATGCACGCGAAAAGTACCCACAACTTGTTATCGATTGGAATACCACAGTTCCTTGAAATACTCAAGAAATTTATGGAATTATTAGTTTAGGCCTGTTAATTCTGAATGTTTTTTTGTTTTGTTTTTTTGATTACTAAAACATTTTACAGCTCACAGAAGCATACTTCTACTGCTAGTGGTGCATATAAGCGTAAATTTCACTAATTAGCTGAAGGCATAAACATTTCCTAATGTCAAAATGTAAAGCAATCTAAATTCTGTTGCTTTCAAGTTTCTAATTCAATTATTCGCTTTAATTCATGCGTTAACTTTTCTTCTTATTTAAGATTTTCAAGTGTCAATTCTGTGATTGGGATGAAGCATTGGCTGTGGATTTCACTCGTACAGCTGATTCTGTAGCTCGTCGTGGAGTTGATATTAATGAAATCTTAGAAAAAGATAAACTCACTACTGATCTTCGAGCATTACTCGCTCCAAGAGAAACCCCATTAACTAATGAAGAAGCCTTACAAATGATGGTTGAATGGAATGATGAATTAATTGAACCACCGGAAGAATCTGTTGTACAACCGAGTAGTGCTTTACAACAATTTATTATGGTCGATGGTAAATGGGTTCCTGTTGAAAATCGTTGGTTTGGACAATTTTTCAACGGTGACTCATACATTATAATTGCTCGTTATTGGGTAAGAAGTCTTATAATTGATTGAATACTATTTACATTCTCGTAAACAAATGAAATACTTTCAGTTCTTATTACTCAATACAGTCAAAACTTTGGTATTACAAGTGAATGGCTTAAGATTTTCCTTTCAACTGCCTATTCTCTTCACTAGATTTATTCTCCAGACTCAACTGTGTTACACCCATAGAACTCATTACGTACAAGCAGGTAATTTACGGAAAACCACAAGAATGCATAAAAACCTATTCATCAGTCGTTTTTATCTTATCGTAGGTTTTCGTCAGTAGAAAGAACTTTATCCAGTAGTTGAAGTGGTCACGTGCCATTGTTCGGAAACATTATGAACAGAGTATTACTGTTGTCCTGGATTAGTCTAGCATGACTAGGATGCGCTTCCAAAACACAACATTATTATAACCAGCTAACAACTTTTGAAAATACCTCCCACATTGCGGTAGACACAAAGGTCAGACTGGGAAGCATGACTACTGGAACGACAACAACAATTGCAACAACCATGACAAGGCTTATTAGACCAACTACATGGTATATCATATTTAAGCCATAACTAAAGAGACGAATCTGATTGGTTGTGTGATCCCTCAGAAGATTAAACAATAAATCAACCAATCAAAAATTGTCCAACCAGGTTATTATGTCGATGCATGCATAAATCATGACTTCAGCGTCAACAAAGAAGTTTGCCATCTTAGCAGAAAACAAAAACTTCCTTTCTATAGTAAATCATGGACTTTCTTTCGGGTTTCATGCATAATCTATCGTTAAAAACTGTTTTTAACGTTGTGTATTGAAATCGACAATTGAAAAGAATCATTTTTTTGTGTATGTTTAATTGAAATGGTTTATATCACATGATTTGATTTTAAATGGCCATAAGCAAACTATAATAGGCAGTAGATCGTCAATAAAATTTATGCCAGAGAAAAATGCTGTGAATTTTCTCTTCCCTAGCTTGTGTGTATGCATGCAAGTGGGTGCTGTTGTCATGTGTGCAAACTTTCAACTAGTTTTTTACACCGTGAAAATCTTGATTTTATTCATTTACACGTTTTTGTCCTTTTTTGCATAGACTTGATTAATTTCAAGATTGATCACAAAATGACTTCAGTTAGAGGACCATTAGAAATCAGGGAGTACTAGACAGTTGTTTCGTCCTTTTATAGACTCTTCAGAAGTGCATACCCATGACTCTCCACTAAGGATCAAACCCAATACCTTCTGGTCACAAGGCTAGTTTGTATACCATTTAGCCACTGGGATGGATTCCAAAGGTGCATCTAGTTGAATATCTGCCAGTTCGCGATATATGGTGTGACCGTCAGTCAGTGTCATCGGCGTGAGTCTTTGTTCTCATACACGACTTGGTGGATCTCGCTGGTTATTTTCTGGTTTTCACTGTTCCTCTAATTGAAGACAGTTCATTATCAGTCTTGAAACCAATCAAAGCCGTGCACACTGAAAGCGGGCAAATTAATCTAGTGCCCACTAGGGACTCTGACTACAGTTGCCTGAAGTTTTAGTGGGTGGTTGCGGCCAGCGGGATCCATCAAGCCGGTTGAACCCCTGGGTTTCGCCCTGGTGACTGAACGGTGTACGAGCTCACCTTGTAACCTGAAAGTTCCTTTCTAGGTTCTATTCACTCGTTTAGTTTTAAGAGTTTCAAACCAAAATTCAAATCAATAATTTCCATCAAAGTAGTAGGGGGTAAGAACAAAGCGTTTTCTAAATTCCCTGACGTTTCCTTGTATTATCCTTCCTTCTTTCTTTCTTAGGATTATGATGATGAAAGTAAAGGAAGTGACAGTGAAAATCAAGGCGATGGTGCTGATGAAGATTCAAACCTGACAAAAACTGTTGTCTATTTTTGGCAAGGTCGTGAAGCATCTGATTTAAATTGGCTTCAATTTGAATTTTCAGTACGTAAAGATATGCAAGCACGTTTATCACAAAATCCTGAAGATGTTAGTCGTCCATTGAAAGTTGTATTTAAGCGTGTTAGACAACAACAAGAAGACACAATGTTTTTAGCTCATTTTCAACGTCAGATGGTTATACATTCTGGGCATTATCGTGATCGTGCAGATACCTCTCGTTTGGAAAGAATTCAAATGTACTATCTAAGAGCTAATGGTAATCTGATATCAACTCGGTGTATAGAAGTAAGCAATTCATCATTTCATGTTTCATACTTCAATGATTTTATTTTCGCGTTCATGAATATCGTGATTATTATTATTATCTCCTTTAATTCCTAGAAGAACATAGGGCTTCAGCTGCGCACCTACATTGCCTTCTGTCTTCTGACAACATTTTCACCCCGCTCCAGGTCTGTCCACATGCTTTCATCTCCTCTTCGCATGGCCTCCTCCAAGTCACTCTTGCATTGACGACCAACTCGCCGCTTCCCTTTCGGGTTCCCCTCGAGCGATGGATTGTCTAGTGATGTCACTTGATGGTTTCCTCAGCGTATGGCCAATCTATCTCCATTTCTCCCCGCGTATTTGTTTCACAATCGGTTCCTGCTAAGTTGGTTCGCTCGTTGCCAGATAACCCTGTTGCTGATCTTTTCTGGCCGGCCATCTGATCTTGAGTATTGAGCTAAGACAGCTAGCTGTTGATGAAGGTCTGAAGTTTGTTTGAGGTGCTCTTTATGACGCGCTGGCCATGTCTGTGATCCGTATAGTAGCACTGACTTCACATTGGAGTTGAAAATCCGGATGTTATTTTTAACCCCCACACATACTTAAGAGTAATGAAAGCTTGTCTTGCTTTTCCGATTCTTGCTTTGATATCCTCGTCAGTTCCGCCTGTAGTTGAAACAATGCTTCCTAGGTAGGTAGGGAAAGGAGGTTGTTTCTTCCCGGTTCCTCCCATTTATGCCGGCTGATTGTTGTCTGTTGGTGTTGGCCGGGAATCTTCATCACCTCTGTTCTCTCTATGTTCACCTGAGGTCCTATCTTTGATGCTTCTTGTGCCACCTTGTTCCTTTTCACTTGCATATCTTCCAGTTTGTGGGAAATCAGACATATATCATCGGCGAAGTCCAGATCCTCCAAGTGGTTTTGTGTGAGTCCATTTTACGCCTGTTAAATATCGTGATACAACTCCTGTTTTACTTCATTATTAAAGTGTATGATCAATTTCAGGGAAATTTGAGCTGTTTGTTAAATTTTAACTTAAATTATTGAACACCACTGCAAATGGTATTAATAGAGAGAGCTCTTGCGTCTGCAATTATTCAGGGACGGCCAGTGAGTTCAAGGAAGATTAGAAATACCATCTTAAACATTTCAAATAAGTCCATAGAGTCATTTGACATAACCCCCTTGTTCACAAGGACCCCAATCAATGGAAATATCGAGATCATTTGTCAGTCTTCTGATCTCCTCTCACTTCCAGAGTCGGAATTCAAACACCTACTGTTAATTGTACCATGGATGTAAAATTCCAGTTTGACAACACTCTTTACCACCAAATAGATGGTGTAGCTATGGGCAGTCCAATTAGGCCTGTCTTAGCAGATATCTTCATGTCCAACCTTGAGAGAACAAAGTTAAAGCATGCAATGAAGGAAGCAACTTCTGATCGCCGATATGTTGATGACACATTTGTAGTGTGCAACAATGAAAGCCATGCTTCCTACCTACTGGGATTATTCAACTAGGTACATAAAAATATTGAATTTACTATGGAACATGAGAATGATTAAAAGTTTCATTTCCTTGACATTGCCATACAACACCTAGAAGATGGTAGTCTCCAGGGGTTAATTTATTGAAAGCTGACATGGAATAGACAATACTTACTTACATTTTAATAGTTTTCGTCCAAATAGCTATAAGCGAGCACTAGTCAAGACTGTGTACTATTGAGCGGGGAGCATATACTCTGCAGAGAAACTAGAGGAAGAATTTACGATTCTCGAAAAGATGTTGAAAAACAACGGTTATCCTCAAAGATTCATTAACTAATATGGAAGTAGTGAAGGCTCTAATGCCAAACAAATGACAGTGGGAAAGAAGCTCATCTTGATTCAACTTGATTTCAAAGGTGATAATATTGCAGGAATAATCAATAGCAGATTGCATATGTTGCTAACCAGAGCCTATCCTGCAGCCAAGTTGGTTTCCGTTTATTGGATAACATGCTTTTTGGTGCAATCAAAAGTCGACAGATACCCTTCTCGGTTTAACTCCAACTGTGTATACAAATTTACATGTGTCTGTGGGGACAGTTACTTTAGGAGAACAAAGAGAAGGGTGCATCTCCGATTTTCTGAACATGTACCAAAAAGTCTACGTCTCATTGGAACAATTGGTTTCAACAGTGTCACTGCTAGACACCTCCTTGAGTCGGATAGTGAGGTGGACGTCTCAAGATCGTTCAAAATTATCAATAGGCAAAAGAGTTCAACTCTGCTCATATTTACCGAAACAATCTCTATCAAGCGCCTGAGACCCGATTTATGTGTTCAGAAAGATGAGGTTATCAGTCTTTCCTTGCCCTGGTAACTGGATGCTTTCATCCTCTCCTTCACATCTGACTACGTAACGCCGAAAATTCCATTCTGTATGATTATTATTGTTTGGGATAAAGCGATTATTATTATTGTTATTATTATTATTACCATTAAATGCATACATCGATTTTTTGTTTACAAATTAACTGTCTGTGTAAGTATAATAAAATTGTTTCTGTACATAAACTTCACCATGTCTTTAGGCTGTAAGCAGCTAATGAGAAGCCAATGAAATAAATGATGGTACCAATTTGTTCTGCACAAAATGTTGTTCTTGCTTTATTCAAATACCATTGTATCCATCTTTTGACTACTTTACAGTTGATGATTGAGATTTGTAGGCCTTCTTATTCTGATTTTACTGCGAAAGACATTTACGTTTATCACTGTAATTTATCTAATATCTTCTTGAACCATGCCACTAAGTTTCTCTTGTAATCCATTGATTAGTCTATGTTTATTAGCTAGTGATACTCTTTAAGATACCTTCCTAGTAAAATAAATGTCGACTTTTCACAGCAGGCTACTTACTCTCTAAAAGCGTTACGAATTGGCGAAACTCAAATGAAGCTTTCTTATGAAGTAGAACGCGCTTCAAAGTGTTTACCTTGAAAATGTTACTAGTTGAATGTCATATAGGCTGTTTAAAGACTTCTAGTTCGTATATGACTGACACCCTCCATGTTACGACAGTGGACAGTGAAGTGCTTCGTACTGTTTAACAGATCACCTTTAGAAAATTATCACGCTAATTGTATTTGAGATTAACATCTGGTGGTTAAGAGATGATTTTTTAATCAATACCTCATTAACACACCTTGCCTAGAAACTGTATCTCATGTCAGCTAAAAGAATTAAGGGTTAGATCACGAGTTAAAATTAGCTAGAGAACCATTGAGAATCACGGTGTACAGAACAGCTGCATCGTCCTAGTTTTGGGCTCTTCAGCAATACATACTTGTAATATCGCCAGGAATCGAACCCAGCACCTTCAAGTTATGAGGCTAGCCCGCTGGTTTGAAACTAGTGGAATCTTCGCGAACTAGCACTTATGTGAATTACCGATACTGGAAAAGGTTTTATCGTTTCCATTTCTAGAACCTTATTAACAGTTGAATACTGTTTAGGTGAACCATGTTACACATATAAAATTACCTGTTGGATAAGACTTTCATTTGGCAACCTTTTTATGTAACTCTTGTGCTGTTTGGGATCATAGTGTCCTACTATGAATTTTTTTCATTCCTTTTGTCAGTTGTGTTATTTCTTGCCGTTTTTCATTAATAAACTTTATAATACAAGATGAAAATTCAGTGAGATATCTGTGCCAAATTGTGTTTGATTTGATCCTACAGAACTGGTTTTTTTATGTGCTCAGGGAAAGGAAAGACTGATTCATTCAGTTAGCATATGAAAAACTGATGCATTATGTCTAAAATATAGCACTGTTTATGCGCACTGATTTAAAGCAGATACACACATGATTGATTGTCATCTTGGCGAAGTTAAAGTATCACAGCCAAAGTCATGGTCCTCCAAAAGTTGACCTTCAAGAACCGATCAGATACAGAGAATACTATAAAATATCCTTCCAAATCAAATCACGACTTTGAGAGGGCAGATACAGTATTCTAATTATTCTATAGTTACGTTTTCTGGAAATCTATACTATTAGGTAGGATTATGGCTTTTAAGTTTTATGGTTAGGGTCTAGAGTTAAGGTTAGGTTTAGGGTTAAAGTTAAGATTAGGAGCAGGTTAAAGAACAGAGTAAGAAATATCACTGTATCTCAAACTATAATGACCTACAATCACTTGTATGAATGAATACATCGCGTATGGTATTATTTCTGTATGCATCATTTGTGTAGGAACTGGAAGACATTCTTACAACACATAAACTACAACTATACAGTGTTAATATCATGTTTGTGGTGGTTTTTAAGTGCATTTTCCAACGAATATACAACTTTTCCATATCTGAATTCTGATTGGTTGTTCAAGGTCATTGAAACTTTGGCTATCATACTTTAACTTTGCCGTCATCTTTTATGTTGATAATCAAGTTAAACTTCTTTACCTATTTATATTCAACTTTAGCGAATGTTTATTTATATTATCGTTGTTATTATTACTACTATTATTGTTTTTCTTTTCTACTTCTTGTAATTGACTTTAGGTTAAACCATCCGTTGTAAACTTAAACTCTTGTTTCACTTACATTATAAAAGTTCCTGCACATATTGTTAGCGCATTGCAAAAAAAGCAAACGGATAAATCTCATGTTTACATTTGGATTGGGAGTAAATCGTCGCCGGAAGACAAGGAATTGATTGATCGTTTAAGCAAGAAAATCTTCGATTGGGTGGGTACTGAATTATATTTTTTACTTCTTCAGTGTTTTATATACTTTTAGTTTATGTAATCAATATGGTTTATCGATCATTCAATCAATTGGATTAGGCGTGTTGTACTATTATAGCTTCTTAAGAGATGAGAGAGAATTTTGTCTATCTTTAATTGAACTACTTAACTGTGAGGATATTCTAGAAATTTTTCCAGGCATATATACACTCATTTTCAGTTTTTTCTGAAGCTATTTTTGTTTCAGTAATGCGAAATTCCCTCTGACAATCTTTAAAAGTCAAAAAATACATCAAATTGTATTCTGAGAAATGATGTGAATGGTATTCACTTATTATCATCTTCATTATCGAAACCATTATTTTTTTTTATTCCTTCACGTTCCCGGTAGAACATAGGACTTCAAGCTAGAGGCTTGAAGTTTCTGTAGCAGTATTCATTTTTACAGGATGGGGTTGCTAGCCTCATGACCAACCTTTCCTCTTTGCCAGTTCTGATACTGGGTTAGCGAGGTTCAGGAGTGAGTCAGTCGGGGATCGAACCCCGGACCATGTGCATGATCGGCGAACATTCTAACCGCTGTGCCACTGACGTACGAAGCCATTATAATCATGATGTATATAATTTCATTTGCCAACATTACTACACAATACTTTAGAAAGAAAGACGAGGTTAATGGAAGTATAGAATTTGGGCACTGTGGTAGAATATTATTCCATATTAGATAAGTTTATCGCATATAACATATAGTGATAGAGTATTGATAACTAGATGATATTTCTAGCACAGTTTGTTGCTTATAATCACATCAATGTAATTCACACAACTTCATAGTTTGTTCTGTATACATGTCTCTCCCTTTTGTTATTCATTGTAATTTACCTGATATCTGGTAATAGACATTGGATCATTTCGAATGACTGACTGGCTGAATGCTTTCAACGTAAAACTTTGCGTAGATGTGCAGCAGTTCGGGTCGCCACACTTCACGTACCACACAAATCAGAGAAGAAAGTAAAAAGAAATGCAAAACAGAGATATGAGGCAAAATGAATAGTAATATTGAAGGACAATATAGTTTTAATGGATATTGTAAATCATAAACAATGAATGCATTTGCGCTATTTACCGAGAACCACTTTTTGTCATATTTCCAACTGTCTCCAGGCTTTATTGGTTCTTAATATCCCGGGGACCCCAATCAGGAAGCCAGTGTACACCTCCCTACCTGGCTCGCTGGCTTAAACTAACTGTTGCAGACTTCATTGAATGATATCATATTTGGGTTTGACCACCACAGGCTCTTTTCCAACCTGATCTTGTATCAGCTAACCTCGTCCGTCGAGGAAGGCATAACGTATCCTAACCATCTCAGTCGATGTAACTTCACAACCTCGTCTATTGATTTCCCCCCCCCCCTTACGTAGCACTCGACCGACGCCTAACCTCAATGTTGCTCACCCTGTTATACCACTTCACACAGGAGATACAATACAAGCACCTATGATCAAAGACAGGCTTTCATATCTTCCACTCTCAATGGCCAGATCTCACAGCCATAAAGAAGGACACAGCAAACTGCTGATCAGTGCACATGTCCTTTGGTCGATAGGCGGATATCACGTTTACGCCAGAGATGGAGTAAGTTGGCTTAAGGACTCGGTTTTCAGTCGATAGGCCACATGGTTGAGTCGTGTTTCATTTACTTCCACCTGGGCATTTGGGTAGTGTCATCAGTCCTTACGCGGTATTTTACATGCGATATTTTCACTGTCTGTTAACTTTTCCTAGTTGTATCTGAAAACTGTTCATATAAGGTGTTTTGTAGACAAAATATGTTTTCATATTCATTAACTAGTGGAATTTCGTAAACTTGATTGACTTCGAAATAAACTTCTGTGGTGAAGCAACATGTCTTCCGAATGCCATATTTTTCTTCTAAAAACAAACTAAAACATGTTCTTGTCTAATTTTTCCTATATTTTACTCAGTTGTACAATGTTTGTCTATTGAAGTAAGCGAATTCTCATTGCTGTGATGTCTGTTGAGGTCTTGCTTCTTATCTTAAATGAATCTAGATTGGATCAGGTTGTTTCCAACAAAATATCCATGAAAATCCACTGTCAGAGTCGCTTAGGGAAATGCAATATATTGCCGAAGCTTTATTTTCAGTTGCTCATGGGGTCTGCAATGCATTGTATTAAAGAGTCTCATAGTAGAATGATGTAGGTGTTCCCATATTTCTTCACGTTAATGGTTCTTTTCTTATCATTTCGATCATTTTTATGCTTAACAGTACTATAAAGTTTGCCTTCTGTATCTATCGGAGGTTTTACAAATTTTACTAGCATGTATGCTCTTAATAGTCAGCACTACTATTACTAGTTCTGCTTCACTTGCCTTTTTAAAAAAAACGTAAAATTATGCATCATTTTAGATTGTAGTTATTCAGAGATGAAAATGTCTATTTTATTTGACAACATAAATCCTATTTTTACTACTTAGTGGTTTTTTTCCGCCTAATAACGTGTTCGTTCGAACTCACTTACCCGGAACTTTTCTTCCATGTACCAAGCTAAGAGGTTCACTTATTCGACACTAGTAACTGGTGTGATGCGTCTAGTCCTCTGATTGGTGTAAATTGAATTCTATCAGTCAGGTTGTAATGTGACCAGCATTCTAGCTAGCTCACCATCATGGTTCACTTATTGTATGAGGACTAGTCATACTACTCAGCTGCCTATGTTGAAATGGGTAGGGCGATACTCAAATCTCCCTGATCCGTTTGTCTGCGAACCGAACTCTTAAACCAATGATGGAATATCTCCGCTCATACTAACATGAAGCAACTTAAAGATTATTCACAACAGTCGGTGTCTAAACTCTTATCGGGTTTCTTATGTATCTGGCTTTCCTTCATTGCAACTGAATTTGTATACACAGAATGTTTGTGTATTCTGATTTGAGTATTGAGTATTGTAAGTATTTTGGTGGGCAGGGGGTGTGTGTGTATAGTCAAGACTGGTGGTTGGAAAGGCTAGCAATTGTCAATTAGCTATGAGTATGTCTGTTAGAAGTGGATATTTTAACGTTACTATAGCAACAACTTCTGTTTGTTGGCATATCTGTTTTTAAAATTTCAAAATGTATATATAAATGCCAGATCAGAATGTACTTTTTCTAAATAAACATTATCACCTACTTATTGATTATGCAAAATAGTAGTATTTGACGATTATTGAATATGTTTATTATGTATGTTTTGTTAATAGTTGAACCTTTTCCAATGTTAACTAGGTGGTGATATCGAATAGATAGAGATATTGAACTAAACAAAAGGAGTGTTAATTTATTCTGTGGCTATAGTTGTGTTGTTTTACTTCCTTTACTAATTGACAATATCACGAAAGTTTAATGATCATCACATATATGCCATTTAGGTCAATCTTCTGCTAATATAGAGTATCATTTATTTTATTCAAGGTGTAATCATCACATTGGTTATAATAATAAAAGAGTGAAAGTAAATGGAACTTTTATAAATAAAAGTAGTTTCTGATAAAAAGTTATGCTATGACTACAGATAAATTAATCTGTTAGTATTTGGAGTAATGAACTTTATTCTACTGATATGAAGCTTTTATTAGTTTATAGAATTTAGTTTATATAGAAAGATTCAATTCCCTCACCGGATATAACTTATTAAAAACCATATATATACGACTGTACAGCTTGATGATAAATTCGTTGAAAAGAGTCTCTTCGCTGAATCACTTGTTTTGATTTTCTAAATATATAGAAAGTGTAAAGTACACTGTTATAATGAGAATCCATATATATATTTATTTGAACTGTTCAGCGAAATACTAAAATGTAGGGTGTGTACTTAACAGTTGTTTCGTCCTTGTTTGCAACTCTTCAGCAATACGTTCCAATTACTTCACCAAGTATCGAATCCAATACCTGCGAAATTACGAGGTGAAACCGTTTACCGTGGAGTTAGAAGATTGCAATCCAGTCTTCACTTCATGAATTCTAGCGTCTGCCAGTTCATAATATACAGCGCTACCATCAGTCAATGTCATTTGGTTGAATCTGCCCAAATTCAGTGACACCATTTGATGTTATTGATTACATTTGACAACACTATGAGAGGGAACAGTGGCAAAAGAGAAAATCAAGTGTAATAAAATAAGATAATGAAAATGATATTTGTGATGATTGGATAATAAGTGGATGTTAAACAACCAAAAACAACAACATTTGAAACATCAACTATAACATTTAATCAGAGGATGGTGACTAACAATGGAATCCAGGATGCGCATTTCGTCCTATTCGGGACTCATCATCTGGATGCACCTGTGTTACGCAGTGAGTGATGATGCTCCCACCGAGGATCGAATCCAGTACCCATAGTTTCAAACGCCAAAGCGTTATCCACTAGACCACTTGGGCCACGAGAGCCACCTCTTGTGCAACGGGTCCTACTAATTATTTAATTGAATTTTAGATTTTCTAGTCGATTGATTGGACCGAAGTGCTTGGTCTCTAGTCTAGTGGATAACGCTATGGCGTTTGAAACTATGGGTACTGGGTTCGAGCCTCAGTGGGAACATCACCACCCACTGGGGAATGCAGATATGTCCAAATGACGAGTCCCAAATAGGGCGAAATGCGCATCCTGGATTCCACTGCTAGTCGCCATCTACCAATTAAATTCTAATTACATGCTGAGATATCGTCGACATCTCAACCTGAGACCGAGCACTTCGGTCCAATCAGTCGACGGAAAAATCTAAAATTCTATTAAATCATCTATAACGGTATAAAGTGAATTCATTTCTATTAAAACTTAGAATTCCTATAAAGACCAGGGCTATGGTAGTTGTCCTAACTCTTGTAGTTTTCACTATCTATTTCACTAATAGTGTTAACTAAGTGGATATCTATAAGCGAAATTCAATCCTTTCTCAACTAGCCATTTGCAAACGTTTTATTCTTATCATCAAATTACACCGTCATTTTACACCTACAGGTAATTGATGTGTGGGTGTCATTTCTCACGCCTACATCGTTGGCCATGTATATACATCCTTTTATGCATTAGTTTTTCGCGATTACGTCACTGGCTATTGTTTCGTTTTGCAAATATATTACTATGGTGAGTGCTACTTATAATCAGATATAAGTAGTATATCATTAAACGAGTCCAAAAGAACAACAATATATTTGAGACACTAAAAACCGATCGAAGAACGGAACTGTGAGAAGAACGTTGGAAAAACAAACTATCGAATGTTGTGATATTCAGTCAATTTGCAAATGACTTGCAAATAAAGCATTGGAGATATGGTAATACCAAATTTTTATATACCTACCCTTGAACCTCATCGGTCTTTCTTCCTTACACTACTGCTGAAACATACTTTCCTTCTCACGTCCTTTTATTTACTCATTTAAGTAGACCGGACTGGGGGATCAGGTAGGTGTTACAACACTTGGGTGGTATTTGACATCGCCTCGTCTGTGTCCAACCTGGCGTTCCCCCCCTCCCCTTATTTGAATTTAGCGTTTTATGTAAAATATAAAAATAATGCATATGTGTATTTTATGAAATATATTCTTTGTTCTCGTTTTATTTTCAACTAGATACCAACTGATTTTCATATTGTCCCTGAAGGCTCTGAACCACCTCTACTTTGGCAAGTATTAGGTGGTCAAAAGAAGTATGATACATCTGCCGAGTATCTTACGTATGGTCGATTATTCCGTCTATCAAATGAACAAGGATATTTTTGTGCCTCAGAAAAATGTGCAGATTTCTGTCAAGATGATTTAGCCTCAGATGATGTTATGCTGTTGGATACTGGATCACAAGTGAGTTTTCAAATAGAACAATTTTTGATTTAGAATTCTTTAGTGTTTGGAAGTTAAGTGAATTGCATGTGTATGTTTGTATTTATGACGGAGTTACCTCATAACTGATTGAAATGTATTTATTTGTTTTAACCATCCTCTGTTACTCTGTATTTGCGTTGTCGCTAAAATTTGAGTAAGTCAGTGGTAATGTTTCCTATCGTGCATCGGTGGCATAGTGGTTAGGACGCTCGCCGACCATCCACATGATCCGGGTTCGATCCCCGACCGACTCACTCCTTTACCTCGCTAAGCCAGAAATTAAAAAAGCTGGTAAAGAGAAAGAAGAGGTTGGTCATGAGGCTAGCAACCCCATCCTGTAAAATTAAACACTGCTACAGAAACTTCAAGCTAGCAGCTTGAAGCCCTATGTTCCACTGGGAACGTGAAGGAATAAAAAAAGTTTCTTATTGAGACAGTGTTTATATGTTCGGGTAACTGAGTGGCTCCAAGTACAATATTCCTTTCCTTGGTGAACAATAATAAAAAATGGAAGTGCTAAAACATCAGTCAAAACCAAAATTAGTTCATCTTCGTATTATCGATTTTTTCTGTAGCCTATCTTGTGTATCACATAATAGTGTGGCATACGCTACTGATGAGATTTATCAGTAGTATATAAAGAGATGTTCGTCGGGATAAAAGACGTCAAATAACAGGGAGCTAGATTTGATGTCAGAGAAAGCAAATGATACAGCGTAGCAGAGATACATGGGAGACATGAAAGGAGCATAAAGGAACACAATATAAAGGCCAGAAGTAGCACAGCATGGAAGATATGTGCAAAAGGTGTCTTGATGATAAAGTGTACATAATTCGGCTCTATGGAGATGCCAGATCGCAAGCAAACATTCATTTACCAAGTCTTTCGTGTTCTACTATTACAGTAGAACGAAGGAAAATACGCAAATATAGAAGGATGTGGATAAAAGACTACGATGGATTTGCTTGTATCAAGTATTCAAGATACTTGGGCATCGATATTTAGGTAAGAATGATGCACAGTGTGCATTACAGTATGAAAAATAAGTCGGACATGGTTACAAGTTGAGAAAGAAAAACAGTTTAAAATTGCCCTCACCAAAGTTTTATGCTATTACTGTCTCATCTCTAATATACAAGCCTTGTTTGTATAAGTTGTGCTTAGTGTGTGAAGTTTTATAATACTACCTGGCTGCACAAACCTAGATCCGCAACATCTACTTCAGCCTGGGTGGTTGGTTAGTACCATCATCCCTCACAAATCAAATGATGGTTTATAGTCTGGTACGTGAAAAGTATGCTCTGGGTAACTGAGTGGAACATGTAGGGCTTCAACAACACATTTCCATTTTGTTCTGATTTATTTAATCCTGTTTAGCTGGTCCCAAGATTGCCCAGATTCTCTTATCTATCTCCTCCTCACACGATCTCGTCCATGTTGCCCTCAGATTCCCCACTCATCCCTTTCGGGTTCCTCTCGAGAGCCGCGTGGCGCCCTATGTCTCCTCAGGTTATCAACGTTAACTTACTGAACTATAGGAAATGTTACATGAACTTAAGGTACATTGGTTTTGAACTTCACGTCTTTCAAGCATTAGGTTACTTTTGAAAAAATAACAATAAACATCACTATCGATTTATCAGATGGTGACTAGCAGTCACCACCCACCGTATTTCTTCAGGTTAAATCCTTGGACATCGTCGAAGCATCCCTCACAAAAAGCTGACATGTCAACAGAGGCTGTGCACTTCGGTTGGGACGCTCGTCGACCACGCACATGCTCCGGGGTTCGATCTCCGCCCGGCACACACTCGATATCAATGGTCGGCCTGCTAAATTTGAACTACCGATATCATATGCTGAGAGTTCCATACTTGTATCAAAAATACCCTGTGGAGTCAAGCTATAATAGAATATAAAATAAATAAAATATCTTACTTATATCCTGTAAACTCTTATTTCGGCTTGATACTACTGTCGAACAAACATGTAATTGATTATTCTACGTGTGTGTTGAGTGGAATCCCAAATTATTGGTTTCATTCTAGCCTTCTGACTTCATTCATTCTGTACGATGATTACATAATACCTCAGAGAAATTTTAAAATGTGACAGCCACTTCTCTATGATTGTTACTGTTACAAAAATGTGACCTTATTTACAACTGATCTATATATCAATGTAGTGCTGTAATCTATCACTTGTTTGTAATAAATGCGATGTTGTGTAGAGTGTTATATAATATGGATGGTATTGTTAATATTTGTCTCAAGTAGTTCGGTGTCTCTGATCGTTGACTTGAGGTGCATAACCTGACAGTCACCCGTAGGCTACTGATTCAGTAGGCAATAAGTTTAACTAAATTATATATATATATGTGCGGATTTGCCAAAAATGTAGCAAAGTTCGACTGCTTACAACCTACACATAAACCACAACCTCAAAACGCTAAGAATTGTTTCAGTACTTATATACAGCTGCAATTGTTAGTTACCTGAACACAGATCAGTTAAGAATAGGTCAAAAACCAAATTTTGATCGATAATGTTGCATTGATTTTTTTTCAAAATAAATTTGGTGATGTGTTACATATATTCGTTCGCCTTTCTAGCATTCTATTGTCTTTTTATTTTTGTGAAATATGTGGAGTTATTTTGAATAAATTTATTTAAAAAAAAGCCTTAGCAATTGCTATTATTATTTTCATCCCTTATTGACTATCCTGTTTCATTGATTTTTCTCTAGTGCTACTCTTACTGTTGTTGTGATACGTAGGGTTAAAATACGCACTTTATAACTAAATAAGCCTGGACATTGATATATACATATATATATTGGTGTTTTAAACTTGTGTACAGTAGTTTGTTTACGCGAGATATCGTAATTTGCTATTTGCATTCCTTTCTTTATAGAGATCCCTGAAGCATATTTATGCGTTGTTAATCCGGTTTTCCATTGTCAATAATCCACTGGCCTTCTTTTGATTGTTGTGTTGTTTATAGTACTTTTTAAAGAAATTTCTTCTATTCTAATTTGAAAGTGTATATTTCAACTCATTGGCGCTTTGCTCTTTCTCTCTTGCTGAAATTCCACGCTTTGAAAATCATTATTCGTGTGTATCTTCATTCTTTAATCGGAAATTCGGTAAAGTATGTTGTTGGTTGGTACCAAACTAATCAAATGCAAATTATCGTTTTGTATTTTGTTACAAAGGCGGTGAGGCAGTAGTATCTAAACGCCTATACTGGAACAAACGGTTGAATGTTGACTTTAAGTCCATTTCATCACAAGGTAGTAGAACAATGTCAAAAGCTATGTTCTTATCCTACACCTTAGAGACGGTAAAACCAATATATATTCACGATTGATTTGGAATTCGGATTTTTAAAAAAAAATTCTTATAGGTGAAGTGTTTGTGTTTATCAATCGTATAATGTTTACTGGACTTTTACATTCACTCACTCTTTCACCCTTTTGTCGAAATGCTTTCATCCGGATGAATGAAGTGAGTAGCACCCACATGAAGGCATATCGAAAGGAGAGAACTGGAGTTCAGCAATCCTCGATCACACCAAGACATTTACGTTGAGTTGATAATACTTGACATATGTCGGTTAGATTGTGTAGTCACAGTATCTTGTCAACTTACATGCACTAGGCTTTTTAAAAAAAATAATAAGAATTCGTGATCTAGCAAAATTAAACTTTAAGCACCACTAACTACTAATGGAATGCGTCCGTACTGTTGACCTTGAATGGTCCAATGAGTTTCATTCACATGAGTTAAAGCTTCGCTTCCTCGTGATTGGAGTCAGAGAAGGTAAGCTGATAATTCTAATATTTCTTAGGGGCATTTTTTGCCAGGTCCCATTTGTCCTTAACCCAGATTTCGTATATTTTGGATTTTGTATACTGGGTTTCAAAACAGCCTGTGTGAGGTGTAGCTACTGAAATTGAAAATAGTCTCGTACCAACAGTTCAGCAGTACCAGTACTGCAGGGATATCGCATCCTAGAAAATGGAGAGGCCTACTTCTTTATTGGGAGGAGAAGGTGTCGTGGTACACGTAGATGAAACTATCCTATTAAAGGAAAAACAGAACTGTGGTTGAGAACGAGTGAATAATGTTTGGGTGATCGGCTTATATGACACCTCCCTGCAGAAAGGATTCGTTGAGAGAATAGCAGACAGACAGTCAACTACTTTAGTACCTATTATCACTCGACTGGTGAAACAGGGATCTATAATACACATAGATGAGTGGAAAGGTTATAACTCCTAGTCATCCCTTGGATATATTCACTACAGAGTCAACCATTCTAGTGATTTTGTGGATCCCATTACAGGGACCCGTACCAGTTCTGTCGAAGGCTTTTAGGGAAGGCTGAAAAATCAGGATTGCAAAGCGATGTCACTCATAGTCATTTGGATGAATATATGTATAGGATGTGGTGTAAATTTTCCATTTATACTCCTATGCTAAACAGTGAGATGTTTTTATCACGTGTGACAAAAAGGCATCCTATGTAACAGTTTTAGACAGTTTTTATGCATTTTCCCCCATAAATATATGTATTCCATACCAAAAGAGTCTCCTTCACGTGATTGGTACGTTCAAGGTCGTTCTCTGATTGGTAGTTAGTCGTGCTTAAAGTTTGACTCTGTCTGTGATCTAGTGAATGAAAGCATAGTGTCCATGTTAGTTAGTAAATTAGTAATAAGTAAACTGTTCTTATAAATGAAACTGATTACAAACGGAAGAAATAATACTTTTCAGGATAACATGACATGGTATTCTTCCATTTTCACTCCATGCTAATAATGAATGTTGTCTAATTCAGTATTCCTTCCTTTTGAAACTTGTTCTAATTGTATCGTACATTTGACTTACTCTCTGGTGTTTCTTCTTCTTCTCCTTCATTAGATCTATCTATGGTGGAGTAAACGTACATCAGATGTAGAACAAAAACTGTCTTTACAAGCTGCTAAACTTTATCAAAGTCATCTGCGTCAAATGCAACCTGATCGACCAAGACAATTAAAATTGACAGTAAAGAATGCAGAACCACACTTATTTAGACAATGTTTTCATGGTTGGGGACCTTTCCGTGAACCAAAAGATTGGTCAGGTTAATCAGTTAACACACACATCTATCCACCGCTTCACTTCCCTTCCCTTTTCTTCTTATTTGTTTTTTTTTCATTATTTTCCAAATTTTTTTTATCATCCTTTAATTTCAGATGCAATAAACTATTGTTGACGAAAAACTTTAGGTAGACAAATACAAGTGTGCCTGTAAACTTTCGAATGTTTTATTACAGAGCTGTTTTCTTCTTTATAAAATCCTTTTTCTTTGTTTGCCTATTCGTTTTTCATTCCCTGTGCTAAGTAACTACGCATAAACTTGTTCCATTGTTTTTATTATGTAATACTGTAATATTTGTTCAGTTTATCCACCCGTGTTACTTTATTCTTTATTCACTTTAATCGACCAGTTTACTGATCGTGAGTATACAGAATAAAGGAAAAAAAGTTTTATAATTTTAATTTATTTCAGTTGTCGAGTGTCATTAGTTCAACCCACAGCGAATAGGACGCTCGCCTACCATGCACATGGTCCGGGGTGCGATCCCCGGCCGACGCATCCCTGAACCTCGCTAAGCCAGAAATAATACTGGTAAAGAAAGGTTGGAAAGGTTGGGCATGAAGCTAGCAACCCCATCCTGTAAAATTAAACACTGGTAGAGACACTTCAAGCCATTAGCTTGAGGCCATATGTTCCACCGGGAACGTGAAGGAAAAGAAAAGCTGGCTAGCTAACCAAAACTTGAGTATTTTGAACTGACTACTCGCCTGTCTTAGCTCATTCAAACAGGGTAAACGCCCCTGATGAGCTAGTTTGAAGCGAAACGAGTGAAACAGCCGTCCGGTGTTTAGATCGCCCTCCTATCTGGCCGACTGGTAACCACCCACTACCCCTTGGATGTGTAGTAGTTTTAGGCATTTACGCTTGGTTTCTTGATTACCATTTATGATATCAAGCAGATCACATTCTGTGATCTGAATAATCTCGGTATGATAAAGAAAATATATAGTGAATTAATTATCTTGATCTGTGTAAATTTCAAACTATAATTTGCAAGTTGCGAATTTGATTTACGTTTATTTTAACTTGTGCTGTTTATAATCCCTGAGAAATAACAAATGAAATTAGAACCTAAAACGGACATGTGGGGGTTTTTAATGGCATATGTCTTTGTCAAATATCCAAATCGCTAAGATCCTGAACCTATCGCTGGTTTCAGAGGATTAAGCCTAATATTCAGTATACTATGCACTGTAACCGACGCAGGACAACAGAAAACGGTTGGGCAACTCGATTGTTTATTCTTCAACTGGTAGCAAAAGTGATAAACAATGGTTTATCAGTGCTAAATTCTGTAGGTTAACATTAATATAATGTACAGTAACGCTTCTGATGGTAAATCCCAATTTTCTGCCAACCAGTACTCGATTAAGCAATGACAGCCTTTTTGTCTCCCTCCAATATGGAGAGCAGTTTGGACAAACAAACGATTCACTGTTCACTAGCATTGACGACCTCTTTATGTGATCATTGTCTGTTCAAGAGATATGGTCTTCGGGTAGGATTATTGACAATACTTAGCATGGCATAGAAATGTAAGTGGTGAATAGTTGTTCCACAAATGGTATTATTTAGCAAAAATATTCATTCAGATATCTATAAATGACAAAAAAATTGAGCAGCAGGTCGGGTGTGAGAACGAATACTCGCCGAAGACATTGGCTAGCAGTTGCGCTATATCGTGAATTGGCAGAAGTTAGAATTCATGGGCTATTCGATCGGGTCCCAGTGGCTTAATGATCTACGAGCTAGTTCGCCTTGTAACCAGGAGGTCCTGGGTTCGAACCTTGGCGGTGGGTGCGTACTGCTGAAGAGTCTCAAACTAGGATGAAACAGTTGTCCACTACTCTCAGGTTTTCCAATGGTTCTCTAACCAAATGTCAACTCATGAGGAAATCCTGTAAGCAATCAACCAAATCCCTACAAACCAATACTTGAATATTCTTTTCGATAAATTCCTCTTCCGGCTCTACAATTATATATATATGCTCATATACACAGAACATTCTAGATTGCTAGTCAATGACAGTATTAGTTTTCTATAGTTTGATTTGTAAGGATTAGTTATGTTTTACGGGTTGATCACGGATTGATATCAGTTAGTGAACCATTGAAAAACAGGGAGTACTGGACAGCTGCTGTTTCATCCTAGTTTGGGAATCATCGGGAGTACGCACCCACTGGGATTCGAACCCGGGACCTTCCGGTTACAAGGCAAGCTCGTATACCATTCAGTCACTGGGACCCGATTCAATGGCTCGTGAATTCTAACTTCTACTAATTCGTGATTTAGCCATTGAATCGGGTCCCAGTGGCTGAATGGTATACGAGCTTGCCATGTAACCGGAAGGTCCTGGGTTCGAAACCCAGTGGGTGCGTACTGCCGATGATTCCCAAACTAGGATGAAACAGCAGCTGTTCAGTACTCCCTGGTTTTCAATGGTTCTCTAACTGATATCAATCCGTGATCAACTCGTAAAACATAACTAATCCTTACAAACCAAAACTATAGAAAGTTAATCTGATGCTCGCTAGTGACTTGCTACAGGTTGGAGTTTCCTGAGTTCTAGTGAGAAGTCGTGACCAGTGAGGTCCAATTAGATGTCACGTGTGTTGATGGATGTCCCACCAACGACAATGGTTGGGGTCGCGCTAAATCACGAATTGGTAGAAGTTAGAATTCACGAGCCATTGAATCGGGTCCCAGTGGCTGAATGGTATACGAGCTTGCCTTGTAACCGGAAGGTCCCGGGTTCGAATCCCAGTGGGTGCGTACTCCCGATGATTCCCAAACTAGGATGAAACAGCAGCTGTCCAGTACTCCCTGTTTTTCAATGGTTCTCTAACTGATATCAATTCGTGATCAACCCGTAAGACAATATTAGTGTTTTTTGTAAATAATATCGATTTGTAAAGTAATATCGAAAAGGATATTCTTTGGTGATTTATTTTGTGTTTTAAAAATGGTATTAATTTAGAAACTTATATTCTTCGCAATATTTGGTTTAAGATATTAATATGAATTCACAATTAATTGCAAAGCTGATAACTGGTTTACTGTTCTTATGTCGTTCACACAACTGCCAGTTAGACTGAAATAATAGATACGCAAATATTCCATGGCAAATCGACCTTTGAATTCCTAATGGGGATTATTCACTCCTGTTATCACTTATTTAACACATATAGCCAATGCTTGCCTTTATCCACTGGAAGACTGATAATTTACTTTGCAACTAATTTCATATGGTAGTACTATACATAACTAACTCCCTAACATGATCAGCTTAAGAATAACTGTCATAAAGCCATTTGAAGCAGTATATACATCAAAATTTAACTTAAGTTCATATGGCTATTTAGGAGTAAGCTATAGTTTTCTTTACACTTACTTTGTGTTTAACGAATTGTACTGTAGTATTTTCAAGCCTACACTTGCTTAACGGAAAGAGAATGCTAAGTAACACAGATTGGGTCGAAAGTTACTTACACGTTAAAGTGCGTTGCTGTTTACGCATTTCTACAATTTTAATTTTTCCAGGTACTATCAACTGGACTTGATTGAAATTCGAATGACTTTCCTTGAAAATGTATGACTTTATAGAAGAACTTACGTGGAGTTCTGGTGAGAAGTCGTGACCAGCGGGGATTCCACGAAGTCAGGCAAAACGACAGTTACTCGCCTATCGCATCGGTTGGCAGTTGCTCTTCGTGACAGAAGGTCCTAGGCTCGAACGCTGGTACATGCGTATTGCTGAGGAATCCCAAACTAGGACAAAAACGTCATCCAGTACCTCCTGCTTTTCAGTGGTTAGAGAACTAACTGATACCATTCATTGATCGAACCTGGAATAAATTATATCCGTACAAGAGAACACTTGAGAAAATATTTTTATGCAGAATCATGTTGATATAAGAACAGTACATGTGCCCTGTGGTAGAGTATAATTCCATTGTGGATAAAATTTATTTTGATAAAGCCTCACAGTGTTACACAGTAATATTAACTGATGACCACGTTTCGAGCACAATTCATTGCTGCTCATAATCATACAAAGGTATTACTCATACAACTTTCCAACTTCGTTTATATGATTTCACTATATCTCATCTCTTGATATGATTGGTTGTGGTATTTTCCATATCTCTGGTATTGGCCATGAGTCATTTCCATTGCACGTGTTGGGTATAGATTCCTTGGTCAGACAGTCAGTATCAACCTCTCCTTCCATCTACCTATATAACTTTTTGGAATTTCAATCCTCTCCCACAAAATTCTGTGGTTGTGCAGTAATGCATGCAGGGCAGATGTTGAGGCTTTTTCTAAATTACTCATCTTCACAGGTTCAATCCTCCTTACCTCAGCTAAATTCATATGTTCCAACAATCTCACTACCCCCGCCCTACTAGTTTGACCTATGTAGTTGACTTAACTCACAGTTATTGCAAGGTACCTTGTATATTATATTACTTTGTCTAATTGGGTCAACTGACAGGGTGCTTTCGTCTACAGAGCTTGTGCCTGATTGAGTTTGTAGGTTTAAATACCACGTTAATACCTGGTTTATTAAGAATCCTACGTAGGGTTTCAGATGTTCCCCACTTAATACGGTATAACTATAGATGCCTTATTTTCTATCTTATTTATGTTATCATTATTAGTTACCCTATTTTTTATTTTGGCCTTTTCTGATCTTCCTAATGAATTTTATGGGGTAGTTATTTAACACCAACGCCTCTTCTATCTGTTTCATTTCATCATTTAGGTATTTTTCTTTATACTACTTAGTGCTTTTGCTCAGTATGTTAGACACTAAGCCTGTCTTTACAGATAATGGATGAGATGAATTAAAGTCTAAATATCTATTAGCAGAATGCGTTGGCTTTTTATTAACGCTATTGTTCAGTCTACCTTCTTTCGTTTGTTTAGTTTTACAAGCTAACATAGCTAGTTCTCCTTGTTCATTGTCTGATTCAAGTGTGAATT